GCTCTTTACATGGGCTTGCAACAAGTACACTGCGTAGAATAAGTCGTCATCGGTCTGTCTGTATATATTATAGCAGTCAATATTATTTTAAAATCATCTAATAAATTAGTCATTTTGTTCTAGATAATGCTATAATACATCGCTATGGCTCTTACTCCTACTGGAAAGCAGCGTTACAGAGAAAAGCGCAAATTATATCCGGAAAAGGTAGCAGAAGCTATCAAAAAGGATCTAGAGAGATATCATAAAAATAAACGCTTGATTAAAGACCTGACTCCGCGTGAGCATCGATTATGCAAAAAAATGGCGAGTTGCGAATACCACAAGAAAAAATTGACAAAGACCTCTTCGAGTAATTATGAATGCGCCAGAATCAACGCCAAATGTTGAGACACCACCACCTTCTATATCTGACATTCCACGTGCTTTTTCACCGAGACCAGTTCATCGTTTATTTACTCCTCAGTCCTCAGACAGTAGGGCAAGTTCCAACATAATGTCTGCAAAAACCCGAGGTAGAAAAAAACTTAATAGAAACAGATCTAAACTATTAAGAGAAAATCTAAATATAAATTCAAGGAAGAGTTAGAGAAAATGAAAACAAAGTATGAAAAGTAAAAGAAAATATACAATAGAGCTGTAAAAAAAACTGACGAACAGCACGCCTAAGGACTGTTACGCCGTCCTATCAAATGCTCAGGGTCTCACTATCGGGGGGGGGATGTTGCGCGCGTAGGCCAGCCTCCTGCGCCCTGGTCTCCGGCGGCGGATTTCCAGGGTGGTTGTTGCCTCCCTTTCTCTCTCCGCGGCCTCCTTCCGGGTGATAACATCCTCGCAATATGCGAGGACAGCACCCCACGCTCTCTCGCTATCAACCATAGCGCGAACCACGGCCGGCAGCGAGAGGTCGTACCCCACGATAGTGCACAGCTCTCGGCACTGCTCCGTCCAGGCCAGGCACTCCTCCAGCGTGTGTTGGACCGTCTCCTCGGCAAATACGTCCCAGTGGTGGCATTCCGCTGTGGGTTCTTTCCTCACTACGCGAATCAGATACCTTCCGAAACAACCATGTCCCAAGAGGATCTGCGTTGCACGGTAGGTGAGGGTGCCGTGTCGCCTGTCGAGCCACCTCCTGAGAACAGGACGTATGGCCTCTACGGTTCTTAGGCCGGCACTGGGGTGCTCCAGCCTCTGCTCCCACTCCCCGATGGCGTTTGAGCGCAGGCGATCCCTGCGCTCCCCCAACTCCTCTTGAGCCGGCGAAAGGCCCCGGGATTGAAGTGCAATGACGCGAGGATCTTCGCTTCTAAATCCCAAGGCAGGAAGCCGGCCAACAGGCAAGCCGCCTCGCCGGAGATCGTCCCCTAGCCCCGTATGACCCGGATGGCCAACACCCTCTGCGGTTTACGCAAGAGCACTTGGCTCCGGCGGTTCAAGGTGTCGGCCCACACGGCAGCTCCGTACAGGGCCATAGACCGCACGAATCCAGCGTATAGGCGAGGGCAAGAGTCGTTGGGGCCGTCAACGTTCGGGCGCAGCCTACCGAGAGCTATGTTACTCGACCTACCCCTCTGTTACTTTCATGTCCCTAAATATATAAGACTAAATTCTGAAATTTTATGGAAAACTGATACTTGATTTCATATTTTCTATATGTAATATAAACAATTCAGATTATTACATAGTATCATCCGTATGTTCTTAAAATTTCGGTCAGTTTAAGTAATTTATAAAGAAAAATAGTTTGTTAAAACATAGAAAGTAACAGAGTATATTTCATTTACATTATTATTAGTACTTACTTTAGAACAAATACTGTGTTTTTTATGTGTTAAACATAAGAATAAATATATAATTAATGTTGATTTCAAAGAAAAGTTACCAAAAAATGATTTGTTGTTTAACTATGAATAAATGTATGATAGCAACAGAGTTGTTTAATTTTCACCTCACTTTAGTTTCAATCACGTAGAATCCTGAAAATAGACGTAAAAACTTGTGGCCAACCACGAAATTGTATTTTAAAATGTTATATATGCAAATCATGTTATTACCTCTACACTTAAATTAAACATTTTTTTTAAGAATTCAAAATTTATTGTCACTTTTTCTGCAACCGATTTTAAATTGACCCGAATAAGTAAATGTTTTGTTTAAAATTCAAAATTGTTAATAAAGATTATGAATGTTATAACTACTGTGTCAATTTAACATTTGAAATGCTTTGGTAAAAAAAAATAATTTTTGTGCCACTATTAAGTCTTGTAACAAATCCCTAATGTTTGTCATAAAATTGAACATTTATTTGAAACATTTTTTATTCGCAAATATTTCGTTTTGAGATATTCATTTGATAATTTTTTGAAATACCCAACATAATTATATGTTTTGATGGCTGAATGATTTGAACTAGTTGATTATTTAAAAAAGGGCAATATTATTTTAAGGTAACAAAATGGACGGAGTGTAGTGGCTGTGTTAATGGTTCAGGATTGTGAGCGATTTTACAGCTTTTTTAGCATTGAATCTCAATAGAACTTTAGATTGACATTCGTAATTTATTACATATCTAACAAAATATAAAGCCTTGAACTGTTTTATTTTGAAAATTTCGTTCAGTTTATCTTTTGGGAATATGGTATCCATTTTGTGATCAACCGTGTTGTGTGGCGCTTTTCGTGAGTATTAACTACTTGTTATGAAATAAAGACATTTATTAGACTGCAACTTTACCTGTTTCAGCTACATTATTTTGTTTGTCGTTACGTTTTGCTTATTTACAGAAATAGTCAATCCCCGGTATTGTTTTATATATGTCGAATAAAGTGTAATTATTTATTATCCTACCCTAGTGTGCATATAACTAGAATTATCTTATATTCTTACTTTTGATACTAATAAAATTATAGGTATTAATTTATTCGGCATAGCAGCTATCAGTGCTAAATTGTCTTCTATTTAGTCTCTGAAATTGATTTAATGTTATCCGTCATTTTTATATATCATATGTTCAATGCTTATCATTTTTCGATTTAGTTTGGTTTTACGAAGATCAAGATTTGGAGTGGTGCTGTATAACTGAAAGGGAGAAGTTGTATCGCTATATGTTATATACTGTTATCATAAGCGTATAGCTTTTCCCCTTGGTTTTACTAGCAATAACCTCTAAGAAGATTGGTGAAGATTCTGATAAATTGTTGTTGGAATACATATTCAATTCTAGATAACAGAAGATTGTCAAGAAGGGCATTGTGGACATTTATTGTGTCAATAAAACCTTTATGGGAACAGTTAATAAAGGATTTATGGTAGTTGTCAGATATTTCAAAAATCTAAAATTACCTTATTTGGCAAACAAAATTGTACTATTTTATATTATTTTGTTTTGTTAATAGTGCTTTTATCAATTATATCAGAAATTCAGTCTGATATTTGTTGTGTAACATTATGATTTTTTTAATTAAAATATTTTTAATTGTTATTGATTAGATTTTGAGGGTGCTAAAGCATATTGGGTGAAGTGCAACTAATAAGTTTTTCTGTGAAAAAGAGGCTTGACCTGTTATTTTTACTTCGTAATTATAATTATAGTTAAGTTTCATCGTTTAAAAATATTAATAAGTGGTAAAAGGGCATGTTGTTAATTTAGACCTTTAGTATTTTTTAAGTATCAAAATTGTATTATTTATTAAAAGATTTAGGGATGTTATTTGTTTAAACATTAAAATTGTATATCTTAGGTGATATTCATAACTATGTGTTCAAATTTAACAATTATTAATTTTAAAACAAAAAAATAGGTTATCTTTTGGGTAAAGGTAAATAACTTTAACTCCGGCGTAATTCTAATCTCTAATGAATTAATCAACAAGCAGAATTCGGCGGTCGCTTATAGTTTGCGAGAAAAAAAATATTTAAAACTTGTTTTTTGTACTAAGAAATCCACCATTTTATTCGTTTGACTTCAAAAGTTCTTTACACAGTTTTGCCAACATGATAAATATAGGAAGCGGGCGCCATCATACACGTATCGATATTCCGATTTTTTTAATTTAATGAGTCACAGAACCGACACAGAGCGAATCCGATTCGGATAGATTAGGTTAGAAGGTTAACCTTCGATGTTAGGTTTTTTTTTATGACCACCAAGAAACACGAGCTGAATTGACATATTGACAACAAAAAATGGCAGATTTCTATAGTAAAAATCACACTATTTCATTATTTATTTTTTCGAAAACTATAAGCGACCGCCAAATTCTGCTTGTTGATAAATTCATAAGTGAGTTTTCTCTATCGTTTAAAATTTATTTGATTTGAATTACGCCGGAGTTAAAGTTATTTACATTTACCATCTTTTGTATTGTTTCAATTCCTTAAAGTTTTAAACAAATGGTTTTTATTATGTTTTTGTCTTAAAGGTCTAGTTTTTATAGGTTGAATTTGACTGTAATGTATCGCAGATGTGTTGCTGTATAAGTTTTTAAATGCCATGTCACAAGTTCCACTTAGTATGAAAAAGCTTGCAAAAAGTTAAGTTACATTGTATAAAAATATTTTTTATATCAATGCTTTATTGTGATTTATGTATTATTTACCAAAATAAAACAGTTATTTCACTGTAAATATGATGTTACATATATGTAAAAACTTAAGTCTTGAAATACTAATTTAAAAAATTTTCTTGCATTCATAAAATAAAACATTTAAAAACTTGGACAAACTACTTATAAATTATATTGAGTACTAAAATAATAAAAATTGTAAGTCATACTTATAAAGCCAATGGCTCCCACCTTATACTGGGTGCATGATGTAAATTATTAATTAAAAGTAATATTTATTATATGTCATTTTGATCTGATTAATATCAGAAGTTATTGTTCCAGATTAAAATGGATCGATCCAATAATTATGGGATTATTCAACACAAGTTATTTTTAATTCACTCTTGAAGAGTGATGGACTCATATAATTTATTTGGTGATGATGGAAGCGGTATGTTGGAAGGTCTTACTGATCTTGGTGGAACAGACAGCTTTGCTGGCAACTCATCATCTGGTGTAACTGGAGACAGTAAAGATCCTGCTGATAATAGGTATTCTATGATTGCCTTTTTAAATTATGATGTTAATTTCATTTTTTTGTTTTAAATACATAGGTAGAGAATACAGATTGTACTCTATGCATACTGTGTTACTTTTCTTTGTCTTAGCCACATCTAATTATTTAACTATCTAAATATGCACATCTGCTTTAAATTTTTTGCAAATTATATATTTTCACAAAACTTATTTTTAATCCTTTTCAGTTACAGGCAGGCATATAATCAAAGTAGTGTGGCACAAGAAGGTTCAATACAAAAACTGGCGTCCTTTGGTAGTAGTAGTGGAGGTGGTCTAGCCAGTAGCTCACAACCAGTGCCTAATTCTGGTGCTGGACCACCAGCGCCAGATTATCATGACTATGGTGGTTACCCGCCAAGGCCGCGTCTACCACAACCACCTCATGGTCCTCTCCATCCACCACACCATGTGCATCCATCACATTCTTACCCAGGCTACCATCCAGGCCCAGATCCCATGTATACTATGCCTGATCAAGCAGGTTTGTTACAATAATTTTATGTGTATATACTAGTATTACTACTACCACTACTACTACTATTAACATTACTCTGACCTTTTAGGGATTGGAGAAATGGGAGTGTGGTCTGGTGCACCTGGGGCTAATAGATATTCACCTATAACCCCTGGTTACAGACATTCATATGATCATCAACAAAAAATGCATCAATATCCTCCACAGCAGGTAATGTTGAATATTGCCATACTGTTTCTAAACGACATGTTTCACATTGTTTTTTTTTTTTACCTTCAAAGGAAAAAACTTCAGATTCATGTGATATTGAAATAATCATTATGAGAATACATTTTTTTTCTATTTAAACATGTAGTACTTATGATCCCTTTATTAATGGGCAAATTTTTTTAGGGGATAACAAATATGAATAAATCACACTTTATGATCATATTATACTAGCTGTTAAACGCGGCTTCGCCCGCGCGGTCAGGTGGCAGAATTATTTCCTACTTACTTCACACTTATTGTTATATTTTGGATAATTCACATAACATCTTTATTAATTAATAGTTGTTGCCCGTAACTACGTCCGTGTCGGGAATAGGGGGAATGAACAGATATCTATATATATAATAAAAATGTAACTTGTCTTTGTCTGTACATGGAAGACATTTGAGAAAAAACTATTATTAAAGATTACCAACGCAATAGAACCGAAAACAATGTTTGTTATAATTGTTGTCTGTGTGTATGTGCGTTTGTGCGTGTTAATCTCAGTAACGACTTAACCGATTTGGGTACAACGTTCACTGATGCATTGTAGTACTTCACTTAACATGTAGTGTTTGTTTTATTCAAATTGGTTGATAAATAAAAAAGTTATATCAACTTAAAAAAAAAGTAAACGCCACAGCTGAATTGAATGAAACTATAGTTTATTATATTATGGTCTGTAAAATGATGATGATTGTTAGATTATACAGCGTGTCGTTACCATCGCGACAATAAATGAACACACGTCTAACGCTACTTGCCAATAATCATAAAAAAATATAACGTTAAACAAAATCCATGATTAAAAAAATATTTTTCAAACAAACTAATTAAATAAAAAAGAAACAAAAAAAAACCTAAAATTGTTTGTTTTGGAAAATTTAATAACTCTGTAAATATTGATGTATAAAGAATTTAAATGTTTAATACAACTTTAAAAAGTTATCCCCTCATTTATTGTCGCGATGGTAACGACACGCTGTATAAATTTAAAAACCAGCCAATTGCGAGTCGCAATCGTGCACGAAGGATTCCATACCATAATCTATAAAATCTGTTGCATGAGAGCCCCACAAAAAAAAATTATTCTGATTTCCTTTATTTGTTGTTATAGCGTCAACAGAAATACATTATCTATGAAAATTTCAACTGCCTAAATGTTTATGAGATACATGTATTAAACTGATGCTAGCAGTCTAGCTAGTGTCTGACTTTTTGTTTGAACTCGCTAATCTCAGCGATTACTGGACCGATTAGAAAAAATCTTGCATTGTTAGATAGTCAATTTATTGAGGAAGGCTACTTTTTAAGCACGATATAAAATGTGGTACATATGGGACGAACCGCGGGCGAAAAAAATAAAAACTGTTCCAATTGATGCAGTAGCTAATAACGTATATATTCTGTTTAAGTAAACTGATTAAGATCAAACGATACTTAAATATTGCAAGGAAGTTGTTCTGACATGCTGTCAAAAACCCCGTAAAAACGATCCTATGTTTTGTGCATATTCACATAACTATTTTTGAGTGAACCAATTGCAATAAAACAAAGCTTTAATGTTGCACAAAATTAATCTTGAATACTTTAAAAAACACCATATAAATTAGTCAAGTAGTTGGATAACTGTGATAACTAACTGTTTGCGACTGCACTGCTTTAATCTTAGAACTACCATATCTCCCGTTTGAGTGAACCAATTGAGATGAAACAAAGCCTAGATGTTGCCCCAAGCTTCGCTTAAGTAACCTGTGAAAACTGTATCAAAATCCGATAAGTAGTTTCCGAGTTTATCGCGCACAGACAGACAGACAAGAATTCCAAAAATGGTTTTTGTTTCTTATAACTCTTTTTATGATACCCTATTTCATTTTTTCATAAATATATTTAATGTACAGACACGCCGATTTTACTCTTTTATTATAGTATAGATAGCCTATGTGTTATTCTGATGTATTATTTATATACACACCGGCACAATTAGCGGAACAGAAAAAAAAGTGAGACTTTGAGATAATAACGCATATATTAAAACTAACAAATTGATTAACATCTTTTAACAACGACTTTGAAAAGTCTTCGTTATTTTTTATTGAAAAATAAAGAAATTTGAAATAAGTGAAATTTTTAAATGATTTAACAATAAAATTAAAGCAAAATTAATAACGAGTGTTTCCCCCTCTTGCTCTGATTACGGTTTCCATTCGTCTGGGCATGCTACAGATTATGTTATCGATGATTTCTTGAGGCAACCGCTCCCACTCCTCAAGTAATGCGTTTCCAAGTTCATTCAGATTGTTGGGGGTGGCATTCTGGATTTAACCCTTCTTTTTAGCAAGTCCCAGACATGCTCTATCGGATTCATATCGGGGGAATTTGCTGGCCACTGCATCACCGGTATAGCTACGTGGCTCAGATATGCCTGTACCGATTGTGCACTATGAGCACGAGCATTATCTTGCATTAGAATAAAGTCGTCACCAATAAATGGGGCAAATGGTACAACATGTTCTTCTAAAATGTCTCTGATGTATCGATCTGCTGTCATGGTCCCTCCTGTGACTATCACTAACTCCGTGCGAGCTCCCAAACATATCCCTCCCCAAACCATAATCGAGCCGCCACCATAAGCCACTGTGTGTTCAAAATTAGACTGTATGTGGCGTTCTCCTTTGCGTCTCCATATTCGCTGTCTCCCATCGATCTGTTTTAAAAGAACTCTGCACTCATCAGTAAAGAGAACCTGCTGCCATTCGTTCAAATCCCAATGACGAGGTTCTTGCGCATAGCTTAATCGGTTTACGCGGTGAGGTCTCTCAAGTTTTGGGCCTTTGGCAGGTATATACGACCCTAAACCAACTTCTTAAAATCTCCTGCGAACTGTACGCTCACTTACTCGTACTCCTCGAACGTCTTCCAGTTCATTTCGAGCTTGTACAGCCGTTAATCGCGTATTCCTACGAACTCCAAGTTGTAAAAAACTGTCATCTCGCCTCCGTGTACATCTTTTTCTACCTTGACCCCTCCTCCTCACAAGAGAATTAGACGATCTGTACCGATGGATGCTGCGATGAATCGTTGATACTGGTCGACGAAGCCTTGAGGCAATCGATCTGTAGGTATGGCCATTTCTTCTTATTTCATCAGCCCTAATGATTTCCAGTGATGTGAAGTCAGGCATAATAAAGAGCTTTTAATAAACAAAATTGCCTATAGAATAACAAATTTATAAAAAACCATTAAGTGTTAATTGCAATTTTTCAAAAAAATTACAATTACGTAGTTATTACTCGAACAAGTTGACAACACGTATTGTTTGGGAAAATAAAACAAATGAATGAAAAACGTGTATGTCATCTAATTTTCTATTTTCAAATTTGACAATAAATTAAAAAATATCATAACTGGCCAGTTCCTCAAGTAAAAGATTTTAAAATCCGGCTATTTTCTGTGTTCCGCTAATTGTGCCGGTGTGTATATATTAGCTATATTATTGTAGTTTCATTAAAATCTATTCAGTACTTTTTATGTGAAAGAGTAACAAACATTCATCCAAACATACAAACTTACGCGTTTATAATATTAGTAAGGATTATCGGTTCAAAATTAAGTTCTAATTTTTTTTATTACACGAAACACAGTTTTGGAAAAATAATAAACAATGATTGAGTGATATAAATCTTTAACTGATTTTAATGTTCAGTCAGTTGAGACAATTTAGACAATTGTTTCATATACAGCGTGTCTTTACAACGCCGATAATAAATGAACACACGTCAAACGCTACTTGCCAATAATCGTTAAAAATATTAACGTTAAAAAAATACATAATAAAAAAAAATATTTTTCAAACAAACTAATTAAGTAAAAAAGAAACAAAATTTGTAAAATCCTATACAACTACAACTGACTGATTCATACATTCAGAGACTTTTTCATTCATTGCCACAGCGTCGCATTACAAGCCTCTCCTTCTAACATATGTTTTAATACAATTTTAAAAAGTTATCCCCTATATGTGTGTTCATTTATTGTCGCGATTGTAAAGACACGCTGTATATTTATATGGTGGGTTCTGCCCACAGGATTTACTTAATTGTAACTTCTCGGTGGAGTGCTGGTTCTTGTGTATAGATTGTATAATCAATTTGTAAATTGATTACTACTATACTTAAAATATTATTTTTATGGGAATAGTATGAAAATACTGGTAGACTTGCATAACAGTAACATCATATTATTTATTATCTTGTGTAAATGTGCATACGGCAAGGTATTGGCAACTTAAGTTTGAGTTAAATATGCTCCCTATATAGTCCAATATGCCTCTGATTAATTATTTATGTATTAGCATAAAAATATGCAGCTATGTATAAATGCAAATTATACTAAAGAACGGTTGATATGTGACACAAAATTTTATTCATATGTAATATTTTTTTTCTTTTATTATAAACTGCAGCTTTGTTTAATCTAAGCTATAACCAAATATCAAGTCTCAATTAATAGAAACTACTTAAAAATTTATTTTAGTGATATGACATTGATATGAAATGTAATTTTAAATGCAAAATTTTTGCAATATAAAGACATGTTTACTATATGGTTTGCATTATACTTTTTATTTGGTTTTAAAGGGGTCCAGCCTAGGCTTACAAGCACAAAATGGAGCATACATACCAAGGCAGCCACATTTCCCACAACCACCATCTCAACAACTGTATGGCCAACAACAGGTATATACTATATACTTATTAATTTATCTAAATTAAATTATAGTACCTGGAGGAGGAGTAGGAGGAGGTTTTTTTTTTTTTGTTAATCTTGTATTTTGGAAATTACATTTAGATACATATTACTGAGTAATGAAGTATGCATAATATTTTTCGATCTTACCGACCTAATAATAAGAAAATATGAAGTGGTGTTTTTCACAAAAGAAACAACATTTAAAAAAAAGGGAAAAAAATTAAATCATCTGGATCAAAAAAAAATAAAAAATAATGGCAATGATCTGGAATCGAAAAAAAAGTAAAAAAAGAGTGTGTAAATCATCCATCTGTTTTGGGGCCGCCCGATTACCGACCGAGCTATTATAACATTTTTTTTTTGCGACGAAATTTACCGTCATATTCGAATGATATTTTTCATTCCCTGAAAACAGGGATAGAAGGACATTTTCTAAAAATGAAACCTAGCTAGATCGATTTTTCGCCCCCGAATCTACGCACATACAAAATTTCATGAAAATCGCTGGAGCCGTTTCCGAGGTTCCGATTATATATATACACAAGAATTGCTCGTTTAAAGGATAAGATAATATGAAGTTATAAAGTAGCTGGTTCAAAGGTGATGATTTAGGATGTGTTAAACAAAGTTTATTATATCAATATCACATTTTTTTGACCTAATATTATTATAATATTAACTATAATATTTTTTTTTTACAGAACTATCCAAATTACACACAAATGCATCCACCAAGTGCAACTCGAATTGGCCAACATCCCACATACCATCAACAAATGGATGTAAATGCCCATCAATATGGATTATCACATGGGCAACAAAATCACCCTGCTTTACCTCAACATCCACATCAAAATATGGCAAGTCATGCTGGTGGCATTCAAAATCATCCAAGTGCTCATTTACATCATGCAGGGGCACCCCCAATGCATCATGTGCCTCGTCAAGCTCCAGTACCACCATCTACTGTTGGTCCATCACATGGTGTTCCATCACAAATGCCCTACGCATCACCTCATCATTCTGTTCCCATGAATTATCAACCTCATCAGGTTTCGCATCCACTTGACGTTAATGTCACAAATCAATACAACCCAATAAAGCCAGCCGGTATCGAAACTGGTAGTCCTCAGTATCGTCCACCTTTTCCTCAGTTGTCTCCTCAAATGTCACCACGAGCTCAAATATCGCCACGGCAACAGTCTCAATCTCAATTATCTCCACGTCCAGTGATGTCACCTGTGAAAGGCCCTAGCGCTTCCCCACACGGATCTCGCAATTTAGTTCAATCGCCTGTTTCGTCCGGCGCTCCTCCAGTTTCTAGTTCATTTACGTCACAAAATACTCTCCAAGCCTTAGAACAAATGGTTTTACCTTCTGGTGGAGAGTATCCTTATCAAAGAAACCCATCATCACCTGCAGTAGGACATATTTCCTCTTCGCCCTCACAATGGAATCAAAATAAAATGCCAAATCCAATAAATGTTGTGCAAATGGAAGGCGAACCTATGAAACCTCTTGAATCAGTTTCTCCCGCAAATACTTTAAAACCTGATCTTATGAAAAGTTCGCCCCTGATTGTGCCAACAGAACAAAAAACTGTAGACAGACAACAACCAGAAAAGGAAAAACAAAAAGATAGTATTAACACCTCACATACATTTATTCTACCGCATAATGTAGTAAGTGTTCCAAAGGAAAGTGTTTCATTAAATAATTCAACTAATCCTTCAATTGTTACAACTTCTGCGAACACATGTGTTTCTGTTGACGAAGCAGTGAAAAACGATAATCAGGGCCAAGGACGTCAACCATCAGAAATAATTTTCGAATCCATTGAAAATTCTAAAGAAAATGATAAGACTGATATGACTGGAGATGTTGCAAATTGCAATGAGCAAAAACAAGAAAATGAATCTCCAGCAATAGAAAACCCTAATAAGCCAATTGGTAGTGATCACTTGAGAAGTCATGTTTCGTTACCACCTTCTTCAATATCTAATATAAATTCTGCTGATAACAGTCAAGCATGTAGTCCACAAACTATCAATATGCCTATGAATCATGTACCTATTAGCACAACAACAAACATCCCAAATCAATTTGAAACTACCCCAAGTGTAAATGTAACTAGGAATCAAGGATATCCAAATAATAATTTTCAAAATGTTACAGCAAATATCCAGACTATTATGCCTCAACCTATTTCAGCTAACTTAGTTTCAAGTGCTTCAACAAGTATTCAAAGTAATCAAACTCCTAATATAACTCCTACTTTTCAAAGTGGAACTCAAGCTGGCACTCAAACAATTACTAATGGACAAAATAATCTTCCATCTACTCAAATGCATGGAAATATTACTAACACCGTGTCATCGAGTATACCTGGTCACAATGCGCAAGGTAATTTAACTTGCATACCGCCTACATCTGTCAGTATGATAGGAAATATGCAATCTGCTATACCTAATCCTCCTACCAATATATCCAATGTTCAAACAAATGCTCCTACCAATATGCCAAATATCCAAGTAGGATTGCCAATGGGTGTTCAAAATGTCCATCCAAGCATGGGGCAAACTCTGCAAAGCCAGCCTAATATTATTTCAAATGTAACTCATAATGTGAATCCTAACATGATAATGATGGCATCAAATACTTTGCCTCATCCCAATATTCCAAATATATATGCGGCATCTCATCATCAAGAGAGATTAGCCTTACAACAGCAAATACAGGACATTTATTGCTTGCCACCATCCAATGAGAATCAAGAAAAGGTCAGATGTCTTCAAGATAGGTTAGCGATGCTTCAACAACACGAAACTAATGACAAATGTAATGGGGGCCCAAATTGTATTTTACAAAATCCTATTTATGGATCAAAAATGGTGGAGAGTCCTCAAGTAACAAGTACCACAGGCCGTGGTCGTGCAAAAGGTCCAACAAAACCAAGAAAGCCCCGGGCAAAGAAAGAAAAAGTAGTGGCAGCATCCCAGTCACTAGATCAATTACCCGTGTCAGAAGATTGCGTCACAGCAGGTACAGGTCTACAAAGCAATTCCGAACTAGACACCGACTTAACTGAAGATATTTCGAATTTAGATAGCAGTGCACTCTCAATGGAAGAACTTGCGTGTGGAAAAGTGAAAAAGCCGCGAACGCCACGTAAAACCAAAGAAAGAAAACCACGTGCGCCCAAAGAACCCAAAACGCCTAAGGAACCAGGAGAAAAACTAGTTAAAGAACGAAAAAGACGTGAACCTAGGGATCCTAATGCACCGAAAAGAAAAAGAAATGTTAAAAAAGTTGCACCAGAAATTCAAGCAGACACAACGACGAGCAATGATCTACTAGAAAAAAGTGCTCCTATGAACAACCCAAATGATTTTCAGACCGATAATACTGTTATAAATATAGATCCCGACAAAAACATAAAAGTTGTTACAGAGATGCCATCTTTAGATGACTGTAATGTCACAGATTTTGATGATATTCCTGTGTCCAAAATAGCCATCAAGGATTTGCTAGAAGAAGCAGAAGCAAAGCGTGAACAAGCAGAGAGAGAAGAGGATATTGATAACACAGGACAAAAAAAGAAAGCTTCTAAGAAAAAATCGTCTGGAGGGAGTAGCTGCAAAAAACTTGTGGCAAAGAAAACTCCAAGTGGAAAAAAGAAAAGGCGGGGGGGATTAATACCAGAGTCGGATGGTGAACCGGACGACTTAATAACTACTCCACCTCCGTCTCCACCTCCTGAAGGTGACGATAGTTTGAAACGTCGATCTGCTAGAAATACACAACGAAAAAAATACACTGACGACGTAATGTTGCGCTTATCTGATGATGAATTCACTATGTCAACTCCGAAATTTGAAAAGGATTCCGATGGCTTGAATCTAGAATGCAAAGATTTTCAACGACCTGAAACTACCCCTAAGCCAAATTATATTTATGTTAATACCACAGAAGAAGATTCAATGATAGTTCAACATGTATTAGCATCTCGAATGGGAAAACGAGAGCTTAAACCTGAACCGCCAGTTAGTGAACAGACGAACGCGGAAAAGCCCGAGTTGTTAGACAAAGATAATGTTGAGGAAAATGAGAAAGAATGTCAAAATGAAAGTGCTGGCCCAAGTAGTACCAATATAGAAAAATATGAAGAAAAGCCAAAAATTGAGTCTATTGAAGCATTAGAAAGTAAGGATATCAAAATGACATCAGACAACGATTCTACGGAAATAAAAAATAAAAAACCGATAATGGTAGATGTAGAGGAATACTTTGTGAAATACCGAAATTTCTCTTACCTACATTGTGAATGGAAAACCGAAGAAGAGCTTTATAAGGGTGACAAACGGATTTTCTCTAAGATTAAACGTTTTAAGCAAAAGCAAGCTCAGCAGTTAAATATATTTGAATTGTTAGATGATGAACCATTTAATCCTGATTATGTTGAGGTTGAAAGGATTCTGGATATGTCTGAAAATCAAGATCCTGCTAATGAAACTGTTGTCAAACACTACTTAGTGAAATGGAAAAGTTTACAATACGAAGATTGTACTTGGGAGTTAGAGGAAGATGTAGATGTCGATAAAATTAAACAATTTAAAACTTTTAGTGAAATACCATCAAAAGAAAAATGGAAATTTAAAAAACGGCCATCTGCTGATAATTGGGTTCAATTGAAAGAATCACCTATCTACAAAGGTGGAAATACATTGAGACCGTACCAATTAGAAGGCTTAAATTGGTTATTATTTTCATGGCATAATAACAGAAATTGTATCTTAGCAGATGAAATGGGGTTGGGTAAAACCATTCAAAGCTTGACATTTGTTAATTCAGTTTGGGAATATGGAATTCGAGGTCCTTTTCTTATAATTGCACCACTTTCAACAATTCCAAACTGGCAGAGAGAATTTGAAGGCTGGACAGACATGAATGTGGTTGTCTACCATGGATCTCAACAAAGTAAAAGTATGATCCATGAATATGAATTCTATTATAAGAGTGAGAAGGGAGAAGCAATAAAAGATATAACTAAATTTAATGTTCTAATTACAACTTTCGAAATTATAGTCACTGACTTCCAGGAGCTGAAATCTTTTAATTGGCGAATATGCGTAATCGATGAAGCACATAGACTTAAAAATCGGAATTGTAAACTACTAGAAGGGTTAAGGCAGTTACATTTAGAGCATAGAGTACTTTTGTCCGGAACACCATTACAAAATAATGTGAATGAACTTTTTTCACTGCTTAATTTTTTGGAGCCCTCACAATTTTCCAGTAGCGATGCATTCTTAAACGAATTCGGTCAGTTAAAGACTGAGTCGGAAGTCTTAAAATTACAAGCTTTATTGAAACCTATGATGCTAAGGAGATTAAAGGAAGATGTTGAAAAAACTTTGGCTCCTAAAGAAGAAACTATTATTGAAGTGGAATTAACGAATATACAAAAAAAATACTACAGAGCAATACTAGAGCGCAATTTTAGTTTCCTGCAAAAAGGTACAGCTTCGGCTGCAAATATTCCTAACCTGATGAACACCATGATGGAACTGCGAAAATGTTGTATTCATCCCTATTTGTTAAATGGTGCTGAAGACCAAATTCAATTTGATTATAAACAAGCTAATGGAGAAGACAAAGAAGCCTATTATAAGGCACTTATACAATCTTCAGGCAAAATGGTATTAGTTGACAAGTTACTGCCCAAATTAAAGGCTGGAGGGCATAGAGTATTAATTTTCAGTCAGATGGTTCGATGTTTGGACATTTTAGAAGATTACCTGATGTTTAGAAAATACCCTTATGAAAGAATTGATGGACGAATACGAGGTAATTTGAGACAAGAAGCTATTGATAGGTTTTCTAAACCAGATTCCGATCGCTTTGTATTTCTTTTATGTACCAAAGCTGGGGGTTTGGGGATTAACCTAACAGCTGCTGATACCGTTATCATATACGATAGTGATTGGAATCCTCAAAATGATTTACAAGCTCAAGCACGATGTCATCGTATAGGTCAGCAGAAAATGGTGAAAATTTACAGGTTGATATGTCGCAACACTTATGAAAGGGAGATGTTTGATAAAGCATCATTAAAACTTGGTCTGGACAAAGCAATACTACAAAGTATGAATACTGCACAGGGTAAAGAAGCTGGGTTAAAACAGTTGTCTAAGAAGGAAATTGAAGACTTGTTGAAAAAAGGAGCATATGGAGCCGTAATGGATGAAGATAACGCTGGCGATAAATTTTGTGAAGAAGATATTGAAATGATTCTAGCTCGCCGCACACAAGTTATTCAGATGGAGTCCGAAAAGGGTTCTACGTTTTCAAAAGCCAGTTTTGCAGCTACTGATCAAAGATCTGACATTGATATAAGAGATCCTGACTTTTGGAATAAATGGGCAAAAAAGGCTGATATTGATACTACAGAGAAAAAGGAAGACGAAGATTTAATTGTAACAGAACCAAGAAAAAGAACAATTATAAAAAGATACGGTCACGACGATGGCCCTATGGAAATGTCAGATATGGAAGTAACACCAGATTCTGAAGACGACGAAGAAGGTAAGAAAATAACAACCAATAAATGCTTGTTAAGTCATAAATCCTAAAAGGGTATTGATTCCTCCTTGTCGCTGATGTTGAACCATCGCGCTCCATAACTACTTACAAGATTTACAAGATCAATTAACATATATAATGGTGACATTTAGTCTTTTCAAATAAGAGTGCAATCAAATGTTAAATGTAATTTGATTTATTAAATGGGATCTAATAAGTGGACTGGTGTTTTCTTCGACGCTTCTACTGATATTTGCTTTGGAAGGCGTCTGTAGAATCATTTACAAGATGCAAACAAGCTACTTGTCACAATGGCCATTAAGAAAATGAATTTAATATGGTTCACAAGAAGACTTAAAATTATGAAAATGATTAGTTTTGGCAAAATATTTCCCATTAAATTTTTTTAAATTATTTTTTTTACGTTTATTTTAAATAACTAGATTTTTAGTTAGTTTTTATTTTAAAGTTATTATTCCCACTACTTCCTGGTTTTTAAAAGTATTGTTCCAATGCCAAATCCAAATTAGTTATACTAATGTGGTTTTCTTTACATAATGCAGTTTCAGTATTAAATAAATAACTATTTATGTGCACATACATATTTTATTACCTTTTTTGTTCAAGGAATTAGCCTGAGAAGCAAAAGGAAAAAAGAAAAGTTAGGCAGAAAAGGAAGAAGATATGCAAGTGATGACTATGTCCCAAGGCATGAAGGTTTTCCACTTGATGAGGAAGTTGTTTATGGGTCTTGGACCAGATCAGAGTGTTTTAAGATTGAAAGAGGATTATTAACTTTTGGGTAATATTATTTCTATTATTCTAATATATTCTATTCGATAATATATTATATTTTTATATATATTATTCAAATATATCTGATATTTTACCCAGGTCATTTTTCGTTTTACTAAATAGTATGGCAGTGTATGATCATCCAAAAAGACCATATTGAACAAATTTCCCTTTTATTGAGTTAATCAAAAAGTAACTGTTTCAGATGGGCGCGATGGGAAGAAATTATTGACAAAAATCAATTCCGAAAGGGGTGGACATTACCTGTTATTGAAGATTGTGCGCGAATAATTGTAAGCATATACAATAAAGTTTTCCTTCTCACTATTTGATTAAGATTTCTCTTTAAAAAAAAGTTAATTATCAGCCTATACATGCCCCACTGCTGGGCAAAGGCCTCCTCTGTACAGAGGATATCAGGGCATAGTCCTCCACGCGGCCCCACTGCGGATTCGCGGACTTCACATATCTTCGAAATATTTAATTTTATTATTATTTTCGAAAATATGCAGGTTTTTTCACGATGTTTTCCTTCACCGCTGAGCACGTGATAATTCAGCACTTGAAATTAACAATTTGGTGCCGGCAACGGGGATAGAACTCGCGTTGCTCGAGTATATTCAATTAAAGGCGAGCGCCCAGACTCTGAACTATCACGGCTCTTTTCTCTTTAAAAGAGAATTTTTTTATGATGACTTGCCATGCTAATACCGAGATAGTTTAAGACTTTCACTGAGTTCAAGATATTTTTCTGAAAACCATAACATTTTTTATTTATTTATTTTTTATATTCAAGAAATACAATAACACATTTCATTCCAGGTTTTATATTGCTTGCGTCACTATAAGGGTGATGAAAAAATACGCAATTTCATCTGGGATTTGATTGAACCCTGTGAAAATGGTGAAGTAACAATTTCTAGAAATCACAGTGGTCTTCATAACCCAGTCCCTCGCGGTAGGAATGCTAAGAAAAAGAATCGATTAAAAGAAGTCCCGAAGCTAAATGATCTACAAAAATGGGAAGATCCAAGTCATTGGAGTTCTACAGATAAATATGACTGTGAAGCCTATTTGGAAAGTAGTTATAAGAAACATTTGTTCCGGCATGCCAACAAGTACGTTATTTTCTTGCATTAGATAGTTATGTGGCTTGTAACTTTTATTATATTTATAACATTTTGTGTTAGCTTATATAAATATAATTTATTTTATTTTTCAGAGTGCTGTTGAGGGTGCGTATGATGTATTATATAAAACATGAAGTAATTGGCGACTATGCGACGCAAATAGAAAACGGAGTACATGCAAGGTAAGGCTTGCAGAATTAAAATATTAAAAGTAGAAAAATGTGGTATAATTTTTACATTGTTCCCGTAAATTGAAAATTCCTAATGGAAAAACATTTAAGTTGTTCTTGTTTTCCCTTTACAAAATATGAGAATTATTCTATGTTAAGCTTTGATCTATAAATTTGGTGTCATTTTTAATTTAATAGCTCATTGGGGATGCGTGTGCCGCGTGGAGTGGATAGTACACCACCACGACTATGGTGGGATACGGAATGTGACGTGTCTTTACTAGTTGGCACTTACATTCATGGTTATGAAAACTACCTAGCAATGCGGTCTGATCCACAACTATGCTTTGTGGATAAATTGGGACCACCTGATGACGCCGAATGTACAGATATCAAGTGAGTTATCAATAATATTTTGTATCATCTGTAATTACTGGTTTAAAAACCTACTAGGTCTACCGGAAAGTTCTGTCCGTTTTAGAATGAAACAAAGGAATACATTTTTTCATACTTTGGATAAACTTTATTGAATAATATAATTGCCATCATTATTTATGACTTCTTGCCAGCGTGATGGCAATTTGTATATCCCATTTTTAAAAAATGTCTTATCTCTAGAGGCCAAAAATTGAACCAGTGCTTGTCTGATATCTTTTTCGTTCTTGAATTGTTTGCCCTACAAGAAATTTTGTAAGGACAGAAACAAGTGATAATCAGATGGTGCTATGTCCGGGGAGTATGGTGGATGCGACAGAATTTCCCAGCCTAGCTCTGCGACTTTCTGACGAGTCCCCAAAGCAGCATGTGGCCTGGCATTGTCATGAAGCAGTATGATGTCCTTCCTATTGAACATCGCCGGCCTCTTTTCTTGGAGTGCTGTTTTTAATTTATCCAATTGCTGACAGTACGTCTCCGAATTTAGCCTTTCGTTTGGTTTCAACAGCTCAAAATGTATTGGTCCTCGAATGTCCCACCATTTACACAACATTCTCTTGTTCAGGCTCAACTTCGGTTTAGAGGTAGAGGGGCAGCTTTTCCGGGTTCACAATATGCTCTTTTTCTTATGATGTTTTCATAGGTAATCCACTTTTCATCCCCAGTTATGATCCGGTCCAAGAAGGGTTCGATTTTGTTGCGTGCAAGCAGAGATGTGCATATGATGATTCGATCATTCAAATTCTTCTCACTTAACTTGTGTGGCACCCATCTCGAATACTTCCACACAAACCCTAGTTTCCGAATATGGTGGAAATGGTTTGTTGAGCTGAATAAAGCCTTTCCGCAATCTCCGATGTTGTCAAAAAAGGATCTTGCTCTAACATGATCTTGACAGTATCGTCGTCGATCAAAGATGGCCGCCCAGAGCGTGGCTTATCAGAAAGGTCGAAATCACCTACATGAAATGAATTTGAAGAAATTTAAAGAATTTTTGAACCATCTTCTGCATGTTCTATCAGAAACTGTACCTTCACCAAACACTTTCAATAAATTTCTATTCGCTTCTGTAGCATTTCTTCCTTGTTGGAATTCGTACAAAATACAGTAGCGTAAATGAACTTTGTCGGTAGCCATGGGTACACGATCGCGTCTCACTTAATACTAACAAGAATGATCTTCGTTTTAGTTCATCTGCGACGAAAATGTGTATATATTGTTAGCAATCAAAAGACAGAGCCAAATATGTGTCAGAGGAATATGCGCGTACTTGTTGAAGCTGGTTGTAACCGGAGCGGACAGAACTTTCCGGTAGACCTAATATTATATTACTAGTACCCATGTAAATTTTTAAAAGAAGAGGCCTTGATGCATACCTAAACTGACCATGCGTCCCGTTTTGAACGGGACTGTCCGAACAAATTCTTCGGCTAGCAAAATCGTCCCGTTTTCTGAAACCGTGCGAAATTTTAAAACCACGATCGTCCGACATGATCATGAGTAGCGCGGAACCGCGATCGGATATTCCCGGTTATTCCCCGCATGCACGCGCTCTCGGTTACATAGTAACGCAGTGAGGAGGAGAGGGAGAAAGGCCTACTGCATTTGTTTCTTTCAATTGGCTAGCCACGCGCATGTATTCTGACTTATTTGTTTTGCGTAATGTTCGTTAAATAGTTGTGTAGATAATTTGAAGTTTTGTTGTTTTGAAATTTTTCCTGTAGTTATGCCGAATATCAAATTTTATTCTTATTTAAAGTTGTCACGTTCTTTATTAAAACAAATTTGTTCCTCTGAGAAATATAAAAATATACCAATCGATACCTTAATTGGCAAACCAGCCAAAAATAAATCGGATAAAGATTACGCCGTTCCTTTGATACAGAAACTACTAAAAAATCATGAAACTATACTACTGTAAGTAAAAGAGAAATAGTGTTATCCAATGTCATAATATTTCTGAAGATGACGGAAAAATATTATTTGATAAATTTTGAAATATGACAGGATAAAAAACGAATTTACGTTGATAATTTAATAAAAAAAATTATACAAATAGGTAAAGAGATAGACCCTTATAATAGATAAGAAAGACCCTTCAAAACTGGTGTATTTATGATATGAAAACTAGAGAGGGGTGTTTCTATGGAATGAAGGTAAAGATGGGCTGAGTTCTGATTAGTTTGCAACGAATTTAACTAACTTCTTAATTGATAAAGTAATTCTAACAATAGAATTACTATTAATAAGGAGATGACAACAGATATTAAAAAAATTAATTAAATTTGATGATACCAATAAACCTGACTCTTTTCTGGTTGTTAATAACCAATTTTGGAAACTCTACGTCGCGTTAGTTTAGTTTTTATTTAAAATAAATCTATCAAGAAAACCAGCTAATTCCCAGATCACATACTTTTGCGCGAAAGGAAAAACGGATAACTCCTAAAAAACGCTGTAGTATGGTAATGAAAATGTATAATGGCTTTTATAATATCAAAAATGACAATTTACGATAATATCTACCAACTATATTTTAGATTTTCTCATAAGTACTCTAAAAAAAATATTATACAGTTTTAAGTGTCTCCTGTAAAACTTGCCCATATGGAGTTAACTTGTTTGCCAATTAAGGTATCGCAATGTTGTTTTAATAAAAAATAGTGAATTGATGATTTTTTCTTTGTATCTTTTAATTTTTCATTTTTTCGGAATAAATAAAATTAAAAAGTTAATCATGTCCCGTTTTGAGTGAGTAAAAAGTGATCAGTTTAGGCATACTAATAAATACAAACGGAGTTATTACAAAACAATAATAACTTTATACATTCTTCTTTATAAGCCAATTTCCATTTTTCTTCTCCGGTACTCCTTGATTCATTCATTTTCAAATCTTAAAACATTCTAATTGAATTTTTTTGCACTTAATAGAATTAGAAGCACTATTTAAAAGTAAAAATCATAACATATTCTAAGTCCATATAGTCAAAGTCTTTATAAATATGACATGATTAAAGTAACAATGATCACTAAAATTGTTATGCAATATCATAAAGGAGTGAAGAGCGCAAAGTGAGAGGAAGCGTCGTAGGTGATGAAGACTGCACCGACGACGTGTCGAGCGGCGCTGGTGCTACGTCGCCCGCCGCCTCCCCTCGCCCTGATGACGACAGTGCACACGCCAGCCACTTGTGGCCTTCCATGCAAGACCTAAATACTAGGCTACGCCGCCTAATAACCGCCTACCAGCGCAACTACAAGCGCGAGGAGCTTAAAATGCAACAGAGAGCTAAGGTAGGAGAAATTTAGAAGATCGCAACATTTAGTAATTGTAGGACTGGGGCATCGGCCTATCTGCCTGGAATGCAATCATTAGATGAGATATGAGGATTAGGTAAAGTGGGCATTCTAATGATGTAATGTACTTTTGGTGCAATTGTGAGCTTAAAACCAATTCAATATCTTAAGTAGTCAGATTGATATAAAATGTTCCACCATCTCTCATATTGTTCATTTTTAAGATGGAGCGTAGAGAAAGAATGGATCAACTTGCACGAGACGAAGTTTCGCAGTGGCGTTGGACCCGTGCGGATGAAGAGGCTTTCAGGCGGACTGTCGCTTCTTATGGAGTTGAATTCGACCCAGCTACCAAGAGCCTCCGCTGGAATCGCTTTAGATCTTTGGCGCGGCTGGATTCAAAGAGCGACGATGCTCTGACTGACTACCTAAAAGCATTTATGGCTATGTGTAAACGACAGTGTGGCTTATCAGTTGGCGAAGCAGAGTTGCCAACACGAGCAGACTTAAAAGCAGAACCTATTGGCGAGGAAAGAGCTATAGCGACATTAGAAAGGTGGGAAATTCTTTGTATTCTTTCTGAAATAACAGTTATAATAATTTTTAACACACTCGTGCCCTAATTCAATCCATATGCCGTGTTATATGCGAAAAGAAGTTTGGATGGATTCCCTAAAGGTTGTCAAATATAATTTGTTTAGGATCGATTTACTTCGCGTGCTACGCGAAGAAGTGGCGCCACACCCGGCCTTGGAGGCGCGTTTGGCTCTCGCTGAGCGCTCGCTTGACACACCGCCTTGGTGGCAGCCCGCACGCCACGATAAGCTGCTCGTTCTTGGAGTCTGCAAGTAAGTTAACAAGTTCCGATAATCTTTTCTATTTGTAAATACCAAATAATATAGGAATGTAGTAAACAGTATGATTTATGATAATTATGATTTCATTACGATTACATTTATATTGAAGTCTTTTTATTACATTGACTGATTGTTATGTCATTTAACGCTGTCATGATAATGTATACAAAATATTTATAATTTTGCTACAGACATGGACTGGGTGACACATTTAATAAAATATTTTCTGACCCAAAATTACCTTTCGCCGATTGCGCTAGAAAATGGCAACCGAAATACAAAACTAGTACTAAAAAAGAACCGGAAAAACAATCTTCAGATGAAGAGGACAAAAGTAACTTTGAAGGTACTAATGAAACTCGGATGTCATTGCGTCGCAGTAAACGAACGTCTAATATATGTGATCGCGACACCGAGGAAGATATGGATGCTTTAAGCGAGCTTGAAACTCTAGCTAAGTTGGGAAGAGTAGAGGAATCCTTATCACCTGACCTCTGGTTCTCAGAGAGAGCATTGGAAACTAGATTGCATCACATTGCGCATGCCGTACAGAATTGTGAGTGGCCTTCAGCAGCACCTGCACAAAAGGCGGGGGAAAGCAACACTGCGCAAGCGGAAGTGCAGGACGAGCGTAAACAAGTACAAAAGCGACATATCGCCATAGATGTGGAAACGGAGCGAGCGAAGTTGCATGCGCTGTTGTCATCGCCACAAGCGGCGCATACTTCGAATCGGGAGGTGCACAGAGCCGGCAGTTCTACTGTTAGTGTCAGTGCGAGCGGCGGCACGTGTATCGGCGAGCGCGATGACGCTTCGAGCGATTCGGGCTCCCGAAGATCGACGCCCGCACCGCCACCCGCTCACCAACGAGTCGCCCCGTCGCCGGCGCCAAGCGCCGCGGCGGCTTCACCTTCGCCCAGCGTATCGAGCGCCTCCGTTGCGCCGGTGGATCTCTCCGCGCCCCTTGACCTGAGCGAAGCGCAGGACTTCTCGTTGGGGCGACGCACGCCGCAAATCGGCGATGCTCAGGCGCCCACTGTGGCAACCGCTGCAACCGCTGCCACCGCTGCCGCGACACCACCGCGCAGCAGACTGGACGATACCCTCAGCAGACTGATGAAACGCAAGAATGTTGTAAGTTTCTTTATTTTAGTTGTTAAATGACTATACAGGGTGTAAACACACATTTTATGCATAGAAAAGACATACAAGGGATTAAACAACTTAAATGAGATGTTTCTGATATACGAAGAGATATAGCTAGCGCCATGTACACCACATGTAAATTTAGCTGAACAACTACGTACAATATGTACGTATATGTACGAAAATTCAAGATATATTAGGAAAGGACAAAAAGAACATAATATGATGGGCTGAAATTTACAGAAATGTCATTTTAGGAAATCTTGACTACATGGTTTGTATTGTCTCTTTTGACATAGCGAAAGAAAATTTTTAAATTATTCAATCAATTCTTCCTGTTGTTGTCGTTACCAGGTCAGGCCTATTGAAGTTGACCATCTGGGCCCCTGTATTTTTCTATTCAGTGTACATATTAAAAGCCCAAATTAAAACATGTCTTGTATGTTATTATAGTTTATGTTATTAATTTAACATTTTAAAATAGCGGAACAACGTAGAACAGTTGATCGTATGGTCGAACTTTTATTTGATTTTTGATCTAAAATCATGTTCAGTCTAAGATTAAGAATAGTAACCGCTTTTTCATAATACCAAAGACTGTTCAATGATAATTATATTTATATTTTTTTGTTGAAAACAGCCACCAATATACAGCGTGTCGTTACTTCCGCGACAATAAATGAGCACAGGTCTAAAGTTATTTGCCAATAATCATAAAAAATACAAAATTAAAAAAAAATCGATAGTTAAAAAAAATTTCAAACAAATTAATTAAATAAAAAAGAAACAAATTTGTAACACCCATACAGCTACAACTGACTAACTCATACATTCGGAGACTTTTTCATTTGGTGCCACAGTGTCGCGTTACAAGTCTCTCCATCTAACAGTATGTTTTATCTTTTTTAAATTCATTCAACCCATTCATATGCTTTGTGACCTTTACAAATGAACTTTACGTTACAGTTTTATACGTTAGGGTGTTCTAAAATTATTTGTTTTGGAAAATTTAATAACTCTGTGAATATTGTTGTTCAAAGGATGTAAATGGTTAATACAATTTTAAGAATGGGCAGGCCCGTCCGGGCAAGTGCCACGACCTCACAGAAAGTGGAAGTATGACAAATACTTTCGCGTTTCGTCGGTGAGTGAGGTAGCCGGAGCCCAATTTTCAAAAGGTTGTCAACGCATCTGTAACCCTCGGGTGTAGCAGATGTTCATGGGCGGCGGTATTCACTCACCATCAGGTGAACCGTCTGCTCGTTTGGCAACTTTTCACATTTTTAAAACAAATTATTTTAAGACAACTTGTAAGTATAAAACTGTAGCGTGAAGTTCATTAGTAATGGTCACAAACCATATGAATGGGTTAATGAATTCAAAAGGAGAAAAAACACGATGCTAGAAAGAAACAATCACATTGTAAGGTTTTGTAGGTACTATGGGACTGTGACGTTGTCGTTTTGAGTCTATAACGTAAACATTATAATAAATTGTTATCTTTAATAATAAATTGTTTCTTTTTTATTTAATTAGTTTGTTCATATTAAATGAAACTACTTTACGGATTTTATCGCGTTTTTTATTTTGATTTAAATTTCCGACGTTTCGAACCCTTTCCAGCGTTCATGGTCACGGGACAGACAGTCCGTCGTAAAGTAGTTTCATTTAATATGTATAATATTCGCGTAAAATCAAGAAAACAATATATAATTAGTTTGTTTGCAAATTACTTTTTTTTAATTATGGGTTTTTAACGTTTATATTTTTTTATGATTATTAGCAAGTAACGATAGAATTGTTTTCATTTAATGTCGCGGCTGTAACACCACGCTGTATACAAATTATTTGAGTAAATAAAAATAACTAATTTACTTTTTTTTTATTAAAATCAGAGTGTAAAAATGAGTTTTTATTTTACAGCCCGCACCGGAACAAATTATTGGAAAAGAAAAGAAGAGGAAAAAGTTAGACGAAATTGTATTAGGTTTGTCTGCAGCAAAAAGTCAAAATACTACTCCTATAACTTCATACGAACCGCCACGCAGTAGAAGTTCATCCATACTTCCTGAAGTGACAGTAACTCCCACAGTACCGCCGAGTACCTCAAGCACACCATCAACTCAAAAGCCGTTCTCTGTAACAGTCACTAATGTCCCTTCACCCCATGCATCTTCTAAAGAGTTATCTTCATTTTTACAACAATCCCTTGAACAAAGCAGTAGTAAGAGCCAGAAAACTACTTCGACACTGCCCATAAAATCGTATTCACACGAAGCTAAAGTAAATAAATGGTTAGCAGAACAACAAGCGAGTGTAGAGTCACGTCGACGTGGTTTACCACCTCGACTTGCACCTGACGAGCACGTGCCTGTGGTACATCGTGTCACTGGTAAACGAATAATTGGCCATAAGGCACCACAGTTAAAACATTTGGCACAATGGATTGCTGAAAACCCAATGTATGATATTGACTCGAAATGGACAGAAGGCATAAAAGAACATGTAAAATTGCCCCAAGACGTAAGAAGTCAGAGACATTCTCCAATGCAACCAACAACAAGTTCACTAAGCGACCGAAAAAAGGGAAGACCTCCAACTCTGGACACTACAACAAATGTTTTATCTTCTAGTCCACATCTAAATCAAAACATAGCCGGCTTAAATCCTGCACTATTAGCTAGTTTATCAAGCTTAAGTGCTTTCGATCCAAAAACACTTGCTGCAACACTATCCAATTTAACTGGATTTGATCCGAAACTTCTTTCCAGTCTGAGTAGTTTTGATCCAAAAAATAATCCATTGTTGAATTCGTTTAGTAGTATGCCTAATTTATTGGGAAACATAACAGGAGGTAATATTTTTGCAAATTTAGCTGGCCTAGGACTTCCTGGCTTTTCATCTCTTGACATGAATAATCTAAGCGGAACCAGTACATCAGGAGACAAATCGAAGTCAAGAAAGCCGTCTGAAACCACCAGTGCATCAACTTCAAAAGCTACCAACTCTCAGTTTCCCTTTGTTTTTCCAAATCCTAATATGCTGTACCCTCAATTAGGATTAAGCGGTTTATCACCGTTTGGTGTTCATTCTGGCATGACGTCGGCCTATGATGCTTTAGGACTTTTAAGTAGCAACTTAGCGGCTAGCTCAAGTTCGGGGACTTTACATGGTTCGAGTCACAATTCTCGCGCGAGTACAAAAACTACAACGCCGAGATCATCTACAGTAGTTACCAATTCTGCAACATCACGACAACAAAAGGTATCAGATCGACAACAGTCAAGTCATTTGCCCCAAATATTACTGCCTCCAGATCCATATCTTCTTGAAACACTTTCGAAACAGACACTGAATTATGACAGTGCATTGAAAGCTGAGGCCAAGCAGCGAACTCGTGATAGCGACAACAATGAAAATACGGCGACAGATTTGTCTAAATCTGATAAAAAAAAAAATCCTTTTGAATCGTTACGAACACAGGTTCCACCTGAATTCGCCGCAGTTCAGGAAAAACTTTTGAAAGGTGATAAGAAAGACATTGATATAAGCAAAATGCTTTTAGAACAAATGGCTTCCGGTGCTTTAAGCGCAAGTCTGGTCAGTTCAGCTGAAGCTAAGAAAAATAAAGAAATCGAAAAAGAAATTTGCGAAAAAGGTAAAACTTCAGTGGATTATCTTTCGAGGATATCAAGTGAAGAAAATGTTACCAATTTAACAATGGCTCATAAAAGAACGCTTGAAGAAATTAGTAACGAACCTGAAAATTTAGCATTACAACCAACTGCTAAGAAAACAAAAGAAAGTTCTACTTCGGAAGTACTCACAAACGTTGAAAAACAATCTGAACATTCTACAACTACAGGAGAAATGGATCTGGAAGATTTAATAGCTCCGTCGACTGTTATAAAGACCGGTATGAAAGCGACTGATTTCGAATTGAATAAGCCAAATGACACTACAACGCAATTATTAACAATGAATATAGATAAAGACGACAAATCACAAATTAAGAACGTTGCTAATGATGATACCGATGTTCATGACGGTAATGATAATTCGATGGTACTAGATTGCACGAACAGTTTAACAGAGACTGACAAAAAAACTGAGGTTGGAAATGATGAAAGCAATTCTGATTTGCTATCTGGCGATGCTTCTAAAAAAGGTAATAGAAAAAAGAATCGAAAATCGTCCGAAGAACCTTTAATATCCGGCCCACGTCGGGAATTACGATCAAGTGCTGGAAGACTATCAACTGACGGATTTAACCATTAATTTAATAATAGAGCGTTGGATGTTTAGTAAGAGAAGGCCTAAATAATTTTATTATTTCATTACATGACTATGGATAGTACTATTTTGCATTGTAATAAATTCCATAAAAATTACATTTATTAAGCATTTATAGCTGAATACACGCGCGGGATTATGAAAGCTTTATTTTTATTGACCGAAACTGAGGTTATGTTTATAAACCTATTTATATAATAAATAAATCTTTGCAGTCACAATTGAAAAACAATCACAGATTCCAATTGGAATTTTTAAAATATCAAAATAGAATTATCAAATAGCCAATAACCAATTTGTTATTAGATAAACATCCTATTCTTTTCTAACTAAGCTATGCTTTAAGCTGATCAAATTACAACCTTAGATGTTGATTTTTTCTAGTGTTTTTTTTTACTATCACTGCTGCAGATTAGAGACAATTAATATCTCTAAACAGCATTATATAACTCTAATTTTGTTGTTATTAGCTTTCCTTCTATTAAATGAAACATCAAATTCACATCAGTATTTCTTAGTATCAATTAACGAATAATGTAAGTTGCAAAAAAATGGAATTTTAGTTTTCTCACACGATTCTTAAGACTAAGTATAGCTATTTTAGGAATACCAGTTTTGTTGTTCTTGTTAAACAAAATATTAATATTAGAAGACTGGACAGCTCCTTACGGATTGAATTTATGATAATTCACTCTATTTCTAAGTAGCGTCATCCTTCCCTTATAAATATTTTCCTCCTGCAGTTATTTTAGATGGAGAATATGCTTTGAATTATGGTATGATCTTTGTACACAGCTTATCAAAAGTTTAACATCAGTGAGATGTCCCGCAACTTTATGGGCTATATTCAATTTGTGTTTAATATAGATATAGTTATACCTCCTATATGTTCTTACATTTAGATGTAAGTTTATTTTTAAGAAACATTTGGCGATGCAATTTTACAAAATTCTTATATCTCAATTGTAATAACAGTAATGAAATTCAGTGTATTTCTTAGTTGATGATATGAGTTTAGTTTTAGGCCTAAGTGAAGAAAGTTAAGTAAAAACGCTGAATGTGATAAAATTATTTATTACATGTATTCTTATTTGCATTGCATTGCTGTATTGATGAATATTGTATTGTAGATAATAATTAATGTGACAAATCATGAATAAACAAGAAAATCGTATTTAAGATAATTATTTCCCCTAATCCATGTGCATATAACACACATTTACTTATCTTCCTGAAAGCCATCAGGTACTAAAGTACCAATAAAATAAAATTATATAAACCGCCACTAGGGAACTATGGTACCTACGCGACAGTGTAAACAAATTTCGTATATCATTAACTAGCGCTTTTCGATTATAAAAATAGCTTTATAGAGACGTTCTTTAGAAAATTATTCAACGAAATAAATTTAGCTGGCTTATTTGAAAGTTGTGTCAAGCCGAACGCCATAATAAAATTTAGAGTTTGTTTTAGAAATGTAGTATATAATTTTAGAATATTACTTATCTCAACATATACAAATAATATCAGATATGTACCTTGTAAGTTTCTGTTGTAGTTTTTCTTTTTTTGTCTTTCTGTGCACCTACCTAATCTTCTCTGTTCTCTAAGGTTGACTGGGAGATAATGCCTTCGGCATTAAGTCCGCCTTTGTACTTTTAGTGCATAAAGGATAAATAAATAAATAAAGTTTATAACTGTAAGTGTGTAACGTGTGAAGTGATTGTTGACTTAATAAAATATGTCGTAAGTAAATATTTATATTAAAATATGTAGAAAAAGTACGAAAAGATTGTCGCCGCTGTGGGAATCGAACCCACGTCTTCGGCATTCGCTTACGCTTACGCTGACGCTTTAACCACTAAGCTAAACGGCTGATAGCCACACCGACGAAAATCTTAACGTCGAATTATAGTTGTAAAACGATATTCGAAATTGTTTGTCACTCACTAGACGAAACGCAAAAGTATTACACTTCCACCAGTCACTTCACGCCGGTCTTCTGTGAGGTCGCGGTACTTCCCTAACGGACCTGACCATTCGTACAACTGTGAAGACTGTTGCATGGTCGTACCACAGTAAAAACTTATAGATGTAACATATTTATGATTTTTTAAATTTCAGTAATAGGTTAGGTCAAATCCGTGCTGAAAAGCAAATAGCACAGCCCAGGGTTGCGGCGTTGTCGCGTTCCGTCAAGAAAGAGCTGCTGCAGAAAAAAAAATTATAATTTATTTTATGTGAAAACTACTTGTCAAACAAGCAGACGGTTCTCCTGATGTTAAGTGAATACCGCCGCCCATGGACATCTGCCACACCCAAGGGTTACAGATATGATGGCAACCTTTTGAAAATTGGGCTTATTATTATAAGGGGGGGATATTCATTTGTTTTCTCGTCTGGTTGGGTTTATAAATAAAAAATAAACATTAGGGATAAAAATAAACATATACAAATTTAAATTGTTTATAGTGCAACGATAATTCGAACGAATCGCCTTGCTTTTTTAGAAATTTAAATTGTTTATAGTGCTAATCTTTGCACTTAAGATTGAACATTAAAATAAGTAGAAAAAGTGCGAAAAGATTGTCGCCGCTGTGGGAATCGAACCCACGTCTTCGGCATTCGCGGCCTGACGCTCTAGCCACTGAGCTAAACGGCTGATTACCACACCGACGAAAATCTTAACGCATTCTTCCACATTGTTTTCTTAGCATTTGAAGCAATGCTTGGCGCCATCTATTGTTATATCCTTTCCAGCATACAAACAACTTCGAATATCGTTTTACAACGATAATTCGAACGAGAGTGTCGCCATTGCTTTTTTAGAAATTTAAATTGTTTATAGTGCTAATCTTTGCACTTAAGATTGAACATTAAAATATGTAGAAAAAGTGCGAAAAGATTGTCGCCGCTGTGGGAATCGAACCCTAGTCTTCGGCATTCGCGGCCTGACGCTCTAGCCACTGAGCTAAACGGCTGATTACCACACCGACGAAAATCTTAACGCATTCTTCCACATTGTTTTCTTAGCATTTGAAGCAATGCTTGGCGCCATCTATTGTTATATCCTTTCCAGCATACAAACAACTTCGAATATCGTTTTACAACGATAATTCGAACGAGAGATGTCGCCATTGCTTTTTTAGAAATTTAAATTGTTTATAGTGCTAATCTTTGCACTTAAGATTGAACATTAAAATATGTAGAAAAAGTGCGAAAAGATTGTCGCCGCTGTGGGAATCGAACCCACGTCTTTGGCATTCGCGGCCTGACGCTCTAGCCACTGAGCTAACGGCTGATTACCACACCGACGAAAATCTTAACGCATTCTTCCACATTGTTTTCTTAGCATTTGAAGCAATGCTTGGCGCCATCTATTGTTATATCCTTTCCAGCATTTTAATGTTCAATCTTAAGTGCAAAGATTAGCACTATAAACAATTTAAATTTCTAAAAAAGCAATGGCGACATCTCTCGTTCGAATTATCGTTGTAAAACGATATTCGAAGTTGTTTGTATGCTGGAAAGGATATAACAATAGATGGCGCCAAGCATTGCTTCAAATGCTAAGAAAACAATGTGGAAGAATGCGTTAAGATTTTCGTCGGTGTGGTAATCAGCCGTTTAGCTCAGTGGCTAGAGCGTCAGGCCGCGAATGCCGAAGACGTGGGTTCGATTCCACAGCGGCGACAATCTTTTCGCACTTTTTCTACATATTTTAATGTTCAATCTTAAGTGCAAAGATTAGCACTATAAACAATTTAAATTTCTAAAAAAGCAATGGCGACATCTCTCGTTCGAATTATCGTTGTAAAACGATATTCGAAGTTGTTTGTATGCTGGAAAGGATAAACAATAGATGGCGCCAAGCATCGCTTCAAATGCTAAGAAAACAATGTGGAAGAATGCGTTAAGATTTTCGTCGGTGTGGTAATCAGCCGTTTAGCTCAGTGGCTAGAGCGTCAGGCCGCGAATGCCGAAGACGTGGGTTCGATTCCCACAGCGGCGACAATCTTTTCGCACTTTTTCTACATATTTTAATGTTCAATCTTAAGTGCAAAGATTAGCACTATAAACAATTTAAATTTCTAAAAAAGCAATGGCGACATCTCTCGTTCGAATTATCGTTGTAAAACGATATTCGAAGTTGTTTGTATGCTGGAAAGGATATAACAATAGATGGCGCCAAGCATTGCTTCAAATGCTAAGAAAACAATGTGGAAGAATGCGTTAAGATTTTCGTCGGTGTGGTAATCAGCCGTTTAGCTCAGTGGCTAGAGCGTCAGGCCGCGAATGCCGAAGACGTGGGTTCGATTCCCACAGCGGCGACAATCTTTTCGCACTTTTTCTACATATTTTAATAAACATATACATATAAAAATATAATACACATATAAATAGGACCCAACCAGACGGAAGCCCTCTGCAGGGGAGACCAAACGGCCGAGGGTTAGGATGAGAGGGAGGGAAACCGGCGGACGATGCGGCCTGTATCGAAGAGCACCGCCTTCTGCATTAGAGCTTGGAGCGTTCCGTCCCGGAGTCCCAGTCGCCTCAGATGTCCGGAGAGGCTGACTGGGATCAACCCATTCGCAGACACGACTATCAGGATAATTTCGGTCGGCACACCACCCCACATGTCGATCACCTCGTGAGCCAGGTCCAGATACTTCGTCTTCTTATTTGTTTCGGCTTTCACGAGGTTCTCGTCATTTGCAATGGTAATGTCGACCAAAAATACCCGCGACTGTGCCTGGTCCATCAACATGATATCAGGTTTGTTCGCGACAATCGTCCTGTCCGTGATGATGGGCCGGTCCCATTAGCCTGGCGCGGTCATTTTCGAGCACGGCCTCGGGAGAGTACTTGTAGTACGGCAGTTACCGATCCACGAGGCCGTATTTCAGAGATCAGTTTTCATCACAGTTTTTCAATTTTAATATATTTTTATAGTTGCAAATTAAAATTATAACTCTTGATTTTTAGATAATTAGATTGCTTAGTTATTCAGCTTATTAAGTGTGATTCGTTTTTTGAGATAGTATTTGGAGTTTGCTAACGGGAAGCGTTTTGATCGCCAAAGTCGGAAGCGGTATAATAACATTTTATTTCTCGCGCTGGCGCTGGCGCCTGACACCTATTTGACAACGCGTGCCGCTGGCGTGCCAGCGGTTATACGGTATTATCCATTTATTATGAAATCCGAGTAATCTTCCCGTTTATACAGCATGGTGTTACAAGCGCGACTTTCAGTGATAACGCTACTTGCAAATAATCATAAGAATATTAAATTTAAAAATGTACATAATTAAAAAAAATTATAAACTAAATAAAAAAGAAACAAAATTTGTAACTCCTATACAACTGACTGAATGATACATTCATAGACTTTTGAATGATAAAACCGAGGCGCTCAAATTACACCAATTGGTGTAATTCTATAGAATGCATGATAGAAAAACTTGAGACTGTCTGGGGACATCCTTTAATTATCAACTTTTTTTTTTTTAATTTTCCTTTATTTGTGCTTCAAGACCATGCTTTTTGCAAAATTTCGTGATTCTTTGTCAACGGGAACTACCATATAAGTTACTTACGGTTGACCTAGAATTATCAATTTTCGTTAAAAACAAGGTATTTCAGCACAAGTAAAGGGACTAACTATCGAGTTGCGCAATGAACAGTTCGGATTCCGCAATGGCCATTTCACCACAGTGCAGCTGGCCCGAGTGCTGCACTATCTTGCGGCCCAGTACAACAGGGGCCGGGTCTGTCTGGGGGTCCACACCACCTACCGTCGTAGTAGTGTCATTTCTGCAGGACCGGAAGTTCGTCGTACGCGTGGAGGGAGCCTAATCGGTGGTACGATGCATCAAAGCCGGTGTTGTACCACCAATAACCGCAAGATAGTTGTCTGTCGCCGCACCTGTATACGGTGTACAGTGTACACGAAGGACATTCCCACCTTGGAGCATAACTGGGATGAAGACGTACTGTTGGCCCTAAACGCGAACCCCAGTGCGTTCATCACGTCTTCACAGGACGCGACGATTGCAGCGAGGTACTTTGTACTACATTTTCCGGCCCGTCGAAATTACCAACTGAAGCATGCATTCAACAACTGATCTATGAACTGAAGGTAGAAAATCGGCACAGTGAATATGTTCGTGCACAAGTGTGCTACACTGTGAGCGTACAGTTCATACACATATTCATGCCGGTGGAGTCAGGGGCTAAAAATGCAATATCGGCTAACCTACGTGTAATGCTGAAAATTCGCACAAAAAATTTGTTGACGAAAGTGCTGCACATTAATTTGGAGGAATCGTACCTTTATGTTCTATACAGCACACAAATGACTTCAAATATCTACAATTACAAGGATAATCCAAACGAGAAATGTCACCATTGCTATTTGACAAACCAGCCAAATGCGAGTCCTGCTCGCGCTCAAAGGATTCCGTACCATCATCTATAAAAAAAAACGGCAAAAAGTAATATTTGTTGTATGGGAGCCCCGCTTAGATATTTTTTTATCCGTTTATTAGTATTTGTTGTTATAGCGGCACAGAAATACATCATCTGTGAAAATGGTTTATGAAAAGTCATATCACGGTTCATGAGATATAGCCTGGTGACAGACGGACAGTCAGACAGACCGGTAGCGGAGTCTTAGTAATGGGGTCCAGTTATACCTTTTGTTTACGGAACCCTAAAAATGCAAATGAAGATTAATATACCTTTTAATAATAAATGGCAAATCTGTATGAGACCACTAGGGAGACATGGAGATTAAGAATAGGGGCATATTTCATACCCCCCATTGTTTCTATACATGCATTAATCTTGCACAGTGTCTTTCAACTTTTGGCAATGGTTTTCTCATTACGTCAGCTAACTGAATTTCTGTGTGACAGTAGCTAATCTTATCCTGTAAACGAGCAATTCTTGTATATATATATAATCGGAATCTCGGAAACGGCTCCAGCGATTTTCATGAAATTTAGTATGTGCATAGATTCGGGGGCGAAAAATCGATCTAGCTAGGTTTCATTTTTAGAAAATGTCCCTGTTTTCATAATATAATTCGAATATGACGTGGTTCGCGTCACGATCATTTACATATTTATTTTTGAAGTGAAACTTCTTTATCGGGGTTGGAAAAAAAGTTAAGTTAATTTAAGTTTAGTGTAACATTTATGCGTTACGCGCCATCTTGTTCTTATCTTAAAATGTTCCTCTAACGCCATCTAGTGTTGAATAGGGGGTTTTATGTCGTCTTTATTCTTCAGTGGTTTTAATAGTTGACGCTAGATGGCGTTAGTTCCTTTCTTTGTTCATAACTATATATATATATATATATATATATATATGTTATATTAAAGTGATCAGCAAAATCAAAGGGTTTAGTATTCAGTTATTACGTATTTCAGTTACCATAAGCCATTAATAACACAAATATATAATAACGACATCAATGATAGTAATAATTCTATTACAATTAATGAAATTCAATAATAATATTTGTAGTAATGACAGTGCTAGCTCTAATACTTCAGAGCACGACACTGTAGAGACTTCTGAAGCTGACCGATGCTCTTCGAAGCCTCGATCGGCTCCTGGAACTTGCGATTGCGACGTCGATCCAACATCCGCAAGTTCGGTTTTCCAAAAAAACTTAACTCACAACACTCGCGCGCGAGTTGAATGTCTGCCTTCTACTCACTGGCTGACTATTCGGCAACGAAGGACCATGTACAAATTCAAAGCGGTTGTATTTTGGGTCCGTGAGGTTAATTGAAATAAACAAGGTTCACGTTGCAAGTTTTTTAATCAACAATTTTTGCGGACCCTCATACTAATTACAACGGTCAAACCATAGTGTGTTTTAATTTACTACTAACGCCACCTATGTATTACAATAAGAAACTAAATATTATACAAAGCTAAAATGAAATAATTGTAGAATTTGTATTTATGTCTATGATAATAAAAGCCTTTTATTAAACTTTATCTAATTTTATCTAATTTAACTTTATTTAACCAATTTCTGTAAAGTTGCATTTAGTAAATTATTTTACTTTTTTTTCGATTCCAGATCATTGCTTTCTTTATTTTTAATTTTTTGTCGATTTGTTATTTTGTTATATTTTCCCTTTTTTTAAAAGTTCTTTCTTTTGTGAAAAACATCAGTTCGTATTTTCTTATTATTAGGTCGGTAAGATCGAAAAATATCATGCATATTTCATTACTCAGTAATTTGTATCTAAATGTAATTTCCAAAATACACGATTTACCAAAAAAAAAAAACAAACCGAGCAAAGCTCGGTCCTCCAGGTACTATTTATTAATCCATGCACGAAGTGTTCATGTATAAAATGGTTCCGCACGTCTATGGGCCTCGACCTTTTGTTGAAGGATCCAGACTTCACAAGTTGAATCGAACTTTGATTATCAACATGCAAATTAATTTTATGTCCAAACCGGTTATTTCTTGTAATAGAGATTTGAGATACAATGCCTCTTTGCAACAGTTTGCTGCGGCTATGTACTCGGCTTCAGTCGACGATAGCGCTACTATAGGCTGCCTCTTGGATGCCCATGATATTGGTCCATCGGCTATCATTAGCACGGAGCCAGAAGTGCTTCTTCGCGTCAATGGGTCTCCAGCATAATCTGAATCGCTGTAAGCATCAATGTTCTCCATCGGTTTGTTTCGTTTGAACAAAATGCCTTTCTCTTTGGTTCCCAATAAATATTTGAATATTATCTTGACTTTTGTGACGTCTTCTCTAGTGGGGTTTTCGACCTTCCTGCTAACTAGATTGACCGCTTGTGCGATATTTGGTCTGGTTCTGGTAGACAGGTACAGTAAACTTCCAGCTGCTTCCCTGTAGCGATATTCCTTCTCCTGGGCAGTTTCCTGTCTCGACTTTGAATCGCTACTTGCGGGCGTGTCACAGGGTTGGGCATTTTTCATGTTGTATTTTTCCAGTACGTCATTTATGTAGGATCTCTGAGTAAGAATTATTCCTTCTTTTGAGTTTTTTATTTCCATACCCAGATAAGTACTTGGATTTTCATTACTTTTTCATTTCAAATTTGGTTTCAAGCTTCTTCAAAATAACTTCGATCTTTTTCTTGTCTTTTCCTATGACAAGTCCGTCATCAACGAATAGTCCGATTATTATTGACTTATCTTCGTTTATGAAAACGCATCGATCTGTTTTAATTATCTTGAATTCCAAATCAAACATCGCTTGGGTAAAAGTTTTGTTCCACGTAAATGGAGCTTGTTTTAATCCGTACAACGATTTTTTTAATCGGCAAACTACTTCAGTAGTATTGCAGTCAGTCTCATAGCCAACAGGTAATTTCATATAAACTTCATTTGTTAACTCTCCGTATAAAAAAGCTGTCTTGACGTCAAATGTCATGAAGTAGTAAGATTTAGATGCGGCAATTGCTAATAAAGTTTTTAATGCAGATTGAGTTACTAATGGGCTATAAATGTCTTCGAAATCCAGGTTTCCTTTCTGCTCGCATCCACGTACAACTAATCTAGCCTTGTACGTACCGTCATCTGTAATCCGAAATACCCATTTATTCGACAGTATTTTATGTCCTTTGGCTTCTGACTTGTCAACTAATACCCAGGTGATATTTTTCTGTAATTATTCCATTTCAGATTGTATCGCCTTCTCCCAATTTCGTCTGTCGGTGCCAGTCACAGCTTCTTTGTATGTGAGTAAAGAGCAGTCATAGTCGTCATTATTTTCTGACGTAAACATGGTCACGCAGCGACTTAACTCATAATCCTTGGTCCATGCTGGTGGTCTCCGGTCTCTTTGTGGTCTTCCACTTGAGGGAGATGGTTCATCAATAGGATCTTGACTAGAGCTGGAATAAAGGGGGTTAGGTTCCTGAAAAGGTAAGTTCTTATTAATTTTGTTTCTTTTTTCTGGAATTTCAATTTCAATTTGTTTTGTTTCAGGTTCTGGAGCAAGATATTCGCGTTTCTTAGCAGGAGTACCGCCATAATGCATATTTTCGATTACTTTTACATTTCTACTGATAACAACATCATTCCTTTCGGGTATATAGATTCTAAAACCTTTTGTATATTCCGCATATCCCAAGAATACTCCTTCTGTGGCTTTGGCTGTGAATTTTCCTCTTCGGTTTTTGTCATCACATCTGTCAGTCATCACATACGCTCTATTTCCGAATACGTGTAGGTGATTTCCTGATGGTGTTCGTTGTACCCATTTCTCATATGGAGAATTGCCTTCGAGAGCTCATGCTGGGCTTCTATTTATCAAATAGTTTGCAGTGTTTACTGCTTCTGCCAAAAATTTTGTAGGCATATTGGCATCTAGCATCAGACATCTGCCTTTATCCATCAGCGACCGATTTCTTCTTTCATGCCATTTTATTTTGGAGTATAAGGTGCAGATAGTCTTCGGCTTATACCGTTATCTTTGAGGAATTTGTCAAACGCTTTGGACCTGTATTCGCCTCCATTATCAGATTGTAGATTTTTAATTTTCTTCTTATGAAACAGTTCAACATAGTTTTTATTTTCCTTGAATTTATCGATTACTTCGCTCTTTTCTTTTAAGAAGTATATACAGCAGTATCTTGTATAATCGTCAATAAATGTTACGAAATACTTTGATCCGGCCATCGATTCATTCTCAAATGGGCCACACACGTCACTGTGAATTATCTGGAGCACTTCGGTAGAGATTATTTGTCCATGGCTTTGAAATTGTACAGTGGAAAATTTTCCTTTGATACAAGTCTCACAGGTACCCAAAGTTTTTTCTTTAAAGTTGAGTCCTCGCATCATTTTATTTTTAACCATTTCTTTTAGGTCTCTTTCACTGATGTGACCTAATTTCTTGTGCCATTTCATAATTTCGCTTTCATTTTGTCAAGTCAAGTTTGCTGTCTCTTCCGGTTTATCAAATTCAAGATAGTATAATCCATTTCTTCTGTTTGCTTTTAATACAGTGTTTCCGCCTTTTGCGACACTGGCTTGTTCCTTTTCAAATAGAACCTTATAGCCATGATCCGTAATTTTGCTTGCAGAAATTAGTTTATTCGACAAATCAGGTACATATAATGTGTCAGAAAGACTAATTTTATAGCGCCGATCCTTTGTACAAAGTTCGTCTTTTCCTTTCCCTTTAACTTCGGTCGTATGCTTTTCTGAAGCTAGCTTTAGAGTGTCAGTCGCGGGGATTAAGTTATGGAGTATACTTTTATCACCCGTCATATGTGACGTACAGCCACTGTCAAGACACCATAAATTGCCTTTACATTGCGACGTTCCTGCTGTTAAACAGATGTTATATGTCTTTTCTTGACCTTTAGTTTTATTGGGGTTATTGGGTCTCTTCTTTGACCAACAAGCCTCTGTGGAATGCCCTTTCTTATTGCAACCCTTGCAACATTGTTCCTTTTTCTTCGTCTTTGTGTAGAATGCTTTTGAAGTCTGAGGTTCACTGTCTTCAGTTTGCCTTCTTGCTTCGTATTCTTCTACGATTTTTATTTTTAAATTATCAGGAGTTTGCTGAAAATCTCACGACTCAATTGCCGTTCGGAAGCTATCGAAATTCGTAGGTAAACTGTACAACATCATTATGCTTAATAACTCTGGATGTATTTTGACATCCATGTCTTCGAATTTACCTACTACATCGAGAAAATTACTGAGATGGTTTCTCACATCTTCTTGTAGAGTCATTTTCTTCAATACTAGTTGCTTTAATAGCGTAGCCTTTCTTGCCGGCCCTGAACTTTGATATACAGACTTTATTTTGTCCCATACCTCCTTGGATGTATTACACCCTTTAATTTGTTTAAGTTCTGGTGGAGATATAAGTAAAATAGCTCTAACCTTGCCTTTAAACCTTCCTTTAGGAACGCACTCTTTTCTTCGGCAGTCGCAGTTGCCGCTAACGTTTTTTCACCACTAGCGTATTCCCACAAATCGTATCTTATGAGAATCGCCTGTGCTTGTAAGCACCAGGTATCGTAATTTGATTTTGTCAACGGTTCTATGCTTCTGATACTCGAGCTCATTTTAAAATTTTTATTCTCTCATTTATTTACTATTTTAAATATGCTTTTTCCATTTGCCACTAGATATTCATGCAACCACGCTCTGTTACCACTGATAGGGTGGACTAGCGGCTATAGCAATTAATTAAAACGTAAATAATACTTGAAAACCTTGTGTTTACTTGTATATGAGAAAATATAATGATACATTATGACACCGCACATCAAAAGTAAAAAAGAACATAATCCAAATTCAAATGCAGGCATCATAGACAATTATACGTGGACAGTATCACGACCTTCCAACAATTATAATACGAAGGCAGATTAGATTGGATTTTATCCAGAGAAGAAAGTGCGCTTTTGTTACAAGGCTCTAACAGGAAATAACCATAATCAATAATCAAAATGGCTTCTAATCAGACCGTTACCAGATAATTCACAGTGACGTTACATAAAAACTTATGGCAATACGGATGAGATCCTGACAAGAGTTCGCAGTTCGTTTAACCGCGGATCTTTTCCAATGAATCGACCCTGGGAACCCCCGTGGGTCTGACATTCCTACGTCGATCTGGTCGTTGGGAAAAGCACGGACGACGTAATTTAACGATTGTGTTAGTTCGAAATCGTAATTTACTACGTTTACCATCAGAGAGTTTCAACGAATTCACTAGCGGCGATCCTGCGGTGCGTTGCTAAGATGCGTTTGCTCTTCTTTCCTTAAGATTCATAAGTCGACTGGGCTCGATGGCATGTATCCGATCGTGTTGCAAACATGTGCTCCAGAGTTGACCCAGGCGTACCGTTTCCGGCACTTTCACACTCAGTACAACTATTATCTTGTTTCTTAGAGTTCAGGGCTATACTGATAAATTAAAAGTTCTTTTTAGAACTGTCTCTAAACCTCTTTCGCCGAATAGAGAATATCACTTGTTGTCACAGCTGGATTCTATTGTGAATCATGCAAATTGCAGTGGAGCAGACGTTGTTATCGTGCACCAGCTACATTGTTTCCTCAAAGTCTGCCGCCGGGCATTTAATCGCGGACCTCGTCCCGCTTCAGACGAAGCTAACTAAGCCACTAGTGACAATGTGTTACAATAGCAAACAATATCATTCGAAGGGATTTTTACGTTAGCAATCAATAATATTGGTTGGTTATTGATATTATTATTGTTATCTTATCCTTTAAACGAGCAATTCTTGTATATATATATATATATATATATAATCGGAATCTCGGAAACGGCTCCAGCGATTTTCATGAAATTTAGTATGTGCATAGATTCCGGGGCGAAAAATCGATCTAGCTAGGTTTCATTTTTAGAAAATGTCCTTTTATCCCTGTTTTCAGGGAATGAAAAATATCATTCGAATATGACGGTAAATTTCGCCGCAAGAGAAAATGTCATAATAGCTCGGTCGGTAATCGGGCGGCCTCAAAACAGACGGCCGTGGTTCGCGTCACGATCATTTAAACATTAATTTTTTTACTTTTTTTTCGATTCCAGATCATTGCTTTCTTTATTTTTAATTTTTTGTCGATTTGTTATTTTGTTATTTTTTTTAGAGCTTTTTAAAGTTGTTTCTTTTGTGAAAAACACCACTTCATATTTTCTTATTATTAGGTCGGTAAGATCCAAAAATATTATGCATATTTCATTACTCAGTAATTTGTATCTAAATGTAATTTCCAAAATACACGATTTACCAAAAAAAAAAAAACAAACCGAGCAAAGCTCGGTCCTCCGGGTACTTTTAATTAAATGAGTCACAGATCCGACACAGAGCACCCCAATTTTATGTGTTCTTGTGGTCCCTACCACTAGAGTGAATATAAAAAGGCGTTTTAAATATAAGAAATTGTTAATAGTACGTGTCCATTTATTCAAGTAGATGATATGATTTAAAGATCTTACCAGAGTCTTCTCGGTCTTACAGAGATCTTTAAATTGCAGAGCGCAGGCAGTTACGAAATAATATACTAACACACTTTTATAATGTAGAATTTATTACGCGGATGTTTTATAATTTTTATCGAAATCACAGTTTTTGCTATTTTGTTTTACTTCACGAACTGTCCGATTTATTTTTCATAAATCAAGACACTTATTGTCACTATGTCTATGTTTACTTTTTTTGTTAATGAGTTTCTATATGTATTAACTCCAACTGATATATCTGTGTATTTGAGTCTTCTAACAAAGTGAAAACATAAGTTTTAAACTTAAAATATTAGCCTACAATGAATATTGGACGCAAAGTAATGGCGGATTTCAATTGCATGAAATTTAAAAACTTTGTTAATTTTTTTCTCATAATCTAGTGGTTTTCATCGATTTTAACTTATATCGTCGTTGATACTGTATTTCGTGTAACTAACAGTGTATAACTGTGGAACTTCAAAAGTAGCAAAATTGAGATTTCGCGGCTAAGGGATAAAAACAATGATTGGCTTAAAAAAGAAGAAAACATTGATAGTTTGGCATATCTTCGCTTAAAAGCGTCTATTTACAACAAGTTGAAACCACTAGAGTTTTATGCTACACTATTTTTTCCAATACCTCGCATTTTCGCAATCATTACAAGAAAACGTATTGGTTTTTATGTGGCGGTCCGGCAAATAAAAATATTTAAATACAAATGTGATCGGTATGTTTTTAACTCTGTTTCAATGCTTGTTTACGCTTTTCATCGAGATTGTAGTTTCGCGGTTTACTATTCTCTCGGTTTTTAAGATGGTTACGTGGATTAATTTTTGGTTTAAAATCATGAAAATGTATTTCTATTGCTTTTTTAATACTGGGAGCTGTATCTGGTACTTAATTACTTTCTATCTCCACTTCTAGTTGAGATGTACAAAAGAAGCTCAGGTCAGGTATGGATGATGTATTCAGCGGTCTTAACATCAGTAATGATGTTGTCCTTTTACAAAAGCTGCAAAAACGACCACAAATACTTATTCAAAAAAGGAGTAAATTTTGGATGCATGCAGGTGTATAGAACTGTGGATATCGATAACTCTTTTGCTAACTGTGACACGTTGACCATAGTTTTACTACCTGTACCTAGCTCGTCAGGTCTTCCGAAAGTTGTTGCGTTTCTTGCCCAGAAAAAAAATGTTCGTGTTTTCTATGGTCGATAAAACTGTTCGCTATATGTTAGTTCTCCGAATGGTATTAAAAGTAAAGTGAGCTTCCACTAATAGCTATTCATCAGCAATTGTTGAAGTGCCTTTAGGTCTCTATTGGGTTGTATTAATAATTTCTAAGTCTTTTTCGAGTTTATTTACTAATTACATTTAATAATTACGCTATTAACCGAAGTAAAATGATATGACTGTGAATAACTGAGTCAATATTATTTTTTTATATCCATAGTGATATGTTTTAATCGCCCTCCAATTCCGAGGAAATGTTTTAAATGTTCAAATATTTAATGACATAAAACAACGTAGGTGATTATTCTGGCTAAATATTATTTAGAATTAATAAAATATCATTGCATAAGTTAAAAAATGCACATTTATATATATCCGTGAGTCCAGACACGTATTAGATAAATAGAAGAGAAAATATTTAGTTTTTTGCGGCCCCTGTAAAGTTTTCTACGCCAAACTTACGCCGAATTATCTGCTGTTATTAATGCAGTTTTGCACTATCACAGTTGATATATCTTATCATTATTAACATTTCTCCTTTGGTTAAAATTTTTTTCGAGTTTGAAAAACGAGACGTAATGTTATAATCACGTAATAGTAAAACTATTAACAATAGCAACATTGTGACAAACTGACATTGACATAATCTCGTGACAAAGTTTAAAGTTAAAAAAAGTTGTAACATTTAGAACAACGATATTTTTCCCATTAAATGTAATTTTCGATACAATAACAATCAAGATTTTTTGCGAAAATGGCTGGTAATGATGACAACAAACCGACAAACAATGAAACAGGTATTCAAGAAACAAACGACAGCAATGAAAACAGTTCCGAAAACATTCGAGAAGGTAAAATGTTTTACTTATTTTTAGGTATATAGTGTAATTCACTTGTAACAATTTATTTATGGAATGTTTATATTTTTTATTATTTCAGAATACGAATTTTTGGATTCAAAATTGGATGAATTAAATGTAGCTCTAGACTTTTTAGAACAAAAAAATGATGACATTCACAAGAAACTGAAAGAGCTTCTACAATCAAGTATTGATATTCGTCAGCAATTAAAAAACGAAAACAGCCAAGATAAAGAAATTTAGTAACAATAGCAGTGTCACTTTATTAACACATTATTTTATGTCGTTCAAATAAGAGATGATAAACCACATTATTAAATCTTTTATGTAAAAAATAAAAGAAAATAAAGATATCATACATCTAAAACCATTATTTTTTTTATTTCTGAAAATTTTCAATAATTAAGAATAATGAAGCCATACTACAAGTTTCTAGGCAGACTTGATAAATCACAATAATTCTGCTACATACTGTGAATTAACATAGCAGTTTAATACAGTATATTGTTACTACTTTATATGAATATAATATTTTATCAATGATCAGCTTTTTTTATGAATCGTAGTCCACAATATCCACAAGAATGGTCCCCTGGCTTGTCCTAAAAGTAAAAAAGAAAATAATAATTATTGTGTTGACCATGTAATAATTATAATAACTAATGTTCAATTACCAAATTGATGTACACTCTTGGATGACCTTCTGGTCCACTTCCCCCATCGCACCACACAACTCTAGTTGTAACTTCCTTGGGTGGAACTTCTGCAATTAATTTCACTGCCCAATTTTGATTAACATGCTTTGTGGAGTTCATAAATCTAGCAAGCCTGTAATCATCCGAGTCCCATTTCTGTAAATTTGATAAATTAGTTAGAATACAAATGTCTTCTTACACAATCTTTTTAGAATTATTGCAGTTTAATATCAAGCATATTAAAATATGACCTGAAATAACATTTTATAATTAGTTTATAGAATAAATGTTAACTTAATGTTCTTTTAAAAGTATTCACTATACATCTTAGGAACACTGAATCTACAAATGTAAATAAGAAACAGAAAATTTTATACTTGTCCTGTATGGGTGCAAACATCTTCTGTCTTATTGGTTATGCAACGACTGCCATTGAACGTTAGACCGCGTGGAGAAAAAGATTTAATAAATAAAGAAACACGAGTACGAGTCAAATTCATGTTTTTATAATGTAAGCTATAGAAAAATTACTTTAGCGTAATAATTATGTACAAGAAGTGATTTTTCCAAACCTATGCCATAGATTATATATAACATAAATATTTTTATTTTAAATCCATAATCTATATATTATATATTTGACAAATCCATGGATAAGACTTGTTTTTATTATTAAATTCCTTTCTTTTAATTAAAAATATTTATTTCATCGTTTAAACACGCGGGACATATTTAATTTATAATTAAATTATGGCAATACTTGCTTAGCCAGATTATTATGAAAAATAAATAACTGCAATGCTTAGAATGATATAATAGCATATATCATTTGGCATTCTTTAAAAAATCATATCAAACCTTTTTATTTTCCTTCCATTTTTAACATTATCATTGCTAATAGAATTTTTTAATTACCAAGCTATCTGTTTTTAATTTTCTGTTCTATTTACCATAGTTATATATTTGATGCTATTTTCATTATTGTCTGTGAATCTGTTACGTGGTTGAAACTGATCTAAACTTTTAATATCTGTTCTGTGCTGTAGTATAATATAAAATAAATATATTTTATTGTTACCTATTGTTACTTGTCTACAAATCAAAATTAAAATTTAATAAACATACTTATTGTTTTGTGTTCAACATTAGTGTTGGTGTTAGTATTAACATGTAAGACCGATAGAAGTAGAACTTTATTTTAGTTAGCGCTAGATATTGTATATATGTGAATATCTTTAAAAATACGCAGGTCATACAATGAATATAATGATAATGTGATAACCACACAACAAACAACAACTAAGTATTGAATTACCTGAAAACTCAGAGTAAAATATTTGTTAAATAACCAACATTCTGTACTGTGCTGTGACTCACATTTCTGTTTATTGCCGAATATTAATTTACGTTTATTTGAAAGTTTCATAATACAAATTTTTACTAAGCATTTGTTTCATATTTTGAAGTATTCTGTTATATTTACAGTATAATGTCGTCGGGACCTTACAATTATTCATATATTTTCAAATATATCATAATTGGTGATATGGGAGTTGGGAAATCATGTTTGCTTCATCAATTTACAGAAAAAAAGTGTAAGTAAATTTTACATTATATATTATTAATAACAAAAGCAAGCTTCAAAAGTATATTATGACTAAACAATACAATGCTGAGTCATTATTTGTTGTTGAGTATACATAAAATAATATCAAATATATTGGTGCACATTTATTCTTTAGTTATGGCAGACTGCCCACACACAATTGGTGTAGAATTTGGTACAAGGATAATTGAAGTTGCTGGACAAAAAATTAAACTGCAAATTTGGGATACAGCTGGGCAAGAAAGGTTTAGAGCAGTTACACGATCTTACTATAGAGGTGCTGCTGGTGCTCTTATGGTTTATGATATCACCAGAAGGTAAAATCTATGTGTTTACAATTACACTTTTACCAATTGATGTCTTCCACTCAGAAGTTATATATATGTCCTACATATTCTCATAATCAAAATTTGTTTTTATGTATTTATGATTGAAACATCCGATTTGCCATGCAGACTTTAATTTGATTTACCATGATGTGATGAAAATCAATCAGTTTTTTCAATATCTTTTGTGTCATACATAAGAAATATTGTCTCACAGTGTGTGAGGTTAGTCGGGATAGCATTATCTGCCTGTTAATCTCTTCTTAAATACTGGTAATTCTCAAACTCAAATACTTGACTTTTTATTTTATGTATGAAGAAAGAACAATCTTTCTTATTTACGAGGCAACAAAGATCTTAAAACTAAGCGAACTGTTAGACTTCATTATTTACATAAGCTGAAAACAAGGACATATACATATCATATTTTTCTATATGTGCCAGTGAAAAGTTTGAGACCTTTAAAAAAGCTTAACTTTGCAAATAAATATTCAGCCATTTGCAAAGCATAATCTAATTGTTAGTTCAATATTATTGTATATTTTCATTAACCTTTTAATGTCATTTATCAATTTGGTTAAGCAATTTCTTTAAAGTTTTTGGTTTGTATGATATAAAAAATTTAAAAAGAATAACATTAACATGGATGTTTTTTTTAGATCTACATATAATCATCTGAGCAGTTGGCTTACAGATACACGTAACTTGACAAATCCAAGCACTGTGATATTCCTTATTGGAAATAAATCTGACTTAGATGGACAGAGAGATGTAACATATGAAGAAGCTAAACAATTTGCAGATGAAAATGGCCTTATGTTTGTCGAAGCAAGTGCTAAAACGTATGTTATGTCCTTTAATAAGATTATTTAAAAGTCTTAATTTCGTTCATTCTAGGATCATATCTCTTGTATTAAAATTACTGCAAGTTGCGACTTTTTTAAGTCTAGACTTGCAAAGTATATTCGGCCATACACCAAATACCATATATTGGGTACCGGAGTTCCTGACCGAATCATCGAATAAGTCCGAATATTAAGCAAACATACACATCACAACAAACATCTTCAGCTGCGTGGAGGGAGATCTTGTATCGACGTCATAGTTTCTCTTTCAGTTTATCAAGCTCTCTACTTTTCTTTTTAAAGCAATCTAACATAAAACTAATTATTAACCGATTATGAAGTGTTTTCATTTAGTCAATCTTTGTTCTAAGGTGACCCTTCAACTTTTTATATTTCTTGAACTTCAGGGGACAAAACGTCGAAGAGGCATTCCTCGAGACTGCAAAGAAAATATATCAGAGTATTCAAGACGGACGCCTGGACTTGAACGCTGCGGAGTCCGGGGTTCAACACAAGCCGGCATCGCCCGGCCGCCCACTAGCGGCACCTCCGGCCGCACGCGATAACTGCGCCTGCTAACCACTTTGCAGCTACATATCTTATAAGGATCTTTATCTTACCGTAGTCAATAAACAGCTGTAATTATCCTCAAACACACTAATCTTTGACATGCAAGTACTGTCTATAGTTTTATACAAAGACATTAAAAGAGAGTAGACGAACAATGACAAATTTTAGAATGAACTCCTCTTTAAACAGCTTTCGCGGGATAAAGGCGTGGCTAATATGACGTGATAAAAAGCATCAATAACTGTTGTTGGACGCGACATTCGGCTATTAGCGAAAATTCATTGGTAAAAATATTCAAACTTAGCCATGTTTATTAAAGATTCTTTTTTAAATTATTGGTTTTTCTTCAATCAGCAATACTAACTATTATTTAAATTCTGAAGACATTTTAAACTAAGAAGTATTTCTCGTTTTAAATTAATTTTTTTCTTGGGTGATGATTCCTTCGGCTTTGTTGCACATAGTTTTTTTCGGCAATTTCCTTTATATTAAACGGTGTTTTCAATACACCATTATTTAATTTTTAATTATTTACTTAAATTATTAGTATAAATAAACGAAACTCGGTGTAGTAATCACCTATTACTGTTCGGTTCTTACCCACACAATACGGAACAATTTAGTTTTTAGCCTCGTGCTTGCACGTTCGGCGGGCTTGTTCACACTAATTGGCTTTGCGATGCCCATTGTAGTCTCTTCTCTTATAATGTCTTTGGTTTTATATAACATTTGTTAAGTTAGATCCTGTATTTCTAAAATTATAAATACACAACCTAAGTATTATTTTGAAAAATTAAAAACACTATTAATATGTATGTACATTCCACTTTAAAGTTTAAAAGAATGTGGTTACTTTTTGATGATTCATTACTGAAGTAATCGGTTACATGAAAGGTTATTTATTACAATATTTAAACTATAAAATACTTTTTTTTTAGGAATTATAGTGTCAAATAATTATGCTAGATGCACCTTTATTTCCTCTGTTCTGTTTATGACAATCAGGTTAAATGAATTGAAGCTAATACCAAAACTTTTTGTTACTTATTACGTCCATGTTACAAGAACTACAAATCATTGCAATCTTATGGTTGTATAGATTTTAAAAAAGTGTTAAAATGAATATCTGTAGTAATTTCTATATCTCACTGTTTTAAAAATAATATAAAAGAAATTAAGGTTAACAGATTCATTAATACAATATAGGGTAAGGTAAACTTTACAGTTCTTATTTCGTACTATTAGTATAAAAGGTCGAACATATTATCAAACTGACTTCTTAAGATTTTCATAATATAAACAGCCCAGTACGAAACTACTGTGGATTTATCCTGTTAATTTTTAATTTAATTTTCTGACGTTTCGAACCCTTTTCAGCGTTCATGGTCACGTGACAGACTGAGGCGTTGGACGTCCTAATGTTATTGTTAGTCCGGGCTAACGCCAGTTTTCAAATTACTACTTTTGTGGCGATCTACGCAGAAAATGCTTATTTTATGTTGACTTGCAGCAGAGGTCCATTTGGGCCTAGATTTTATCTAATTTAAAAAGCTGATGGTAGCACCCAACCCTCTTCACGTCAGCAGCATGCACAGAAATTTCAGAGAAATGCCAAAAAAAAAAAAAGGCTTAACATCCGACGACCTCTTCAAAAGATGTTAAGGTTCTTTTTGTGAAGATTAATTAAAATCTAATATACAGTTTTATGTTGCATTATTTATTTATTTATTTATTTATTTTTAAACTTCATGCACGAAACAGTACATAGGCGGACTTAATGCTGACAGCATTTTCTACCAGTCAACCTTAGGGTGGTACTGAGAAGTTGAGGTAGGTGCACAAACACAGTTATAAACTAAAAAGAAAAAAAAATACATAGGTAATTATTAAATATAAAAATATAACACATAATATAATTCAGCATAAAATACTTTTAAACGATACAATAAGTATTACCTTACATATACATATAAACTTTAATATACATATATAAATAAATATATATATTACATACATATACATACACATTTATGTGATGATGTCATGAAACTGCTGGCAATTTCCCCTGAATGTACTTGCGTGCCATTTTCTTAAAAGCAAAGCGATTCTTGGCCATTCTAATTTTGAGAGGGAGCTCATTCCAAAGAAGGATAGATTGGACAAAGAAAGAGGAATGGATAAAATCAGATTGATGAGGAGGGCATAACACAAGACGATTGTGTTTAGAGCGAAGATTCTTCGTGTTGACTGTGCTAAGGTATTGGAAGTGAGGAGATAAATATGAAGGAGTAAATGGGGAATTAAGGTAAGAAAAAAGTGTGGTCAGGGCTCTTAGGGAGCGTCGTTGTCGAATGGTTAGCCAATTTAGTTGTGACCGATACGACGATACATGGTCATATTTGCGGAGATTGAAGACGAATCGAATGCAGTTATTCAGAAGTCGGTCTAATTTGTTGAGGTGATCTGCATTCAGGTCAAAGTAGCACACGTCACCATAGTCGATTAAAGGAAAAATTAAGGCCTGTACGAGCGTTACTTTAGTTTTTATCGGCAGGAAATTTTTAAGTCTGTAAAGACGGCGCAGGACACTAGTTACTCTTTGGCTAACACTAGCTATTTGATCTCTCCAACAAAACGTCCCGGCAATGAGCAAACCTAAATTTTTAACCTTATTTTGCAGGGGAATGGGGGAGCTGTCAAAAACAATTGTTGGAAGGTTAACTAGATTTACTCTACTAAGAGTGCGGGAACTTCCAACTACCAAGGCTTGACATTTGGACGGATTTACGGTTAATCCAAAGTTATCTGACCAGGTCTTAATGGCGACTAAATCTTCATTTACCTTAAGAATGGCCTCATCAAGAGTGTCAATGGATGCCTGAGCATATAGCTGCAAGTCATCGGCATAAAGATGATACGCACAGCGAAGATTTTGAGTGATGAAGTTAATAAAAACAGAGAATAACAGAGGGGAGAGAATACCGCCTTGAGGGACACCATTCTTCAGACGAAGCCAGCTTGATGATGAATCGCCAATATTGACCGACTGCTGGCGCCCTCGAAGATAGGAGGAGAACCATTCCATTATTATCTATTATAAACTGATTATTTTAATTATAAATGCTAAATTAGCAACTGTTTATCAAAGCGACACCTACACGGACATATATTGGGAGAAGAAGTGTAACTACATACATAAGAATTGACCCTTAATATATATATTAACATAAGAAATAATCCCCACTGCTGATTTTCAAATATTTAGCCAGGATTATAAAAAAGTGTGTTTGTACTTATGTACACGCTTAGAAGTTATAATTCTTTGGCGTAACAAGATAAAAATCAATTCAAAAATTTTATCTATAGCCTTATTCTACGTTTATAGAAAAAACGATACTAACAATAGGAAAAAGGTATTTAATACATTGAAGTTTTATTATAACGCATTACCTAGTTAAATAAAGTTTATTTAAATATCACAAAATAAATATCGTGAATAAAGTTGTCAGTTCTCACGTTAACATGTAGATCTCTAGCTAACTTCAGGGTGTCGGTTTTTCGTGACGGTGTCCTCGCGTCGTAAAAATTCAATCTCATCATTTTTCACAGTTAAAGAAATAAAGCTCGGGTAATATCTGCTTAAATGATAACCAAATATATTAAAGGATGGTATTTATTGATCGGTATAGTAATGTTGTCATTTACGACAACAAAAACACCAATAGATCATCTATTGTTGGTGAAATCAATAAACACGATAAGGGTTAAAGTAAAATTATCATTAACATCTGTGTTTTGCGGATTGTTTGCTAGGATAGAAGGTATGCAATGCTGTTTGCTTGTAATGAATGCACGCGGATGAAAAGGGTTGGAAACGGCTGCAAATAAAATTAAAAACAATATCCGTAAATACGTAGTAATAGTTGAGTAAATACAAAAAAATTGGTCTATAAACAGCCCAACTAATATTAGTTTTATTATACAATAAGTATACAATATAATTTTAATTATTTTTATAATAAAAGCAATAATATTATATTAATATAAAACATCAAAATAGTTATTAAAACTTACCTTAAAATAGTAAAAGTGTAGTTGCTTTTTAAAACAATGCGAAATTCTGAATTCAACGTTGTAACATAAAAAGCCCATAATTTTTTTAAATTGTTCGACCATACATTATCTTATGATCCAAAAATAACATATTAGTCTAAACACCAAAAATATTAGTGAATTATTATTCTTGCATACATTTTATTTACCTAAATTTAACAAAATATTAAATATTCATTCTGACGATAATTTATTCATTCTATTTAGAATTTATTTATTTGTATACTAAGTTACGTGAAAATATATAATAAAACAATGACATCTCGTTATTTTCAATAAATTAGTTTAGTGTCGCAATTTAAAAGAAAGTTTTTATTTCTTTTTAGTAATTAATACCTGAACTTTTGACAGTTATTTGCAAGATAATCTAAAATAGAGAGGAACACTTTCCCCAAAGTATATAGAACACAATACCGATTCAATGGCTTGACTTCTCGGTGATTAGATTTGTCAGTAGGATTTAAATAATAAAAGAAAACCCGTAGTAAATCTGAAATTTTTAGTTTTAATATATCATTATATAGGTATATCATTGTAAAAATAGATTTTTACTTGCATTAATATATATATATATATATATATATATATATATATATATATATATATATATATATTCTAGTTATAAATAATTATAGAAATTAACTATGATATAAAAATATATATAAAATGAAAATGACATGAAAAGTTCTTGATTTACCCTGATACAAAGTGTTTAGTATTTTTTCCCCAATACAACTTTTACAATTTCGCTTTGGTGGTTTGTAAAAGAACATCGTGCATGTCTTGTAGAGATTGTTCAAGGGCTTTCCTATATTTATCGCAGCTAGTGTCCGGGTTGGTGACGAAGGCGGCAGTTGCAAAATTAACATCGTTGTCTCTTGGGTTGTAACATGTTGCGTAGCCGTCGGTGACTAAAGGCCCGTAACACATAAAGCCATCGCACTTGCAGGCCACCTGGAATTATATGACCATCATCAACGTTCATACGGAATAGCTGAAACAGTTTCATACAGGATGGCAAGGCAGTGTGTAGTAGTAGTGTAGTGTAGTAGGTGTGATCAAATATAAGTGTATCAAATACAAGTAGGTACCTCCTGATATTTGTTTCAATACCAGGTACTTATATCATCGAATTATTCTTACGATATTTATTAAGTATCGCACTAATGCTTCATTGAATGGATTTGTAACAGAGATAAAGAACGATAATAATAAATAAATAATATCTGTCCTATTAGTGAATGAAATGTGGAAATCTGATCGTATCTATGGCCTTCAATCCTCATCCCCTTGCCCAAATTGCATTGATCTGACTTTACAGCTTAGTACAGTAGTTTCGATCACACTACCTAGAATTTCTATATTGTTTGTTCGTTTTTGGAGATCATCTTGGTTTATTCAAAATAAAATTCATCATTTATAAAGGATTGATTATACAATTAGTGTCTGTAATTTGATACTAACAATGCAACAGAAGCTATTCCACAGGTTCTGTTTCGACACCGTAGCCATGCCGAACACACGCACTATTCCTAGGTCATCAAAAATATCAACCTCGCAATACCGAATATACACGACACCGAAGTGATCCATGAGCTTCACTCTGATCACCGGCCAGTTGTACGTCGGCTAGGACACTCAGCCCCTCCCCAAACCAAAACGTTATTAGATGGCATAAAAGTAAATCCAAACTCAATGAAACCCAACCGCCCCAACTAGAGTCAATCCCCGCACATATCAATAATAAGCAGGATACGGAGACCGCAATTCTTTGCTTTTTTTGGTAATTATGTACAATGTCCCGATCGCCATAAGGCATTCGGCAATAGCGATCCCGTACGAGCCCGTGTTACGTCATTTAGACACACACATGATGCGGTACGTACGTGCTGCTAACGTCTTACGTCACTTTCGTCAGTCGCTTGCTGCTTCCCGCTGCGCTTACGTTTTATATAATATTATTCAAGTCATACATTGAGCTGTAGTTGCTTCTTTTGCTATTGTTTTTTGTAATCTTTTCACTCCTGACTGTACGTTGTGCTAGTATATGTGTGTGAACAATAAATATTGTGAATAGTGTATATTGACTTTATATCTTCACCCGACATACACACGAACCCTCAGCATACACTACAATGATGACTTATGACTACAATTCTATGTAACTTGATCAAGAACTGTTTAATATAAGTATGAATTGGTTAATGTAAAGGACATTGACAGGCGCATATTGCAATTAAAATAAATTTTAAACTGTAAAGAAAAATCCCTAATAAATTAGTCCACAAGGAAACTTCTCCGGTCGCTTATAGTTTTCGAGAAAAAAATATTTATTTAGTCCACAAGGAAAATCCTACAGTCTCTTATAGTTTTCGAGAAAAAAATATTTAAAACTTGTTATTTTCACTAAGAAAATCCGCCATTTTATTAATTGGAAGCGGGGGACGTCATACTTACGTATCGATTGTCTGATTTTTCTCTTAAATGTAATGAGTCACAGAACCGACGCAGAGCAATTCGGACCTGGATAGGTTAGATTAGAAGGCGGTTATGATTTTATGACCATCCAGAAATAGGAGCAGAATTAAGATATTGACAACAACAATATGGCGGATTTCTCTAGTGAAAATTACATTATTTCATTTTTTTTTCCAAAACTATAGACGATCGTTTTTGTTTAATTCATTAGTGAATTTTCTCTATCGATTAATTGCAATATGCGTCCGTCAATGTCCTTTAAATTAACCTTAATACTAATCAGGAATTTTAATGTACATATGAAGTAGTAACACTTACCTGGCTAGTAGAAAGTCTCATGTGAGCACTGCGCTTATATCCAGCATCGGAGTACAATGCTGGTATGTCCATTTTGTTTTCAATAGCAGTTAATTTCAACCCTAGTAAATGTCTATCGACACCGAAACCTTGCAAAGCCTACAATAAGAAATATAAACTTTATAATAATTTCATTATATTACTCTTAGATTATGCAACGTGGCGCTACAACCGCGAACTTAAATAAACACACTTACAACTACCGCGACTTTAAATAAACTCACTTATAAAGGAAAGCTTTTTTAAATTGTATTAACTACTAAACATTTACTTTCATTAAACATCAATATTTACTGAGTTATTAAATTTTCCAAAACAAATAATTTGAGAACACCCGTACGTGCTCAACGGTGAAGGAAAACATCATGAGGAAACCTGCATATTTACGAAATAACAAAAAAAAATAGCGAAGATATTTGAAGTTCGCCAATTCGCAGTAAGGCCGCGTGGTGGACTATGCACTGATAACCTCTGTAAAAAAGAGGAGGCCTTTTCCCAGCTGTGGGATATGTATAGGTTGTTACTTTTAAGGGTTGGTACTTTACTTTTGTTTACCCATACGTATAAAACTGTAACGTAAAGTTCATTGTTAAAGGTCACGAAGCATATGAATATGAATTTGTTGAATGAATTCAAAAGAGATAAAACATAGACTATTAGAAGGAGATACTTGTAATACGTTGTTGCAATGAATGAATAAGTTTATAGGTATAGGTATTACAAATATGTGTGTCTTTGTTTTTTCAATTACGGATTTTTTTAACATTTTAATTTTTTATGATTATTGGCAGGTAGCGTTAGAAGTGTGTTCATTTAGTGTCGCCGTTGTAAGTCATTGTCGGGCGCTTTTATTTCCATATACCCGAGCAATCTCAGTAGACCAGGGTCGTAAATTTTGTAACCAAAAAAAAATAACAGTATTTATTATGATAAAAATAAAAGGAAAAATAAATTACGGGCGATCTGAGTTCGGGAAGTGGGGGGAGGGGGGTATGAGTTTTTTAAAGTCGGCATTCTTAGGGTTTAGTTGCATAAATGTCAATTCATTCGTGTTTCTCCCACAACCTATCATGGTAGCTTAGTCTCTGACATTGTCTCTAATAAATGTATAAAAGTTTTTGTACCTGGACCGTGTAGTCCTTGTGGGCTTTGACGGCCGCGCTCATTGCTTTCAGCTTGTCCTGGGGCGCGCTGCGATTGTCGAGCATGGTCTTCGCGAACTCTATGGACTCCACCGAACAGGAGCGGATTGTCTCCGTTCGGCCACCCACGTACATACGCGTCGCAGCCGACTCGTAGTGTGCGCCCGGTGTCTTGTGAAGCCTGTATTTAAAAGAAAAAAAAACGACAGCTTTTCACATAAAAAAAATGTAAAAGAGCTCCATTCATAAAATACAGATCAAAAGTCACGACATTCTGCCTACCCCATATACTACAAATATCTATAAATCTTATTCTTTACATGAAATTAAAATAAAGGGCTTATGTTTTCATTGTTAGCTCCACAAATTGACATACCTGTAAAAAGCGTATTGCATAGCCATTTGCAGGTAACTGTCTGGACTTAGTTTTTGGGATTTGATAAAGTTCTTTCCGTATTTGTCGTATGTAAAACAGTTCAATTCTAAATCTGCGACCAATCTGCAATATAATCGTCGTAAATTGAAATTTTCAGTGGCTTGGGCTTGATATCCATAAAATATACATATTAAACATTATACGCCCAGTAAATGGAACGCTGGAATTTCATACGTACTTGTCAATGTTGCTCTTGGCAGTCTTTATCATATTACCGACATCAGAATTCACATTGAAATTTAGTTTAACGGGCTCCTTAGGCGACTTAGATGATTCATTGCTGGATTTGCCTTGATCACTGATTTCATACAATGCAATATTAATGTTAAAGAATGGAAAATGTAACATAACGATATTTCTATATTATATGTATAAAAAAAAATATATGTATATGAATACTTACATGTAGTTTATTATAAAATCGGTCAAGACAGCTATAGGCTGTCCCTCGGCAGGTGAGTGTTCATACGTTAAGCCCGTTATGCCGTCGGCGCCGACAATAAACTGAAAAGAAACATATAGTTCTCATGCAGATGTTTTATCGTGAACATAATATGTAAATGTTTTATTAGCGTTTACCATAACCATCGCGCTGTTTCTAATAATAAGTGATAAAAAATAAGTTTTAATAATAATAAATATTTCAAGACATATTATTACACAACATATCTAGTGCCAAACTTAGTTAAGCTAGTAGTACTATAGATAGTAGTAGTAGTAGGTAACTGATAAACATATTTTTTTTCGTAAATAAATACATAGTATAGATATATGTATAAACATCCGGAGACTAGAAACACATTGTGTTCAATATTTCTCCATCAGAGGCGATCGAATCAAAACCCTTTGCCGCAAGGGAAAGGTGTACTATACAATACGTGAATGAGGCCATTAAATACTTATACCAGATTGTCTAAGAATCGTTTAAGGGTTCCGTAACCAAAAGGTAAAACGAGACCCTATAACTAAGACACCGCTGTCTTTCTGTCACCCGGTTGTATCTCATGAACCGCGATAGTTAGACAGCTGAAATTTTCACAGATGATGTATTTCTGTTGCCGCTATAACAACAAATACTAAAATAACAGAATAAAAAAATATTTAAGAGGGGCTTGATTACAACAGACATGATTTTTTTTGCCGTTTTTATAGATTTGCGAGTCCGACTCGCACTTGGCCGGTTTATTTACGTTTACTAATAAAATTACTTTACCAATTAAAAATTGACGAGAAGCGTTAAAATTACTTAAATTCCAATGACCACTACGACCTAGAAGCACTATTGTAGTCTTCCCTTCGAGAACATTGTGCCTTACTTGTAGGATAACATTGTTCTGTGTTGTAACGACGTTATGTACGTACATAAATTTCACGTTCACAAACACCCAGAAACAATTATCTGTGGGTCAAACAAATAGTTGTCTCGTGTGGGAATCGAACCCACGATCCCTTGGCCACTGCGTCACGGAGTCATCAATATACATGTTTCTGACTTACTATTAATTTAATTTTTAGCATTTCCTGCACTCAAAATGAATATTATGATATATCCCGCAGCACAGAAAGTTCTCGACCATTGATTCACATAGATTCACATTTTATTTCTGATTTTTTTTGTTTAGCGAGAAAACGTGCCGTACCTGTATAGTCTTGTCGAACCAACGGTTGCCCGCATTGCTGCTGCTGCCCCCGCCGTGTATGGTTTGCGCCGCAGCCAGACTCTGGCGAGCGCATTTATCACTGCGATTCCACAAGCCCGAAGGGGCATCGAGGCATAGCACCACAAGGCTCCTCTCCACGTCCAGTAGGGACTGTCTATTAACCTCATCTGCAATATTTTAGATAACCAAGAAAATAATACTTATAATTTATAGAAAAAAGTTTTTTATATTTAAGTCTGGCTTCCATACAACAAACATGATTTTTTGCTGTTTATTGTAGATATACGGAACCCTTCGTGCGCTAATCCGAATCCCACTTGGCCAGTTTTTTAGCATTTCAAGCAATGCTTGGCACATCTTTTGTTGTATCTTTTGTTTTACAGCATAGAAACAATTTCAAATATCTTTTTACAACGATAATTCGAACGAGAGATTTCACCATTGCTATAATGAAATTTTAAAATGTTTATACTGCTAATTTCTATATTTAAAATAAAAAAAAAATTGTAGAAAAAAAGACCTAAAGATTTTCATCTTAAGTGCAGAGATCAGCACTTAAAAATGTAATAATTACTAAATAAATATTCATTATCATCATTTCAGCCTGTTTGAGTCCACTATCCTGAGCAGCATGATCCTGAGCCTACTACATCCATCGACTTCCCGCACATTTGCATTGCTCGTCACTCCATCTAGTGTGGGGTCGTCCTACACTGCAATGGCCAGTACGAGGCTGCCACTCGAGAACCTTTCTTCCCCAACGGTTATCGGTTCTACGAGCTATATGACCGGCCTACCGCCACTTCAGCTTGCTAATATTCTGAGCTATGTCGATTCACGCAGACAAATACCAAGCATAGCTCGGTCCATAGCTCCTTCGGGATAGTGCTATACCAGAGGCGTGGAGCAGAAGTGTGGTGGTGCTGTTCTTCAAGAAATGTGATACCGCTCTCTTGAAGAACTATAGACCGATATCTCTTTTGACCCGCGTCTATGCTGTTTTCACGAGTCATTTTGAATCGTCGCGCTTCCAGACTCGACGAATTGCCTCCCGAACAAACCGGATTCCGAAAAAGCTTCAGTACCATAGACCACATACACATGCTGCGCTTCAGCGGTGCCAAATTGATTGTTTATATCGCGGTGCTGAGGTGTTTGTATAAAAAGGCTGGGATTGACCATCCAAGAAATATTCATTTATAAATATTTGCGGATATTCTCAATTCATTCAAATGAATGATTTAGATCTATTTTACATTTAAAGTTAAGGTCGTAATTAAATTAAAAATTTATCAAAACCATATATTAATTCACTAGTGCATCAAAATCATAGTTTGTCTTATACCTTTACTCAGGGCTTGATAAGCTTTAGCCCAGTTATCCCGACTGTCTGATGTAAGCACACCAATAGCATCATTTGTGGGGGTTTTAGAAAGCTCTATCACTTTTTTCAACGCATGAACAATTTGATCCTGATTCAATCGTTTGTTGTCATCACCCCAGAGGTCAACATGGAAAATCTGTAAATTGTTGCATTTGAATTTGAAACCAACACAGTTGTCATGCCTTTTTTTATGTGAGAAGATGGCAAGCCAGCTGGCAGTTCACCTGATGTTAAGTGCTAACCGCAGCCCACGGACATTTGCACAACCCGTTAGTGTTGCAAAATTACCGTTGAACTTACTATTTTTTTATTAAAGTGTGTCCAGGTTACCTCACTCATCAGACGAAACGCAGAAGTATAACACTTCCACTTCACGCCGGTTTTCTGTGCGGTTGTGGTACTTACCTGGACAGACCTGCCCATTCATGCAACATCCGAAAATATTGTGTGGCCCTATCTCAGTTGCGAACATATTAGAAAAGGTAGTAGTAGTAGCCTATGATTATTGATTATTGCCTAATGATAGCATTTTATAATTTTTTTAAAGTTAAAGCATAGAAAATCCATATGAACATAATGGCAAACTTTAAGCTTACATAAGACTTACATAATTATTATGGCAGACTGTAACATATTTACTGTCATTAAAAGACAGCTGATCACATTTTTCACCTGGGATTCTGCATGTTCCAAATATCTTTTTGTACTGCGCCATATCTAAGGGACTTTTACCCATCATCTCCATTGGAATTTTGTTCCTGATAAGTAAAGATAAAACTAGCTTAGACCAAAAATAGAAACAGCACAAAGATGGTAGAAACAATATGACTTAATAAATATACTTATATAACATTTTCTAACCCATCTATTAAAGCCTTGTAGTCGAGTGCTGCTAACAACGTTTTTGCAGCATATTGCAACTGGTCATTTTGACTATGGAATTTCCGAAAGGGAAACACTAGTCCTGGGCTAGAAAATACAACAACTGGATCTCTATATTCTAAATATGCAGTCTTGAGCCACCACTCTTCTAGCCAATTTAAATGCTTCTCAGCCCTTTTTTCAAGTAGATTCTAAAACATACAAGAAGAAATAAATGGATATGCATTGTTTTTTTATATTTTATTTTTACTTTTAAAAGTGTTTCCAAAGCCATGAAAGTAACATCCTCATGTATTACAATCTAATTTTATTAAGAGTATAAACTTGGTTAAAAATAGTACAAATTAATTAATATTATCCATTAGACAAACAAGTCATTAGCTATAAAAAAGATACACATGACACATCCCTGGCAATGTAATAGAAGGCAATTTTAGGAAGTTATTTACTGATAAGTGAAATTTGGTACAAAATTTCCACTATTCGTAGTTTTTCATCATGCATCATGCATAATCTACTTAACACAATACCAGTTTCCACATAACACTGTTATATAGTATTAGGTACTAGATTCATATGAAGGCTGAGTGATAGGACTAACACTATCTTGCTAGTAATTAAAAGCATTTATATAGTGATAAAAGCTTATTTATATATAGGGAGAACTTTAATATTCACAACCCAATATTCTACTTTAAAATTGAAAATGTAACTTCATTATCCTTTTTAAAAAAAGGAAATAATTATTTACCTGTAATTTTATGCCAACACCACCTTGAGAACAAAATTCTTTTACAAGTTTTGTTGTAGTAGTAAATTCATCATCATTGAGGAATGGTCTTACAGTCTTAAGATATTTCGCCAATGTATCATTGAGCTTTGGTACTGGCAGTCTTGGTAGATTTTGAACATTTACATTTCCACTTGATGATGAGTAGTTAGAGACAAGTTGAAAAGCACTGACATAAGGTTCTAGATTGAGACCCCGAAATCCAATCTAAAGAAAATTAAAATAATTTTGTAATATTATTGCATTAATTATATAATTATTTCTATATGATGTTTATAATAGGTACTTACTAGCTTAACACTGCGAATCATATTAAGTTCCTGAAAGGAATTAACAAAATATAATTGTGAACAATAATGTAAGTATAATTTAATATATGAGAGTTAAAATATTCTATAATTTCTTATTGTATATTGAATAATTGAGCTTATAAAAGCATTACCTAATGAAATATAAAACTGTTTTAAATTACCAAATCATTCTTAAGTTATTGAAATGTAGTCTTTTTGATCTTGCAAAATAACATAAAAGTTATACAATTATTTCTAATTAAATAATAAAAACATTAAATAAGGAAAACAAATGACTATAAACGTCTAAGGAAATAACAGAAATAATGAAGATTACGATTAGATAATGTGCTCATTATTTATAAACCAAATGAATTTAAAATTGAACTAGATACCTACTTTATTAATATTTCACTCCAAACTTTATTTAAGTTTTGAATTAAATGGAAAGTAAATTGACATACTCTATTAATCAGAATTGTTAGATATACCCAGTGTTTTTTTTACAAAATAAAATTCTTTTACTAGAGTAGGTATTTTAATAATGCCAAAATCTTTCTATAGTTTTGCTCGTCGTTTGAGTATGTAATAATCTTTTAAAAAAACCATTTATATTAATATCTTCCTTATAACAGTCCAAATCACATAATTTTAAACAGTCCGAACTTTACAAAAATCTGATTTTTGCGAAGTGTATACAACTGGCAGTAACACTGTGTGAACTCACTTTCAGTCTTTCACCACTGTAAATAAAATTAATAACAATTCCTGAAATTATTAAATAATAATATGACTAACTAAATCTTACTTCTTGATTAGAATTGGACTTCTGTACTGTGCTATTGTTAGACATCTATATGCTCTATAATAATACCGCTATTGTTATCTACAGGAATACAAAGGTTGAAGCTATGCTACACAAAAAAGAAAGGTGCCAAGTAGGCAACTAGGTATAAGTATCTGCCGAATCAAGATTGCAGCAACCAGCAACCAACCGGTCACTTGTGTAAAAGTAAATGTGTAAAACTAGTTCGCAGAAAACTAGTTTTTTCGGTAGGTATATATATATATATACATATGTATAATATATGTATATGTTACGGTAAATGTGATTAATTCGGTGATTATATGTAACAACCGATAATCATGCATAATCACAATATTTATAAATATGATAATTGAAAATTTATCAAATTAACCAGTTTATTTGCAAAATACCTAACAATGTTAAATTTGACCAAAGTCCATATGTTTTACGAAAATTTGCTTAGTTTGCAAAATTCGCGGGATATGAGGGTTATCAGCGATATGTTTTTAGAGGTAAATGCCGATTCAAGTTTATATTGAAGTAGATAAGTACAGTGAGTAAGTAAGTATAGTGTTGTAAACCCGATGGTCTAAATCACTGTACTTAATTACTCGTCAAGTTGACTCGCTACTGTCATCGGACAGTAGCGAGTCAGCTTGGCTTGCATTGCAAGCTGTCTTGCTATTAGATCCAAATAGAATCGCTTTCGATTTTTGAAGCAACTGCACCCCTCGCCCGTTAACTCCCGCGGGAACTTAATAAACCCCGCGGGTCACTTGACTCGTCACGTAGTGTAAACAATCAAATTAGTACAGTTGCCAGCAATAGGCAACAAAATTGCACATATTGCTCGTCCGTTTCGACAGAGAAGTACCATTGAACTTGCTGTAGTGTAAATAGTCACTTGTCTGGTGCTCGCCACTAGCCACTGTATCTGTACTCGCCATTCGCCACTGTCCTTGAGCAAATTGGGCTTCTTAAGGAACAATGCGAGTCTAATAAGTGCAAATTAAAAAAATCTGGAAACTTTTAATACTAACGCCCGGTTCCTGAACCATTGATCATCGCATAAATCATCTCTTGATCAGAATGATCAAATTCAAAGAGTTTAACCATCCTTTTGGCAACTCAATTGACATTTGAAAAGCCATTTGACAGCTAATTAGTTAACTTCTACGATGATCAGTGTTTCAAAAACCGGGCGTAAATACCTAGCAAACGACGTCCTCAAACTCAAACTATTCTTAACTTCCAATTGCGTGATATGTGTGAGTACCGCTCGCGTACTTACAGACCTTGACTACGTAGTACCTATTATGTACTTATTGTAAAACAAACTGTCAAGGTATGCGTGTTTAGGGATGCCGGCTCCAAGTTATTAACTTACGTTTTCGCCATTATTTAATAAGATGGAAGTATAACAAAATGGGTTAAATAAAGTAGTTATATTGTAGATTAGTACTTTTATTTATTTTAGTAAGGGGCTGTAACATTAATCACGTGATGTTTTTTTTAGCATTTTTTAACCCCCTCTTTCCTCTTGGTGATACGTGGTGAGGTTTAAAACTACGCAACGGATCTTGATGCGGTTTTTTACTGGATAGAGTGATTCAAGAGGAGCGTTTATATGTATAATACAGTCCCAATGATATATTTTCTTTGAGTGACCCTTGTATCTTTATAAATTATAGCCTGTATAATTCTGATGTAACCTATATTATTGTAAACTTTCATTTAAATTCATTCAATAGTTTTGCGTGAAAGTGTAACAAACATCCATATCTACAAATTTTCGTGTTTACAATATTAGTAAGATATTGTAATTCATGACCTCTTACGCCATAGTTTCAGGTGAAAGTTATTTTTTCCGTTGGCAGAGTACCTATTCTACAGGCGCAATCAGTCATGAAATTTACCATTAGGACTAGGAGTTGGGATTTATGCAAACAAATTTATTCATAAATATTTACCAAATTTATTGGTGAATAAGCAGACTTACCAGTTATTTTCAACAATCACCAGTTTATCACTTTTACGGTAACATAAAAAAAAAATTATTTATTTTATATTTTTTATATTGATAACGAATCTATTTAATCATATTTTTAGATGTATGTGGTGATTCATATAGTTGCCCATTTTCAATGCAGTTTTCGTAATGAAAAGAGGCAATCAATGTCCGTATCATGGGGAATGTCCGTTGAAGTGACTGCCTCAATAATAGATTCAATCGCACCTTATTTGTCAATAATTTTTAACAGTAGTGTAGATTCTGGCGTATTCCCTGATCTCATGAAACACAGTAAAGTCATACCTGTATTTAAATCCGGTAGTACTTCGGACCCCCACTAATTTTAGACCCATTTCTATACTACCAACACTTAGTTAAATTTTCGAAAAAAAACTTCTTCTAGATCAGCTGTTAACACATTTTAACTTAAATAAATTATTACATCACAACCAGTTTGGTTTTACAAGGGGTCGTTCTACAACCGATGCTGGTGTAGAGCTGATCAAACATATATTTGAGGCTTGGGAGAGTTCACAGGATGCTCTGGGTGTCTTTTGTGATCTTTCCAAGGCTTTCGATTGCGTGAATCATGAAACACTGATCAGGAAATTGCGCCATTATGGCATTAAAAGTACCGCGCTTGACCTCGTTAAGTCATATCTATCTAATAGAATTCAAAAAGTTGTAATTAATGGTGCTCGTTCTTCTGGGTCGACGGTGTCTATGGGCGTTCCGCAGGGCTCGATTCTCGGCCCATTTCTCTTTCTCATTTACATTAATGATCTTCCTTACTTTGTAGGGAGTAAACACGATATAGTTTTATTTGCCGATGATACATCATTAATTTTTTAAAATCAATCGACAGCTTGTTACACTTGACGAGGTAAATAATGCTATGTCAGAAATAGTCTATTGGTTTAATACTAACAATTTACTATTAAATGGTAATAAAACTAAATGTATGAAATTTTCAACACCTAATGTTAAACATTTGGGTGCTACTAATGTACTTATAAATGGGGGGGAGTTAGGCCTTGTGGATACGACTGTCTTTCTTGGAATAACTCTCGATGCAAAGCTTCAATGGGGTCCCCATATATCCAAACTTGCGAATAGACTAAGTTCTGCAGTGTATGCTATAAGGAAAATAAGATGTCTAACTGATGTAAAAAAAACGGCTAGAATTGTGTACTTTAGTTATTTCCATAGCATAATGTCATATGGTATTTTGCTATGGGGGCACGCGGCCGATATAGAAACAATTTTTATTTTGCAAAAAAGGGCCATAAGAGCTATTTATAATCTAGATCTGAATGCATCTTTGAGAGAGAAGTTTAAAGAAATAAATATATTAACCTTAGCCTCTCAATATATATATGAAAATGTTATGTATGTGCGTAGAAATATTAATAATTTTGATAAGAATACTGATATACATAATGTGAACACTAGGAACAAACACAAGCTTGTAATGCCAGTTACTAGACTCCATAGAGTAAGTAACTCGTTCATGGGGCGGTGTATACGCTTTTACAACAAAATCCCAGTAAATGCGCAAAACCTGCCTATTAACCGGTTTAAGACATTTATTAAAGAAAAAAACTTTATAAAAAGGGTTATTATAATACAAATGAATACATTAATGACAATAACCCCTGGGAATGAGTTGATCGCTCCCAAGCTATTTCTAAAAGGAAAAAAATCAGTTGTACAATTTTTGAATTTTTTGTTAAGAAAAAAAAATAATTACAAAAAAGAGGATACCTACGGAGTTTCTTTCGCCTGTTTCTTCTCCGCTAGAGGAACCTCATTACGAAACGGTGGTAGATTTAAAAAAAAAATATGACTATTGATAAATGAAATGTAAGTTTCTTATGTCGATGAATAAATGATTTTGATTTTGAATCATATAACTATTAAGATCAAAATTTAATAGTTACATTTGAATATATCAGGTTTTTAAGTTGTGTATTACTTTAAGAATATTAAAGACCATGAATCGGCTAAAAGGTCATGGTCCGATGATTAGTAGGTACCATATGTGGAATTTACACATATTAAGTGAATAATAGTGTTAGAATTTGGTATTTTCTTCCTTTATGTTGGTTACATGGCTGTCACGTGACACGTTATGATCCACTCTAAGTAAAAAAGACGATGAAAATTTCTTCGCCGCTGCGGGAATCGAACCCACGTCTTCCGGATTCGTGCCTAGACACTTTAACCATAAAACTTTTTCTACAAATGTTATTGTTCCATCTTAAGAGCAGATATTAGCACTATAAAATTTAAACATCCACTCTTTAGTTCAAACTAGTGACCCCCGCCCCAGCTTCGCACTGGTGCAATGTACTACACATTTGTAAACCTTCGTCGTATATCACTCTGTCTAATAAAGAAAAACCGCATCAAGATCCATTGCAAAGTTTTGAAGATCTAAGCATACATAGGGACAGACAGACCGTGGGACGACTTTGTTTTAAACTATGTAGTGACTAGTGATATGTATTTACAAAAGTCTGTTGTGTGGTGTGAAATTTGCATGGTCTTGCTTGCAGGGTGACTCTAAGGGAAAAGGAGATGGTAATGGTGGGTGGGTTGTAATACCGCAGTCGCCATTTCTGACCTTATTTTAAATTGCGATATGGAGATGTATATAAGAATTTTTTTATGTATTATGGCTACACTACCTGTTAATGTAGCGGAAATATCTTTCTCTACGTTACGATGAATCAAATCGTGGCTATATCGAGCTTCAATGTGATAGATTTATAAAATGACTATCGATAGATGAAGTTATATTTCTTACTTCGATGAATAAATTATTTGATTTGATTTGAATGGTTGAATAACGTCTAACCGGTCTGGCACTTCGCCACGTCCATAAAAAGCATACCTATTGAAGTAGATCAAGTGATAACGCGTTTTATTTAAATATAGGTATTTTCAACTACAGTAGGTAAGTACTTACATACATCAATAAAATACTTACTTTTTACTTGTATCATGATAAAAAAATTAACTTATAACTTCTCATCACTTGACCACGATTATGCCGTGATTAAATTTAGCAGATTTTGGAACTGATTTAGGCTTTATGATCTGAATGCCCACTCTCGAAGCGGTTATGTTGCTTAATTACTGAGTTCCTATGGCCACCTTACAGCTCCATCATCATACCCTGGTTACCATCTAGCACCAAAGTACTCACCAAGACGAATCAAACGAGCTCGATGTGGTTGCGTCGTTTCTTTCCTGCGTTCCTATGAACACCTTCCAGCTCCATCATCAGATCACACCCTGATAACCATCTAAAAATAAAGTACTCACCAAGACGAATCAAACGAGCCGAAACTCGATGGGGTTGCGTATTTTCATTACAGTTCCTATGACCACCTTTCAGCTCCATTCAAATGAGCCCAAACTCAATGAGATTGTGTTGTTTCATTGCGAAGTTCCTTTGGCCACCTTCCAGCTCCATCATCAGATCAGCACAATGTCATCATAATATTCCATTGTCACGCGATTTGCACATGTAGGTATACACAATTTCAGCTCAATCGGTACCCAGGAAGTGGATCAAATTTAATTTGCAAGATTTGATGACAACCATCGGACAGGTGAAACTAAATAAAAGCTTGTAAAAATAAAACCTTGTAACATGCTTTAAATGCGTTGAATTTTACAGTGAAATAAAAAGGTGGGGTGATTTCAACCCGTTAGGGAAGAACGGTTCTCGAGTGGCAGACTCGTACTGATCATCGCAGTGTAGGTGTGACAAATGTGCGGGATGTCGATGGATGCAGGTGGCTCAGATCGTACTTCGTGGTAGTCTGTGGGGGGAGGCCTGTATTTAGCAGTGGACTGAAACAGGCTGAAATGATGATGTTGTTTTTGCTAGGGCCACGCCACAGCTTCGGCTTTTTTACGAAAGGCAGGCTCCATGGAGTCTATTTTATGTGTTCAAAATGTAATATTACATATCACGTTTATTTTGGGTGGAATTTATTATTTGTCGTTATATCTGAAGTTTCTTATAATTTTTATCCAATAATTATTCAATGGTCGATTTTTTGCTGTATAAAATAATCTTAATCAATACTTGCAAATAATTACAAAGACCACATTAAAATGGTTTCCCTTTGCCACATTAAAATTTGCCAAGGTTTTATGTTCAGATTAGTGTCTGACCGAAACTGGTTTGTACGACCGAAAACGAAACCGAATTTCGGCAACAGTCTCAGTTTCGGCCGAAACCGAAATTTCTTTAAAAGGATCATGTTTTGAGGAAAAAATAAATATCTTTATATCATATGTTATCGTTCTCTTCGTTTCGACGTTTTCTTTTTAAACGGTTTTATTTAGCTCGACCCGTACGGAATTTGTTTGTTTAATTATTTGGGTCAAAATTAGAAATTGAAATTTAAGCACCTTGCCGTTGTCAGATTGATCTGAAATTTGGTACACACATTTAATTTAGATGACAATACAATATTAACAAAAAAAATTTTTAACAAAAAACATAAAATAAAACCGTTTAACTTAAAAGTTTTTTAAAGTAATTATATTGGTATGATAATGAACTTAACTATCCCATTTAAGAAAAAAATATTAATTGCGCCTTAAAAAGAGCTTTATTTGAGTAGTTAGATTCTTCTTTTGAATATTATTCGTGGTTTTTTTTAAATATTGCGTGGTTATTTTGAACAAGCTTAAGGTGTATTTTTTATTAACCGACTTAAAAAAAGGAGGAGGTTTCTCAATTCGAACGTATATATATATATATATTTTTATGTGTGTTCGTGGATAACTTCGTCGCTTATGAACCGATTTTGATGATTCTTTTTTGTCGGAAAGGAGATATCCCAAGGGTGGTACCATGATAAGGAAACCCGGATTTGATGATTGCATCCCAGAGAAATCGTGGGCCATCATTAAAAGTTATATGTATTAACAATATTTTTAATTTTCTGATTGAAGTGGTTTTTTTTGTTAAAAATTATTTGTAAATTTATTAGTTTGTAATTGTACCTATAAAGTGTTTTTATTAATTAGTCAGCTGTCAGACGATTTAGACTCTAACGTCGCAGCGTCAAATAAAATCCGTTCATTCATCCAAATTGACAGTATCATATTGACGAACATGAATCAACGTTGACGAAAAAACCTTCAAAGACCTATCGCTAGTCTTCGTTGCTTGCTTGCATGGATGGAATTTAACGCGCTGATCATAACCGATCATAGTGCGAGAACTCCCGAATACAGTTTCGGTTTCGGTCGTAGTTTCGGCAGGTTTGGCGCTGAAACCAAACCGAAACTAGTTTTTTTTGCCGAAACTCGACCGAAACCGAACATTCGGTCGGACACTAGTTCAGATAATAATGATTTTAAAATAACCAATCTCCTTGACACTTTTGTGTGATGTAATTTTTACTCATTGTCACGGCAAGTTGGCATAATTTTATTTTAATTACTTGACGTAAACAGCATAGACGCCATCGTGCCGGGTAGTGGCGGGCGGTCGGCTTACTATGATGTTAATGTGTGGGTGGGGCATGTAGACGGTACAAATCGGACCATTTGCCTTCTTACTTTGCTTTAATTTCCATATGCGTGGCACGGAGTCCTGTCAAATTCTAGCCCGACTTATAATAAGGCAGTCTCCGGTCCACGCGATCGTATTTCTAGCTTCTGATGTACAATCCTGGCTACTAGTACAACCTAGTAGTATCTGCATAAAGTCTTTGGAGATACTAATAATTAGAAAGCATAGAACAACCGATGATAACACGCCGAAGCTAGTAGACTTCCCGGGAAGGAAGCTCAACAAATTTCGGTGGTGTCATATATTAGGATGTATCTTTGATAGTATTTATACAATTGTTTAATTATACGCAATTGTATAAATACTATCAAAGAATACATATATATTTACTTTTATAAAATCAAAGGAAAAAATAACGATGTATATGTTGCAATGCTATCTAGCGAGCCACTAATTTATTTTTAATTCCACTAATTTATCATTATAAAACTGGCGATAGGTACCTATACCTTGTTTATTAATTTGCAAAATGCTAAGGATATAAATGACTAATATTGTGAACACAACTAATAGCAACAATAAAAATGTCTTTTTTCTTAGGTGCCTTTTTGTTGCAAGAGTATACGAGTGAAGTCGTACTTTGTAACGTTATAAGTGTACACTCGTGTGTATCCTTATAATGTTAAATGTTTAATAGTAAATATTATTAAACAGATAAAAAAGGAAAGGCCAAAGATAAAAAGAAAACTACGAACTTTTAGAAAGCAAAATAAGGTAGATTTATTAATTGGTTAACAATGTTTTATGAGACATGAGTCTTGAGATCAAAAAGCTATTTATAAAATCCTTCTACACTAGATTTCACGAGGAATAAGTAGTTTTATAGTTTAAATTATCAGTGTCGTCGCTATGTTGGCTAACCGTGGCGAATGATTAGATTATCTGTGGCGCGTATCAACCGGAACAAGATGAAAAATATAAACGTATTCAACATTTAGATTTTTAAACAATAAATAACCAAATTTCAGACGGAATAGAAACACTCGCGTCAAGTACAATTCATATCATGTTACGAGGAGTGCTTGTAACATGTTACCTATACAGATAAACCGCACTACATTAGCGACTCTCATAACTTCAATGACATAGATATTTAGTGAAACAAGAAATTTAAATAATTTTGGACTTGTGGTTCTGTAAAAATAAAATGAGGAGATATATCGTAAAACTACTTACAGCTCATGGTGCCCTCTAAAATGGACGTTATGCAACTAACTAGGTACGTATGTTCTTTCCAAATTAATGAGGGTATGTTGAAGTTATCAAAATATTAAATAAAGACAAAAAATATCAACAATTAATTTGAAACGAATTAAAATTGAGAATTTAAGCTCCGTATAGAATTTTATACTGGAATACTTCCACTTCACAAAAGTACTAAAAGTAATAAAAGATTAATTCAAAGTATTGTCATATTTCTATTAAGAAATGGTTATTATAATATAAAAAATTTAAGGGAAATATCGTGAAATTAAAATGCTTTTAAGAAATTTATTTTCATATTGAAAGATTTGCAAGCGATAGCCTGAAGTAAAAATTTTAAATTTTAGTTAAATAGCTAAAACCATTTTAAGTGCTCGCAGAATTTACTCCTAATATCAATTCTTTATCAAGCAATATTTATAAAAAAATGCAGCAATTATTGGATTTTAATATATTAAGGTCGCTATTGCAAAGTAATACTGGATCCTATTTTTAAATTATAATTTCAGAGTAGAGTATTTATTCATAATTTTAATGTCTGCATTTAATCATAGATTTATTTTAATATTATTAATAAGCTTTGATATAAGAAACTAATTCAGTGAATATATTTAACCGAAAGATTTAAGTTCACTTGACGATAGCATACTATTTTCTAATGGTTTGTCAAAAAGTGAATCCATAGTTCCGTACATTTCATCTGTTTGACCGTCTGAAGTATTTCTGAAAAATTAGAAAAAAGTGAAATCTAAAATATCTGTTAACAATATTTCGTAATAACAGTACTCTTAATATAATTTTAATATATAAATAAATATTAATTATAAAGTACATGATTTTAATAAATAGTAAAGTAAAGTAGTACAGTAACAGCCTATATACAGCGTTTCGTTACAATGGCGACAATAAATGAACACACGTCTAATGCTACGTCTAGTGCCAAAAATCATAAAAAAATATTAACGTTAAAAATCCATTAGTAAAAAAAAATATTTTTCAAACAAACTAATTAAGTAAAAAAGAAACAAAAATTTTTATTCGTTGCCACAGCGTCGCATTACAAGCCTCTCCTTCTAACAGTATGTTTTGTCTCTTTTAAATTCATTCAACCCATTCATATGCTTTGTGACCTTTACAAATGAACTTTACGTTACAGTTTTATAAATCTAAATGTTTAATACAATTTTAAAAAGTTATCCTCTATGTGTGTTCATTTATTGTCGCGGTTGTAACGGATTTCGCATAATTATCTTAGAATTTTTTTTTGTTATTATTTCGAAAATATGCAGGTTTCCTCACGATGTATTACATATATTGTATATATTTAGGTGTATTATATTTTAATAAATATTAATTAGAAAATACATGAAAAAATATGTATAATAAAACGCAAGTGTCTTATGATTCTTGCAAAATGGGTTCTCCCCAATCAGTTTTTTTCATATTTGTTTTATGTCAGTTTTACATACACACAATAAAAATTTGAGTTATTTTCATACCTGCTGTTCACACGATTAAAATCTGCGTCTCCAGAAAAGCTATCGGAATCGTCATTTAGAGAAGTTTGGGAATCTGGAATGAGAAATGGTTTAAATAAATTTAATAAAATATTAAATTAATTTTTAAACCGCCTGCCATAATGCAAATATTACTTACACATATTACATAGTTTTCTTTGTTAAAAAGAACGCAGATTGGACTCGAACAATTAATCGATTTGCTAAAAAGTACACAGTAAGTTTGCAACTGTAGGATTAGAGTGTTACAACAGAAAATTTATATGATTCCTTAGCTCCCGTTTGCTCCCATATAATTTTTTATTGATATTGGACCTTAGACTCCGGAGATACACTTAGTCCGAGAGCCAGTGACAGATTTTCACGACCAAGTCCCCACCCAATTGAAAATTCGTGAAATGCATGAGGGATTTATATTATGAATACTCGCAACCGTCAGCTGCGACTCCTTGGGTTGGGTGGGCGGTGGCACGCATATAGAAAAAATTTTTTTTTAGTTATTTCCCATTTGAAAATTTGTCAGATTATATTTTTTCTAGTATTTTGAAAGAAAAACAAAGTCAGCTGACCATAACACGGTGGATTATACGTCAGCTGGCTTGAACATGAAAAAAATTTTTTTTCAATGATTTCCTCTCAACTAAAAATTTATCTGGTGATCGTTTATATGCTACTATGAATGAAAATTAATGTCAGCTTGCTGTATCTCAGTGGAAAGTTTGTAAGCTGGTACCTTGAAAGGTATCCGTAATAGCATCTATCACCTACTGAATCTTATCAGCTGACGACTTTTGCCTTGACTTACAGCTAGCTGATTTTTTTTTTTATTATTACTAGAGTATTTTAACAATCGTCTTATAAATTTTCATCCGGGAGAAAATAACGTTTCTTAAGTTATTCTTCCTTTCTATATTTGCAGCTAGATTGTAAATTAAAACTACCTTCTCAAGATGCTATGCTATAGCAAAAGGTACACCTGGAGAAGGTAAGTATCATCCATGACCGCGTACAAAGTCCCTTTGTACGCGGTCATTGGTGATATAGCACATGTAGAAGATTTTCAGTGGAAAATAAAATGTGTGGGGAGTAGCGATGGGACGATTTGTTTTTTTTCCAAGTCGATCAAATCGACTTGAAATGATCATGAAATCGACTTGCAAATCGATTTGAGTCGACTTGGCGTCTAACAAGTATATTTTAACGAAAAAAGACCGACTTTAAGCCGGAAACTAAAAAATATTTTTAATACCTATAACATTTGAGGATTACCCTCGATTTCTCTGGGATGCCATCATCAGATTCGGATTTCCTTATTATAGTACCACCCTTGGGATATTTCCTTTCCACCAAAAAATAGAATCATCAAAATCGGTCCATAAACGACGAAGTTATCCGCGAACACACATAAAAAAATAATATATATACGGTCGAATTGTGAAACCTCCTTCTTTTTTGAAGTCGTTAATAACCATGGATCACGAAATCGGGATATGTTTCATTACAACAAAAGGTTGATTCGCGACTTCGCTTTAATAAGTGTTAGTTTTAATGTGATTACAACTTTAAAATTTTTAGAAAAGGCAAGAAGCGCCCAATCACGATAATGGCAAAATCTGAAGCTTTTACGGAGTATTTCATTCAAATGTCAGAGCCATCAATGAACAGGGATGAGTTATTTCGCAAAATTCAAGAGTTTACTTGTCAAATGTATGGTCTTAATCGGTTAAACAAATTAACGACGTTAGAGTGCATTATTCCAAAAAACTTACATATTTTTGGACAGCAATGATGAATTTAAGTTGCCAAAAAAAGGTATTGATGCTTCTTCTCTACCATCATGCGAATCAGAACTGAACAGAACATTGCGCAAATTTGGCCTCACGCCGCTAAACTTAAAATTCCAACAACTGAAGAACCTACAGACTATGGTTGGGTAGAAGTAGACAACCGATTTGAGTTTGATTGGTTTTCTGGGACTCAGTTACCAATGTTCAGCCTGAAAAAGATATCAATTCTTTTTTTATTTTTACATATGATCATGTTTTAGTAAACATGCACATGGAGACTAATAATTTTTCTTTTCATCTTTTCTCAGATAATGATGAAGACATGATCGCATATAACTCTGACAGCGACTCTGACAGTGAATCAGAGAGAGAAGAAAGCGATTCAAGCCAAATCGAGAATGAAAATGTTAAGATAAATATTTAGTTGAGAGGAAATCATTGAAAAATATTTTTTTTTTCAGGTTCAAGCAGCCAGCTGACGTATAATCCACCGCGTTATGGTCAGCTGACTTTGCTTTTCTTTCAAAATACTAGAAAAACTATAATCTGACAAATTGTCAAAGGAGAGGAAATGACTGAAAAAAAATTTTTTTTCCATGCGTGGGAGACTGCCACCGCCCACCCCACCCACGGAGTCGCAGCTGACGGTCGCGAGTATTTATAGTATAAGTCCCTTATGCATTATACGAAGTTTCTCTCGAGAGGAAATAATTGACCGAAAATGTACCTGGCTCCCGGACCAACTAAGGAACTCCTCAAATAAAAAAAAATGTATAGTCAGTGAGATATTTGAAGCCCGTTGTGTTTATAACCGAATATTTACGGCAGTCTTCTCTTCGAAAACCTTTACTGAAGGATAACATTATCCTGTTTTGTGAGGGCGTTTTAAAATATACATAAATTTCACGCGTACAAACACCCAGATCCGAAACAATCATCTGCGGGTCACACAAATAGTGTCATCATTCGCAATGCGCCGCGGAGTCATCGTATTGTTGTGACCGAGTAATACCGGCGGTAGTGAGGCGGTGCGTGGTGAGGTAGTCGGCGGAGAGGTAGGGCGGTAGCTCGTCGGCGTCACCGGCGCCGCTCTCGCAGCCGAGCGTCTCGACGACCGACAGCCACTGCCCGTTGTGGCAGCGGAAGCGCTCCACCTGCGGCCCGAAAACGTCTCAGCGTCCCGAACGTACGGGATTTTTCAGGGTTCCGTACCGGTTCGAAAGATAAAAAAGGAACCCCTATAGGATCGCCCTCGTGTCCGTCTGTCTGTACGTGTGTCACCACCGATTTTCTCAGGAACGGGTGGACCTAGCAAGTGTAAATTTATACCAGATACTGAGGTCTATAGGTCCCTATTAGGTGCAAAATCGAGGTCCTGTGTTAACACGATATGGGCAAAAATAGATTTTCGCGAAAACTTATAAGTAACAAAATATACCTTTATTTTCAACTTTCTTCATTTTTCGGAATTTTCCCGTTAATTGTGCTGTAATAGACCTTGATTTAACCAATATTGACAATTCTAGGTCAACCAGAAGTACACGGAAGTACCGGGTATTGTGTCGAAAATGTGTATGGTGGTTCCCGAAGACCTAGAATCAGCACAAATAAAGGAAGTATTCCAAAAAATGAAAAAGTTGAAAATTAAAGGGTGTCCCCATATACATACATAGTTGATGCCAATTAAGATAGTCCTCCGAGTTGTATGGGCGCTCATACAAGTACAATAACAAACTAGATAATGAGATGATAGATTGTACGCTAGATTTTTTAAACATACTTGAAAAGAATACTTTTTCTCTAAAGTTAAAATTTATTATTTTTTTTTCTTGGAAAAGATGCTCGTTTATCCGAAATGATGCGATTTATTAACAACACACCTTAATCCTCGCCGCCCACTCGTTCTCCATTTGCGATATTATATCTAAGCATGCATCGCACATTTTTCTTATTTCCACATTCTTATCCTGCATTAAGTCAATGAGGTATGCTGGAGCCTCTGAAAACATAAGAATATATATTTTTAAACTGGAACCAAAAAACTCGGAAGGCATAATTAGTTTATTTATAACTTGTTTTACATACTGTCAAAACCGTTGATTAATGTAAAATACATTAGAAAATTTACGGCTGTTGTACGAAACTACGACAGCGAAAAAAAAGGAAGAATAAATAAATGAATGAACGAACGGACGAATGGATCGTGCTCTAGCGGTACCCCGTGTGCATAATGAACGAATGGGACGGGCTCTGGTGGTACCCGTGTGCAGAACGAACGAACGACCGGGCGAAAGTTACCCGTGTGCGCGACGAGGTGTTCTGCGGCGCGCGGGTGCGAGAGCAGCTGCCGGAAGGCGAACACCGTCTGCAGCACGTGCTCGTCGTCGGCCTGCCGCAGGCGCAGCAGGGCCACCAGCGCCTCGCCCCCGCCGGCCGCCACCAGCGCGGAGGCGGCGCGCTCCTCGGCCGCCAGCGCGCCCGCCGCCACCACGCCCTCCAGCACCAGCTCCGGGTCCTTGTTGTTCTCTGCGACAGGCACGGCCGGATTAAGGGGAGGGCAACCGGGACGACAGCCCCGGGGCCTCCACAAACGAGGGGCCCTCACAATAGAGATTTCGGAAAAAAAAATCAAATTCAGACTAGTAAACAATAGTAAACAACTTTATCTTTTTTTTTTCGTTTTTTACTTTTACTTACAGTACTTTGTACAAACATGATTATATTAAATATTAACAGAAATCAATAGAAAATAATTTGGGGGCAAGGGGCCTCCAGAACTCTAAATCTGGCCCTGGCGACAGGTACAGTCCGACGTTTCTATTTTTATCAGGTGCGTCCACCGCCTGCGTCTATACTGCTATAACTAACCGGTTATTGGATCGAGAAACAAGTTAAACATTTTACTTCAGAGAAAAACACCGACTGCAAATGTCTCACTCACTATACAATTTTCCACTATATAATCAATGAAATATGGACATAAAAAAGGAGATGAACCGAACCCAATTCAAAAAGAATTTTAACAACCATTGATAAATGATGAAGGTCTGAGGTAACAAACATAAAATAATACAACCGTATTGAGGAGTAGGCTGCTTTTTAGGGTTCGGTATCCTAAGGGTAAAACGGGACCCTATTAGCAAGACTCCGCTGTCTGTCTATCCGTCCATTACAGATGGTTTATTTCGGTTGCCGCTATAACAACAAATACTAAAAAATAGAATAAAAATATTTAAGTGGGACTCCCATACAACAGACATGATTTTTTTTCCCTATTTATAAATAATGGTACGGAACCCTTCGAAGTCCGATTCGCACTTGGCCGATTTTTTTTGAAGTTTGTTGAAAATTGTAAAAATATCTGTTGAGCTTGACAAACATTCGATCGACATAATTGAATGCTTTTTTTATTCCTAGAAATTATTCCTTATTAAAAAATGTACTGTTTTTCAAGACTTAAAAATACCAATTTACATGTACCTGGGTCTAAAATCTCCATAATGCAGGGTATTAAATTGTATCTCTCGACGACTGCGTAAATGTCTATATTATTGCTCAGACAGAGAATATTGCTTAAAGTGCCGAGACATTCAATTACGAACTCTTCAGGAGCTTCTCCGCTCGTCACCGCCCCAGCTATGTCTCCGACAAACTCCTGCAAAGGCAGTAACTAACTATTATATATCAAGTGTAATTGGCTAATATAAAAATAACATGTTGTAAAAAATAAAAAAAATACCGAAATAAACAAGTTACCAATATACCTACGTAAAATTATATAAACGACAAAACACGCATACGTGCGACTTTAAATAAAATTTTGAATGTAGAGACTCTTTTTAACTGTTATGTTATCTTTTGAATAGGATAATAATGGGACATTCGACATGAATTTCATTCGGTCCGCTAAGCAAGAATATATTTGTAATCAGTTTAGGTGAATCAAAAAAGCGAATCGACAACAGAACGTGCGAGGCGAACGGAACGGGAGCATAAGAAGGGGACAGCACCACAAACAGGGGCTTCGTCTGCGGGTGGTGGGAGAGGTTGCGCACGAGCTTCACGAGCATCGCGTTCCTGTGCCTGAAGCCCCTAGCGAGCAGCTCGCGCAGGCGCCCCTCCGCCGCCATCTGCTGGGCGGCGCGCTCGTTCCACGCGAGGTTCACGCACAGGGCGAGCAGCACGTCCGTGGTGCCCGGCGAGCCCTCCATGCTGCACTCGCTGTTCACGTTCAGCAGCAGCATGTCCGTCAGCTGCGATCGGGCGGAACGAATGTGGAACGTTAATTGATTGTAGCGTGGTAACGACTAGGGTTCATGACGATTCCGATTCCCCTCCTTTCAATGCGGAACTTTTTTTTTCACAAATCCTATTCCTCGTACTTTACCACAAAACATAGTGAAAAAAAATCTCTTCCTCTTCCTTATATGAAGAGAAATTTTAACAGGACCTCGGATACACAACAGCGCTATCTTTCCTACCTTGTATCTTGTATTAACTGACGTTAACGCTTTCAGTCCCGAGACTATTAAAACTTCATCGAACTCAGAACCGGTGGGCTAGCCAGAACCCACGGGTTCGAGGCCCTCCACAGTGGGTAGGGTCGCGCATTTGTTCATGCCTGCGTTAGCTAAGGAGTGTCGTCTACGGCCATCGAAGTTCGGTGCGGACCGTGACCCGATGGCCGTTGACTGTTTGGCTAGTCGGTAGCTGGGAGCGGTGACAACCGCCTTGGGTGTACCTAGTGTACGCGTTGTGTTGGTTTCGCCGTATCTCTCGGCGAGGATGAACTATGGTGTTTGCTGTTCCACTAACTTTGTGTGTAGTGTTATTTGGCGGGACCCCCGACGGTGGGTCCGCTTATCTTTCCTACGAAACCGTTTACCATTCGTATTATTTGTCTATTCAAATTACCAGTAATTAATTTTCAATATTAATTTTAATTATTTGTCACTAGTTCTAGAAATAATAAAAAGGTTTTGTCTTAATTATAAAGGTTTAATAAATATTAAATTATTTATCCTCCTCTCTCTCTATAACTTCCTTATCAACCCTAGAATGGACCGCAAAAAACTTACAAAATAAAAATGAAACAAAATTTGTAACATCCTATTCAACTATAACTAACTGATTCATACATTCAGTCTTTTTCATTTATTGCCACAACATTGTATTACAAGTCTCTCTTTCTAAAGTGTGTTTTATCTCTTTTAAATTCATTCAATCAATACATATGCTTAGTGACCTTTACAAATGAACTTTACGGTACAGTTTTATATGTAGGGGTGTTCTAAAATTATTTGTTTTGGAAAATTTAATATTGATGTTTAATGAAAGTAAATGTCTCATTCAATTTTAAAAACTAAACCTCTATATGTATGTTTATTTAAGGTGTATATATATAGCCCTTCAACAGTAATACATCCGTTCACTAATATATTTTAAAACTTACATGGCCAAGAGCAGTAAAAGCAAGCTCTTTGAAAACTAACATTCAAAATTTCAACTAGGCCCGACATTAATCAAATCATTCTGTAGACCACAAGAGCTGTTTTTCTATATTTTAATCAGTATATGTCTAACTTTTCCAGTCAATAACTTGATATTTTAGATGTAAACAAGGATACTTACCAATTTAACACAATCAGATTGCGTAAACATTAGTTTAACACGGTCATCCATACTTAAATGGTAAAGAATTTTCATTGCTAAATTAATATGTCTGTCGTCACCTACAAGGTACAATAAATCGGAATTAACGTTGGATATTATGTCAATGATTATAAAGAGAATTTCATTTTACGAAAATATATTAAGTGCTAAAGAAAAGTATATCCGTAAACAAAAACTTAACATCTAAGGGTTCTATAAATGATCGTAATAATTGACGCTTCTAAATACTTACTCGTAAATTGTATGAATTTGGGCAACAGGTTAATCTTAATCATTTTGTTTCGTAGCTTCGTGTCAAATGTTAAGTTAAAGAGAAGCTTTAAAGTAACATTGACTAAATCTGCATTAGGAGAATCCAGTAAAGGACCTAATTTCTCAATAATTCCTTTAGAAGCCATTGCATTTTTATTTTCTACAAAAATGGACAGCTTTTGAAGGAATGAAACAATGAGAATTAGAAGATCAATATTTGAATGTCTCTCCATTGCACCAATGAGTAATCCTACAATGTCCTTTTTGTGCATTTTCTCTTCAACTTTGATATTATCGGCTATATTAAGTAACATGTAAAATGCAACTCTAAGAAGTTGTTCTTGTCTCTTGGACAGAGTCTTTAATTTTCGTTTCATTTGTTCTTCATCATTTTTAGAAAGGTATTCATCTGAAGCATTACACAAATCCTCATGATAACTGGATACTAGTGAACGTGACTTTTGTAAATTTACATCAGCAACAGCCCATGTGCCTGATTTTGGGCGGCGCTTAGGCTCTGGTATTCGGCTCTTTGGTAGTTCACTCTGAAATAAGAATTGTAATCCAGAGGACAATACAATGTTTGGGAGAAAAATTCTGATATAAAATATTATTATTTGTTTGTGTGTTAATTTTTATCCACCACCTAAACAAGTTAGTAAATAGTTTTAAATTACTAATCCTTACTAATTTTATAAAGGCGAAAGTTTGTATGTATAGATGGATGTTTGTTACTCTTTCACTTTCCATACATACAAATTTTCGCCCTTATAATATTAGTAAGGATAAGGATATTTTCTCCATATCATCAAAATTATTATATTAGTCCCAAAATTAATGGGCTTGATTATATTATATTTAGAGACTTTCTAAATTCTTTTTTAATTATATTTTGAGTTCACAAATTTTGAATTCTCTTTAATTGCAGCGTGTCGTTACAACCGCGACAATAAATGAACACACGTCTTACGCTACTTGCCATCATAAAAAATTATAAACATTAACAAAAATCCATAACTAAAAAAAAATTTTTTCAAACTAATTAATTAAAAAATAAACAAAATTTGTAACATCCTATACAACTACAGGTGACTGATTCAGAGACTTTTTCATTCGTTGCCACAGCGTCGCATTACAAATCTCTCCTTCTAACAGTATATTTTATCTCTTTTAAATTCATTCATATGCCTTGTGACCTTTACAAATGAACTTTGTTGAATGAGTTTGTGAAATGAGGTGTGCCAAAATTGTTTGTTTTGGAAAATTTAATAACTTTCTAAATATTTATGTTTAAATTATGTAAATGTTTAATACAATTTTAAAAAATTATCTTTCATATGTGCGTTCATTTATTGTCATGGTTGTAACAACACACTGTATAAATATAGATTCTTTCTTTATGAATAGATAGGAAAACTTTTCTTTTTTTTATACAGTAGTTGAAAAGTATACTATGAAAAAAAATTATTGTATTTGTCTGTCAAGAGTAGAAATAAAGTCGTCAGATTTTTGCATAGTAAATTGAAACGTTTACAGTAATAATATATGTTCTGTTCCTACCTTATCAGGTGTTAGCAGTTGTTTTTTCCCTTCAACTCTTTCCTTCCATTGGTCATATCGTTTAAGCTCATAGTCAATTACATCCATACACAATGAACCTATTTTATATTGTATTATAACAGTGTGAAACTCTATATATGTAGAAAAACAGAAGAATGTGTAAACAATATTGGTACTCAATTCAATACTTCTCTTCCATTCTTCCCTTAATACTCTTGACAGTGCGCTGAGTAAAGCCTCTGAAATTTAAAGTTTTTAAGTATCAGTATCAGATTAAAATATTATTCAATTTGCAACTAGTAAGAATGAATATCAACAAATTTGGTGTACATGCCATTTCTAGCTAATTCAATGAGGTTATCTGGATTTCTTGCTAGTTGCAGAATAAGTGCAGATCCTTTTATTTTTTCTGGTATATCATCATACAATAATTCCACATAATCATCAATACAGTTTAATACTGCAACAGGTACACTTTCCACTGGACTCATAATTGTAAATCTGTAAATTATTAATGATATAGTCACACTTTAATAATCTTATAATATTTCTGATAAATATTAGTCTTTGGAAATGTCATAAATAGAAAAAAAAAATGTAATTTAAATAAACTATAAACAGAATACAAAACATTAATAATATTAAGAATGACATAATTGCAAGGACTTATGAAAACAGACATATGTATGATATATATAGTAACTTAATTTATGTTACATGTGTTATTAAAACTATTTAATTATTAAATATTGTGAATGGATTGAGACTTTAGAAAAACAATATGTATAAAATAAAAATATAAAACCAACTCTGGTAGATAACTGTCAAAAGATGGTGAAAATAATTTATTGTAGCTTTCGGTATTAATATTGTTAATTATATCTTTGAATTTTACTATTTTAGATACCCAATCGAATCTTATAGGATTAATCAAAAGACAAGACGAAGAATATGAAAAATCGGAACATATGTTTGTTGTTTACAATTTCATCGTACAACAAACTGCAAATAATCAATACAATTTTTTTTTTCATAAAGATTTTAAGGTTTGGTAGCAAGACTTTTAAGATAATCAATACACAAATATAAACACTGACACAGTAATTAAAAATTATTCTTTGTATTACATTACAAAATACAAATCAATACTATAAATATATAGATATTAGATATTTTTCCATACAATTATCGATGTATAATTATTTATCGTGATATATCGATATTCAATATTTATTTCTGGCAATCGAATTCGCTACCTACCAACATATACAACACCTGTCGGGTTGCAGAGGCGTTTCCAACCATTTAAAAAAATTAGCCCTGGTTACTTCTCTAGACAAAACGAGAAATTATATATCTTCACTTCATACCGATCTTATCTGAAGACATGGTACTTCTCTGTATAGCCTGCCTATTCGTGTAACAGAATTGCTGCGTGATACCATAATTACTTGTAGTATTGCCGATTTAATAACCTAGAACCATGGGACCGGGCTTTTTCTAAAAATACTACTCTTTTCTCCACCCTCTAAACACCAGCGGCATCTCTAGAGTCCCTTAGTTCGAGTTTGGACTATGCACCGACGCACGTCACAACCATATGCTCAAGCGATCACATTATCTGCTTATAAACTGTACGAAACGTCCTACGTTCAGTTTCAGGAAGTGGTGCAATGAGATTAACCCGGAAAATGGTAAGGGCGATGATGTTTAATTGTCGTTCGGAAAGAAAAACTTCCTACCATTAAACTACTCAGCCTACTTGGCCGTTCCGGGGGAAAGTGAGGCTGGATATCTTGCTGTGCGCTAGAAAAAAAACCACATTTAAACAGCACAATAGCATTACATATGGCCAAAAAGCATGTCAAGTCTAGCCTGACACCACTCACATCAGCGTCTAGTAAAATAACACTAAGACGCAAACTAACACGCATACATTTTTGGGTATCTATTTTAATGCATATCTCCTCCAATTAATTCGTCATTGCGCTACCACGCTTAGCGTGGCACAAAGCGCATTCACTCTAAACACGAGATCCCTGATCCGAAGCCTACGCACGATATTCCCGTGTGCCAGGATGCTTTTGTATCAATTATGTCGTGTTTTTATTCTTATTTAATAGCGAGTCATAATTAATTACGAAAATATTATCATTTAAAGATTCGCTTTCGAAAATCTTGTGTTTCGTTAATAATTTAATTCATCGAACTTTTTTTTTTAAATTGGCTTTACACAAATATTATCCTGTGTTGAAAAAGCGTTTTACAAATATGAATTTCACGTGGACAAACAAACAGATTCGAAAAAATTATTTGTGGGGTCACACAAATACTTGTCCCGTGTCCCATGTGGATATGGAACCCACGGCCACTGGCGCCGAAGCCTTGACAACTGCGCCATGAAGTGATCTAAGTTCTTACTAATTGTTTTCGTAGATTCATCATCATCATCATCATTTCAGCCTGTTTGAGTCCACTGCTGAACATAGGCCTCCCCCATAGACTGCCACGAAGTACGATCCTGCGCCACCTGCGTCCATCGACTTCCCCACACATTTGCACAGGTCGTCACTCCATCTAGTGGGGGGTCGTCCCACACTGCGATGGCCAGTACGAGTTCTTCCCCAACGGTTATCGGTTCTACGAGCTATATGGCCGGCCCATCGCCATTTCAGCTTACTAATCCTCTGAGCTATGTCGGTCACCTTAGTTCTACTGCGGATGTCTTCGTTACGAACTCTATCACGCATAGAAATACCGAGCATAGCCCGCTCCATAGCTCGCTCAGCGACTTTGAGCTTCCTCTTACGGCCAGCAGTGAAGGACCACGTCTCGGTTCCGTAGGTCATCACTGGCAACACACATTGATTGAAGACTTTAGTCTTCAAAGATTGAGGTATATTTGACGAGAAGATTTGCCGTAGTTTCCCGAACGCTGCCCATCCGAGTTGGATTCGCCGATTGACCTCTGCTTCGAAGTTGGACTTACCTAGCCGGACTAACTGTCCTAGGTAAATGTACTCGTCAACAACTTCGAGCTCAGTGCTCCCAACAACAACCGGTATTGGCGTAACCGTAATTTCGTAGATTAATTGTTCGTAATTCAATTTTCGGAAGTGACCGTTAACGTCGCGGTTATGTATCAGGACTTAATCTGTCGATTGAACTCACATTACTTCTTCGGGATACGTTCATTTTTTATTTAATAGGTCATCTGCCAGACCAAAGTGTACCTTTTCCACGGTACCACAGTCAGAGCCACCGGGCTAACAGCAAAAACACTAAAAAAAAGTACCACCAACAAAGATTTCTTAACTATTATATAACATATATAATTATGCGTCTTATTTTCTATACGTCTTCAAACTTTTTTTGATATATTATTAATATTAGTATTATTACAACACTAATCAAATGTGATACTGATATCTTTTGAATCTGTTCTCGACTGTGAAGTGATAGGTATTGTGAATTGTGATGTTAATGATAAAATAAAAGCGATCTGTGGTAATGACTAACTTGTGATTGTGACTAATTATTTTCAGAATTATTTTTGTTTACCACTTCGCAGTTTTGTAAATAATTGTTCAAAAGTGAAAACATTGTAAAATCTTAGTACTAACATAGTTCGTAGTGTTGTTTAACATTTTATTTGTAATCAGTAGTTATGAATATTTCTTGTCCATTTCCTTTCAGACTTCAGTGAGATAAGAGGCAAGATAATGACTTAATCGTAAGAATTACGTTTTTATGTTTAAGTTGCACTTTCTCTGGTAATAGTATAAGCAATTTAAGGACCTATGCGAAAAAAACTTGTAAGAAACTTGACAGTGATCAAAAGTTTGTTCCTTTATAATAGCTACTTATACCTTTTATTTTAATTTTTTTGCTATTCTATATACTTAATTAATTTAACACGTTATCAGCTTAGTTTTATCACTTCCTATCTCAAGGACTAGAAGTTATTAATTTTTTTTAACGTTTTGATTTAATATCATTCTAATGGTATATTTTATTACACTTGGTTCATAGGCAATCAATATTAGCTTATTATTTACATCATAGAAATTTTTTTATATACGTTTGTGACACAAGTAATTTTTTTTAATGTTACTAGATAAACCTACAAAGTAAAGTTTTTCATGTCATATTTACATTGGGTTTATCTTGCAATAATGCTTTTTAATGTCCCTTTTCTAACATTTTCAATGATATTCTTTATAGATAATCTTTCATGAAGCTGTACCATGGTTATTAAATAGTATTAAAACAAGTATGTATTAATATTATCAAGATGTCGGATGCAATACCATCTTTGACGGCTCCAATTTCACTTTCTACATATCATCAACTTAGCCTAACTGGTAAGAATTATTGTTTTTATCATATAAATTACATGTTATGTATATTAAACTTTCTTTCCTTTGTAACCGTCTTTTATGGTTACAAAGTGAAAATGTAATTTATACAATGAATAGGAATTTATTGTTGCATGTGTTATTCTCTACGAAACAACATCAGAAGTCTTCCTGCCATGCAGTATTACTTATTACATTTGAATATGACAATTTAATGTTACAAGACATTATATAGATATCAAAAAGTAAAATTATGATGGCATTTTAAGTAATAATTTTAATCCATTGCTGTACTGGAAAGGTTTTTACTAAATGTTACTTATTATTATGTTTTAAAATTATAATTTGATATTAAAACTTTAAAAGGTATAGTCACCATGATAAGCCATTATCAGATTCTGCATTCACAGTGTTACAATATAATAACCATTTTATTTTTGGTCACATCTTAATTAGTTACCTAAGACAACAAGAGCAATGCATTTTCATGCATCACACTCATCGGCATATGAGGCGTGGAACAAAAACCAATATATCACATATCACATTTTTCAGGAAATTAACAAATAATATACAGCGTGTCTTTACAATCGCAACAATAAACGAACACACGTCTAACGCTACTTGCCAATAATCATTAAAAAATACAGCGTGGCGTTACAACGGCGACAATAAATGAACACACCTCTAACGCTACTTGTCAATAATCATAAAAAAATATTAACTTAAAAAAAAATCCATAACTAAAAATTCAAACAAACTAATTAAATAAAAAAGAAAAAAATTTGTAGTATCCTATACAACTACAACTGACTGGTTCATACATTCAGAGACTTTTTCATTCATTGCCACAGCGTTGAATTACAAATCTGTCCCTCTAACAGTATGTTTTATCTCTTTTAAATTCATTCAACCTATTCATATGCTTTGTGACCTTTACAAATGAACTTTACATTACAGTTTTATACATAAGGGTGATCTAAAAATGTTTGTTTTGTAAAATTTAATAACTTAAATTTGAATGTAAATGCTTATTACAATTTTAAAAAATTATCCTCTATATGGGTGTTCATTTATTGTCGCTATTGTAACTGCAACCTGTATATGTCTATCTAAATTTTTAAATCTTGCATTCCTTCTAGTTTTTAATAAAATGTTTTTAGATGTTTGATATCCTTTAAACTCCCAATCTTGATCCAGTAATAAAACTTCCCCATTTGTCCTCTAATTATTTGGATATGGATTTGTCGGTTTTCAACCAACCATATGCATGCCCCATGAAAATTTCTAAGGATTTGTTGGTGTATGTTCATGTTCCAATCATGAAACAATCCAATGATCTAATGGTTTATGTTCAGATTAATATTAAGAAAGTTTTTAAAGACAATTTAGTTGTTTATAAATAGATTTGAAACAAGATGGCTTTAGATATGTAAGTAAACTGCCGATTGCCATACTTAAAACAAAAACTGTTAAATTGAGATTTATAGGTTTCTGTTCCCACTCTCCTCATAATTATATTATCAAAGATTTTGTCAAGATATATATATCTTGTCAATAGGGTTTCATTTCTATTACAATTTTGTATTTCAGGGATTATTACATTATAATTATAAAAAATAGGGAACTTTTGAACTTTAGTAAAAATGCACTAAATCAACAGTAAACAATAAGAACTAATTAACAATCAGACTTAATTTATATACTAATACTTAATGGAAAATATAATGCTCAATATAATATTGAAGAATTACATATGTTTCAGTGGAATCTGCTGTTATTAGAAATTCAGGATTATTTAAACCAAACCCATATTTACAAGTAATAATAGATGGAAAGACTTTGAGAAAAACAGAAGTAATAAAAAATACTTTGCACCCAAAATGGAAGGAGGAGTTCACAGTCCTAGTTACACCTCTGTCACAATTGATGTTTCGCCTCGCTGATCATCATAGTTTTAGAAAAGATCATGTTATTGGAGAGAAAAAAGTTAATCTTTTAAAAGTCTTGTACTATTTTAATGGAAAATGTGAGAATGTAGAACTATGTGTGGGTAAGTACTTTGTTCCTATACATAATGGTGCATTGAATCATTTTAATGATTGTGGAATACATTCTTGAATGTTATTTTCAGACTTGATGAAGACTGTGTCCCAAGATAATACGTCAGGAAATGCCACTACTGATGTTAAAACAGCTGACTTAGTTTTGCTTCTCGATGGGCTTCGAATTGATCCATCTATTTTAAGTCAATCACATGAAGTTTTAGGAGAGGCTACCACCTCTCGTAGTCCATTAAATGATGGGGTCCGCGCCAGAACACGATTACGAAATAATATTGAAAATTTGCGATCAGTGTTGAGATCACAAAACCTTCGAGTAAGTTTTCTAAACCGAATCATACATCAAATATTTGTGCCAACAATGTATATGTAAGATCATTTTATAAATAAATAAATATATAAATATGATTATGTAATCATAATTATTACACATGTCTTGTTGATCTTAAATACATACATATACTATATGCAAACAATCTGAATCCCTCAGAAGTAATTAACGCAACAACTGGCAATGAGGCCAATAATTTATGAGGCACACGTTTATCTTTTGATAACATAGTCGAAACTCTGATCTCCAGCCACCGCCAGGGCCTCCTCCGTTGAGCAATGGAGCAGCTAGCGGTGCGGCGATAGACAGTGGGCCTGGCCCATCGCATGTCGAGCATAGCACGACTGAGAGCGTTTCGCACGGATCGAGTACGCACTCCGCTCACGGACCGCTTGTAGCACCCGCTGCCGCCACCGCTGCCACGCCGGCTGCCACTGCTGCCACTACCGAAGAACCACTACCACCTGGATGGGAAATGCGATATGATGTCTATGGACGAAGGTATACACTTAGAGATCCTAGATTAAAATTGTTAATGTCTACAATGAAGATTTTTTCTCTTACATCTCAATGTAAACTACACTGCCAAATTCAATTGAGTGTTTCCCCAGACATACTTAGTGTACATAAAAAAGTTTCTATTCGCTTCAAGGAGTGTATATCATTCGGTATGATGTAGCTTAATTGAGCGATAGAGCTATCGCTTAGTCGACAGTGCAAGTTCAGGAGTTGCGTAAACATCTCCACACAGGCCGTTGAAACAACTGTTTCACTGTCATTTGCTGCTATTCTCTTCAGATATTACGTGGATCACAACACGCGCTCCACGTCGTGGGAGCGGCCGCAGCCACTGCCGCCTGGCTGGGAGGTGCGGCGCGACGCGCGCGGCCGCGTCTACTACGTGGACCACAACACGCGCACCACCACGTGGCAGCGGCCGGACACCGAGCGGCTGGCCCGCTTCCAGCACTGGCGCGGCGAACGGCGCCACGTGGTCGCGCAGGGCAACCAGCGCTTCTTGTACCCGCCCCCGCAACCGCCGCACCCGCCGCACCAATCCGACGCAGACGAGGCACCCGTCGGTGCGTACCGCGGTGCCCTTTATTTACACTTACGACCGGCGTATGTGTATAGGTGTGTTGTTAACGCGCCTAAAGTGAAACCACGACGACGTGCCAATTGGGCCGTCTTGTCTTTCACGCTAGACAGGGCGACGAGTAAGACGCGGTGTCGATAACTTTACATTAATTAAAATGTCGTCGTTTGTTAAAAGTTAAAAGTGTATGTCTCTCAAGTCAACAAAATTCAAGGCATCTTATATTATGCACATAATGCAATATGTCTTCGATTTATTGGTACATTTCTATTAATTCCCTTGTAAATTGTGTAGTCTAGTAAACATAGAAAGAGACAGAAAATTAATTTAATACGGGGACGAGAAAGACGGATGCACCTCCGGACATAGATTAATCAACATGCCGTGATTTGTTTCCTGAGAGAGGAATTTATTTTACACTTAGATAAAGTGACAAAACACTTGCCGTCCACAATACCTGTCAGTCTCTTGCGCGCAACAGATTGGGGTGACGTTGAAGTACTTGTGCCTGCCACCTTCCGTCACATATGTGAAAACAGCATTTAAAAAGGGTTCACATTGTTTTGATTTCGCAGCTGGTAGCAGTGGCAACGGCCCCAGCCCGGTAGCGGCGGGGGCGGTCGGCGTGGCGGGCGCCAGCGGTGCGTCGGGCGCGGCGGGCGCTAGCGGCAGTGCGCCGAGTGCGGAGGATGCGCTGGGCGCCCTGCCCGCCGGCTGGGAGCGCCGCGTGCAGCCGGACGGGCGCGTCTACTACGTCAACCACAAAAATCGCACCACCCAATGGGAGGACCCGCGCACTCAGGTAAAAAGATTACGGTGACGGTTGCATTAACATTATACAGCGTAAACTCTTTATAACGAATTTCAAGGGACCGAGCATTTTTTTTCGTCGGTTTTTTTGGTTGTTACGGAGGGAAGAGATATTCTGTTAACTTTAACTGACGTGTTTTGCTATGCCAATGTTTGTTTGTATGTTGTGTTTTGGTAGGTGGTCTCGGAATCATCATGGCTGTTTATGACCTCACATATCTTTCTTAGAAATTTTGATACATAGAATATTTGTTTAGTAAGCTGATTGTAAAAAGCTGTTTGATTTCTTTGCACAACAATGGGACATGTACATAGAATGATACTTGCACAAATATGAGATATCAGTAATTGGATTTTAGGAACTTCATTTCATTCCTGGTGCTTAGCTGATTTGTTATATAAGTCGGATGACTTGAATAGATATTTAAAGTATGTTTATTTTAACAATGCTTTACGTCAAACACTGATAAAAACAGATTAGACATGACGTCGACGACCGCGCTTAACTTAGTGGCTAGAGAGTCTGGACGCATTATCCGGAAGGCGTATGTTCGAATTCCGGCAGCGGCGATAAATCAAAAGAAACTATCACTAGAAGTTGAAATTAAATAATAATCTCTTCTCCAGGGACAAGAAGTGTCAGCTTTAGAAGAAGCCCTGCCGCCAGGCTGGGAGATTAGGTTCACCGAGGAAGGCACGCGCTATTTCGTCGACCACAACACACGTACCACCACATTCCAAGATCCGCGGCCCGGAGCTCCCAAAGGGCCCCAAGGGGCTTACGGAGTGCCGCGGGCCTACGAACGATCTTTCCGATGGAAACTTAGTCAATTCAGATACCTATGCCAGAGTAATGCCCTGCCCAGCCATATCAAAATAACTTTATCGAGACAGACACTTTTTGAAGATTCCTATCACCAGGTGAATAGGTTTTATCACATAATATATTATTGATTGTTGCCAACATTTTATTTGCCATAAATCAAAAATAACCTATCTTATTATCTATTATCCTATCCTATATAAGTACCTGGGGCTTCTGAGGAATTGGTAAATACATTATCATCACTTATTACATAGATAATTTATTATTCGTTGTTTTTTCAGATTATGCGACTACCGGCTTACGAATTACGAAGAAGATTGTACATAATATTCCGTGGGGAAGAAGGTTTGGACTATGGTGGAGTTAGTCGGGAGTGGTTCTTTTTGCTGTCTCATGAAGTGCTTAACCCAATGTATTGTCTCTTTGAATATGCCAATAAGAACAACTACAGTTTGCAAATAAATCCAGCCAGCTATGTCAATCCAGATCATTTACTTTACTTTAAATTTATAGGCAGATTCATTGCGATGGCTCTGTATCATGGCCGATTTATTTATTCGGGTTTCACCATGCCCTTCTACAAACGTATGCTAAATAAGAAACTAACAATGAAAGATATTGAATCAATAGATCCAGAATTCTATAACTCTTTGGTGTGGATTAGAGACAATGATATAGATGAATGTGGACTGGAGATGTGGTTCAGTGTAGATTTTGAAGTTTTGGGTCAAGTTATACATCATGAATTGAAACCTTCAGGTGATAAAGAGCGAGTAACGGAAGTAAGTTTCAACACAAATTATAACATTTAAATTGTTAACATTCCCAGATTTTTTTTAATACTAATAGAATAACTTCTTTATTTGTTTATTTTAAATGCCTGTTTCTACTACCTAATATATATATATTAGGTTGTAGAAACAGGCATTTAAACAATTACATATGTAATTGTCAATTTGTTTTCATTTTCTTTAGGCAAATAAAGAGCAGTATATTCAGCTTGTCACACAATGGCGGATGACTAGAGGAATTGAGGAACAAACTTCTGCCTTTTTGGACGGGTTTAATGAGGTAATAATTATACTAACAGATAATTTATTAACATAAATATAAGTAAAGAAATATAATTATACAATTAAAACAAATTCTTAGTTTTACTTATTATCAAGAGCCGTGATAGCTCAGTGTCCGGGCGCTCGCCTTTATTTCAATATACTCCCAACAACCTGAGTTCGATCGCCGGTGCCGGCACCAATGAAGTTTTTAAGTGCTGACTTATCACGTGCTCCGCGGTGAAGGAAAACATCGTGAGGAAACCTGCATATTTTCGAAATAATAACAAAAAAAATATATTTTTCGAAGATATGTGAAGTCCGCCAATCCGCAGTGGGGCCGCGTGGTGGACTATGCCCTGATACCATCTGTATAGAGGAGGCCTTTGTCCAGCAGTGGGACATGTATAGGCTGTTACTTTACTTATTATCAAACCCTTATTATGGCAGCCAAAATCTATCATCTCTTCAAAATTTTCGACATGTTGAAAGAAGAATTGATTATAAACGAGTATATGCGAGTATCACGTTTTAACCATTTTAATAAGAAAGCTTTACAATGATGCTAAAAGAGTCCTTATAATTTCAGGTTGTGCCCCTGGAATGGCTGAAGTACTTCGACGAGCGCGAATTGGAGTTAATGTTGTGCGGTATGCAGGAGGTTGACGTAGACGATTGGCAGCGCAATGCCATTTACCGCCACTACACTCGCACCAGCAAACAGGTCGTTTGGTTTTGGCAGGTACGAATCATGAGCATTCTTTACTATCATGAGCATACTCTAGTATCATCAGCATACTTTAGTAGTTGTATTAAAAACGTTACTAGATAGATGTCCTGATGACTTGCAGCTAGTTAGCACATGCTCACAGTGAGTTAACCATGTAAGTAGCTTCTCTACTATAGTAAAATTTTCATTTTGTCTTTGTACATGTTATAGTTTGTGCGGCAAATGGATAACGAAAAGAGAGCAAGATTACTTCAGTTCGTAACAGGCACCTGCAGAGTGCCCGTAGGAGGATTCGCTGAACTTATGGGGTCGAATGGGCCACAGAGATTTTGTATAGAAAAGGTAAAATCAGTTCATTTTCATACTAATTTATGTAAGTTGCGTAAGCAAAAAAACTCAATAGTAGAACAATCTTTATAATTATTAGTATCTAATTAAGTACGCATTTTTTATGCTATGGGTTAATTAAGGAATCTTGGATTTGAGTGTGGATTGAGTATTGTCCAGTTTCCTGGGACTAAGGAAAGATTGTTTCGAGAGGAACACCAGTTCATAATTTTTTTTTCAGTATATGTTTCATCACTTACTTTGTCACAATGCCAAAAATAAATTTTTAACCGACTGTTACTATATGTTGCCTATTCACATACCTACCCAAACCACAAAATAGGCGATGATAAAGTAATAGACATTGAAGATATTTATAAATATTTTATTAATAATATTTTTAAAAGTGCTAATCTCTGCACTTCAGATTTAACATTAAAATTTGTAGAAAAAGTACGAAAAGTTTGTCGCCGCTGTTGGAATCGAACCCACGTCTGCGGCATTCGCGGCCTGACGTTTTAGCCACTAAGGTAAACCTAAAGATTTTTGCTTTAACGTCTTTTAGCTACATTGTTTTTATAGCATTTGAGGCAATGCTAGGCGCATCCTTTGTTATATCCTTTCCAGCATACAAAATATTTCGAATATCGTTTTACAACGATAATTCGAACTAGAGATGTCACCATTGCTTATTAGATTTTTCGTCTCTCTTCGAGCTCTTCTTTCATAAAAATAATTTTACTAATCTACTATATATATATAATAATGTTAGTAGTAGTTTACGCATCTTCAATTGATTCTTTTACGAGTCACCATCAAAACGACAATTTCTAAGTTCGCGAAATAACCATGTTGAGCAGGCATTCTGAATATACTTCATTAATAGGACCATAATTCTTTGAAGTTCATAATTATTTAACTGTGGTAGGGCCACGCAGCAGGTTCGGCTGTTGCCAATGGGCAGGCTCGTCCGTGTAAGTACCACGACCTCACAGAAGAGCGGCGTAAAGTGGAAGTATAACAAATACTTTCGCGTTTCGTCTGGTGAGTGAGAACCCAATCCTCAAAAGGTTGTCAACGCATCTGTAACCCACGAGTGTAGCGGATATTCATGGGCGGCGGTATTCACTTAACATCTGGTGAACTGCCAGCTCGCTCGGCAAGTTTTCACATAAAAAAAAGTTAAGATTTTTTAAATTCTACATGATCATCATGGCATGAATAAGTTTAGCGTTCGACGGGTACCGAGAATGTTCATTTCACCGTTATATATATGATAGACAAGGATGATGTACTGCGTCTTTGATTTCACGCAAGATTTCTTGCAGTAACATAAAATTATTTTACTCTCATTCTGCCTTCATCTTCATTCTATAGTAGTATATACTTATAACAACTACTAGTTACACTAGGTAATTATAATATTATGTATAAGCAGTTTTTTTTACAGGTCGGAAAAGACACATGGCTGCCTCGATCACATACATGCTTTAATAGACTAGATCTTCCGCCCTACAAAAGTTATGAGCAACTGTGTGAAAAATTAAACTACGCCATAGAAGAAACCGAAGGGTTCGGACAGGAATAAATATTTCTAATAGTTTTAGTATAATGTAAATTATTATCACTTAATTTAATCAGCACCAACCTTCACAAATGGCATTATTCACCGTTGCGGTCGGTGCCGTCAAAAAGACCAACCAAATACTTGTATGAATATTTGTTTAAACAATAATTATGTAGATAAAATTAGTTTATTATGTCAGTTATATAAGATATATTTTGTTTGAGCTATATTTAAAAGTTCGTCTATAACGTTCAATAAAATCTTTAAAATACATATTTTACTTTCGTTATATTTTCTACATGACTATTTTGATATAAGAACACGCCCGTGTCGCACACGCTTAATAATTGAATTAAATAATTTATTTTATCCAGAAAATGTCTCTTTGGTATACGCGTGGCATGTGCGATTAAGAATGCTCGGTGCCCATAGCAAATTCTTTTCTTTTTGAACACATGTTAGACGCTTGTACTATGGGTACTAGATAGGTCATAAACATACTTTACTTATAAATACATACTATACATAAATAAACACCCAGACACTAGAAAAACACTATGTTCATCACAGATTATTTTTCCATTAGTGGGGATCGAACCCACACCCTCTTGCTCACAAGGCAGGTATACTACCCACTACGCCGTTCGGGTCATCGTCTTTCAAACAGCCCTTGTTCTGATATGAGTTCTGTAGTATGAAATGGTAAAAAAACAATTCAATACTTGAAACTGAGTGAAACTTATTAAATAAATAAATTTAATAAGTTTCACTCAAAAATTAAGGCTCAGGCAGAGATGGGTTTCAATATGCGGCTCCCTTGGCGCGGGGCCCGTAGTAATTGCTACACTTGCACTTTTATTTTATATGAACTGTATAAAACTTTTTGTGGTGTACAATAAAGTATATATAATAATAATAAGGAAACGTAAGTATATATAACGGAAAGTATATATAAACGTAACGAACAACTATCGGAAATACATCCTAAGGGATGGCACCGTCGACATCTGTCGAGCTTGTCGTCATCCCGGGGAGTCGCTTCGGCATGTTATTTCCTGTTGTTCCATGCTTTCTAACTCTGAGTATCTGCATAGACACAACCTAGTAGCCAGAATCCTACACCAGGAGCTCGCTCTGAAATACAGCCTCGTGGATCGGAAACTGCCGTACTACAAGTACTCTCCGGAGGCCGTGCTCGAAAATGACCGCGCCAGGCTCTATTGGGACCGGCCCATCATCACGGACAGGACGATTGTCCCGAACAAACCCGATATCGTGGTGATGGACCGGGCACGGGTATTTTTGGTCGACATTACCATTTCATATGACGAGAACCTCGTGAAAGCCGAAACAGATAAGAAGACGAAGTATCTGGACCTGGCTCACGAGGTGACCGACATGTGGGGTGGTGTGTCGACCGAAATCATCCCGATAGTCGTGTCTGCGAATGGGTTAATTCCAGTCAGCCTCTCCGAACACCTGAGGCGACTGGGACTCAGGGACGGAACGCTCCAAGCTCAAATGCAGAAGGCGGTGCTCCTCGATACCGCCCGCATCGTCCGCCGGTTTCTCTCCCTCAAACCCTAACCCTCGGCCGTTTGGTCTCCCCTGCCGAGGGCTTCCGTCTGGTTGGGACCTATTTATTTATGTATTATATATAATATTTATATCTATATGTTTATTTTTATTCATAATATTTATTTTATATATGCAATATATATTTATATGTTTATTTTTTATCTATTTACCCAACCAGACGAGAAAACAAAGAAATATCCCCAAAGGAAACGTAAATGATATTTGATCATGAACTAGTCAAATGGTACCTACTATTTTTACGGATCATACATTATCGCCTACGCGAAGGAGCGAGAGGCTTAAGGCCCGACTACTAAAAAAAATCCTAATTTGCTTCTCACTAAATTTTGCCGCCCAAGACCCAATCTACTAGGTCTGTAAGAACATCCGCCCCTGATTTTACAACTACAAAAATTCATTAGTATGAACCGAACATCATTGTGAGTCTCGAAAAGTTTAATGAGATAACATTTTCGAGCTTGAAAAGAATTTTCCTAACATTAAATTATAAGTATCCAAAAAAGTCAAAAATAATTAAATAACCTCTTGAATTTTTGTGTACGACTAAACAACTATTCTTGATGGAACCATTAGATTCAAACAAGAACTTTAAGTTTAAACAAAATGTCAAAATATTTTAAAAAGTATCCGACCCGGCAAACGTTGTTTTGTGATATAAATTATTTGTAGGGTAGAAAAAAATGTTTGGGGTGGACCACCCTTAACATTTAGGGGGATGAAAAATAGATGTTGTCCGATTCTCCACTCTGGGCGATATGCACACAAAATCGGTCAAGCCGTTTCGGAGGATTTCAATTAGAAACACTTTGACACGAGAATATTATACAGCGTGTCGTTACCATCGCGACAATAAATGAACACACGTCTAACGCTACATGCCAATAATCATTAAAAAATATTAAAGTTAAACAAAATCCATAACTAAAAAAAAAATATTTTTCAAACAAACTAATTAAGTAAAAAAGAAACAAAATTTGTAACACCTATACAACTCGCGCCACAGCGTCGTATTACAAGCCTCTCCTTCCAACAGTATGTTTTGTCTCTTTTAAATTCATTCAACCCATTCATACGCTTTGTGACCTCTACAAATGAACTTTACGTTACGCTTTTATAGGTGAGGGTGTTCTAAAATTCTTTGTTTTGGAAATTTTAATAACTCGGTAAATATTGATGTTTAAAGAATTTAAATGTTTAATACAACTTAAAAAAGTTATCCCCTATATGTGTGTTCATTTATTGTCGCGATGGTAACGAGACGCTGTATATTAGATAATTGTACATAAATTAAATTATTAAACTCATTTGCTGAAGAAACGTAAACACCATGAACGAGTTACTTACGCCCGGTTTCTGAAACACTGATCATCGTAGATGTCAACTAATCAGCTGTCAAATGGATTTGCTGATTAGTTGATATCTACGTTGATCAGTGTTTCAGAAATCGGGCGTAAGTCTTTGATTATATTAATCAAAGTACTTACGATATGAATTCTTTTTCTTTATGTAACTAGCATTACATGATTGTGTTTGTACCTAGTATTTACATTATGTACATCAGTATTCTTATTAAAATCGTTAACATTTCTACGTACATTAATTACATTTTCATGTTTATATTGAGAGGCCAAGGTTAACCATTAACCATGGCGAACAATGACATCGACTCCAAAAAATTTTAAATTTTGTTATAGCTATGTATACTTAGATCTTGAAAACTACGCAACGGCGTTTTTTTACTAGATACTGATTCAAACAGGAAGATTTATTTGTATAATACATTTCATCCGGGCGAAGCCGGGGCGGGTCGCTAGTCATTCATAAAATGAAATCTTACTGTACAGACTTTAACGTGTATTTTACAAGTAATAGCAATTAATATTTAAGTTTAAACATTGTGAATAGTCAATGCCAAGAGCAGCTAAGATATATTTGTACTTCAATATACAACACAAGTATTACTTATATGAGACTGACGATTCCGGTACTAGGGACTGTGAGAACTACTTCCACTGTTTTCTCTATTCCGTAGGATAACTTGATCCTAAGCATAGGAAGATGTCCGGATGTGTTCGAGCCAGTTGAGAGAGTTATTTCGTACTAAATAAATACCTTGTCTTAATAAATTTCCTATAACTTTAATTAAACCATTATTCTTTAATTTTTGAAACAATAACATAGATTGAGCAATTGCTATAAAAATAAAAAAAAGTATTTTTAATTTCAGTGTTTTTATTTTAGGTAGCAAGCGGGTTGGCGGTTTTCCTGATGTTTAAGTGATAATAACCGCTGTCCATTGACCGTGGGGTTGCAGATGCGTTGCCATAAATTGGGCCCCGGCTACCTCACTCACCAGATGAAACAGAATTTTAAAACTTTCACTTCACGTCGTTCTTCTGTGACGTCGTGGTACTAGTCCCTGTGCATTCGCGCAACAGAGAATAATGTTACGTGGTCTTACCACAAGTATAAAAAAACATGTAACAAAATCTATTACTTGACAAAGATAAAATATGTCAACATTTGGTAGTAATCGAAAACTTGTGTGTACTAACATCAGATATTTAGTAATCATTTGAGTAGGTTTTTTTTTATTGTAACACAAATATAAAGGAATAATTTCGAAATTTTGTAAATTAACAAATATTATATAGGTTAAAAATAAAGAAACGGAAGGAAATAAACATGACCGCGCCGTCAAAGGAGTAATTGAAAAATTTTTGGGTAGAAAATAGAATATAAAGATTGAAATACTTATTTATAGTAACAAAATTTAATGTGTTAGTGCATAATGGTACATGATAATTATATATATCTATGTATGTAACAGATTGTGTGCAGAAAAAAAAATGTTTTCAGCACACTTTGTATGCAAAGACACCATTATTTTTAAAACAAAAAATGTTATAAGCTTTCAGAACATGAATCGCATTAACATTCAATTAAAGTTTACAACTTTGACAATGCAAATTCTTTGGCCTTATGAATGGCCTCTTTAATACATTTTGGATTATTTCCTGAAGCTTGAGCTGATTCTGCCTTACCACCACCTTTGCCACCCATAATGCCAACAATAGATTGGACCCATTCAGAGGCCAATAATCCCTTGTCGTTTAAGTTTTTGGGCACAGCTGCGAGACAGTAAATTTTACCTGCTTCTTCGTCTACCGAGAAGAACATCGCAGCTGTGTTTGGCAATAACTGCTTTACTTGTTTTAGTGCGCTATCTAAAGCCTTTGTGTTTCCGGAAGCTTTCAATTCTGTGACAATAACATCAGATGACTTTTCTTCCAAACATATTTCTTTAGTCTTCTCAATAACTTGAGTAACTATCATAGCTTTTGAAGCTCTTTCTTTGTCGTCAAGTTGCTTTTTGAAGCCTTTTAGCGTGTTCCTAAGTTCTTCTTTTTTCCAATATGATATTTGTGCGTGTGAGACTTCGTTCGTTAAATCTACAATCTTTTTCACTACATCTTTTTGATTAATTTCATCACCCTTCTCCTTAATAAAATTGGCAATAGTATTCACTTCGTTTTCTAAAATGCTTAGCTTATTAAGTGCTTTAATAGCTTCTGGGCCAGTTAAAGCAACAATTCTTCGAATACCTTTTGCGATTCCTTCTTCACTTACTATTACGTAGTCCCCTATATGGCCTGTTTGGTGAAGATGGGAGCCTCCACAAAATTCTACAGATGTTTCATAACCTGACGGACCATCAGGATTTTTTTCTAATTCCTCCACAGGTATACCCACAGAAACTACACGAACTGGATCAGGATAATGCTCATCAAACATGGCCCTTAAACCTTTTATTTTTTTAGCGTCACTTAAGCTTGTATGTTTAGCGTAAACGGTTTTATTTTTACTAATTATGTCCTTAATTTCATCTTCAGTGTCTTTTATCTGTTTAGTAGACATGGGGCCTTTGTTAGTAAAATCAAATCTTAACCTGTCAGGCATAACGAGTGATCCCCGTTGGTCAGAGTCGTTTCCGAGAACTTTTCGAAGGACATTGTTTAGTATATGTGTACCAGTGTGGTTATTCATAATAAGACGACGTCTCTCGGTATCAATGCATAGAGATAATGAATCACCAACTTTAAGAATACCTTCAACTTTACCTGTGTGTAAAACATATCCACCTTTTACTTGCACATTTCTTACAGTAAATTCAACGCTGTCGTCGTCTAATTTAAACATATACCCTTCATCAAATATTTGACCGCCTTGTTCGGCGTAGAAACTTGTACGATCTAATATAATTCCACACTCAAGTCCCGATGTTACTTCATTTATAAATTCTTTATTCCATCTTATAGCTAAAATAGTTGCTGTACAAGAACCAAAATTGTAAATAGCATCTTTATCATTTGAGGATGGTGTGTAGTTATATTTAGGTGAATCGTCAGTTACTGGTACCCCTGAATTTTGTAAGTGACTAATGGCGTGTATGTCTAGTGCTAATAAATCTTCTTGGCCAGAGGTTTTTCCTTGTGAACATAGTTGAGATTCTTTCTTAGCCTTTTCATAAGCTTCCATGTCTATAGATAATCCTTTTTCTTCACACATCAAATGAGTTAAATCAACGGGAAATCCATAAGTGTCATATAACCGCCATGCCACATCCCCAGGCACAATATTTGTCCCAGTTAATTTTTCTATTGTTCTGTTAAGTAAGTTTCTTCCCCTAGAAAGTGTTTTAAGAAACTGAATTTCTTCTTCATTTATGGTTTGTATAACAGATTCTGGGTCTTTTTTTATTTCAGGAAATACATCACCAAGCAACTGGACTACAGTGTGAACTAGTGAACCAAAAAATCCAGGTTTTGCGTTTAGTTTCTCACATGCATAACGTACAGCTCTTCTTAAAATTCTTCTAAGGACATAACCTCTTCCTGTGTTGTCTGGGCACCCACCATCTGACAAAGCAATAGTTAAAGTTCTGGCATGGTCAGCAAGAACACGATAAGCCATATCTATTCCATCAACATCTTCTGAACCCACTTTTCCAGTATATGGCCTCGTTTTTGTTCCATTTTCTATAGCTTTAAATAAGGGCATGAAAAAATCTGTATCATAGTTGGCTCTTTTGTTTTGGATTACAGAAACAAGCCTTTCAAGACCTAATCCACAGTCAATATGTTTTTTGGGCAATAACTTTAGGGACCCATCTGATTCTCTATTAAATTGAATGAATACCAGATTCCAAATTTCTAATACATCTGGGTCATCCATATTGACAAGGTGTGCTGCATTTCTTTCTCCAATCCTATCATAATGTAATTCAGAACAGGGCCCACATGGTCCAGTTTCCCCCATTTCCCAAAAGTTATCTTTCATACTTCCTGGCAGTATATGCGATTCAGAGAGCCCCAAATTCAGCCAAATGTTTTTACATTCCAAATCTTGTTCGAGTCCCGAATTTGTATCACCCCCAAAATAGGTTACATATAACCTATCAGCTGGTAATTTATAAACTTCAGTTAACAATTCCCAAGCCCATGAACATATCTCTTTTTTAAAATAATCTCCAAAGGACCAGTTTCCCATCATTTCAAAAAAAGTATGATGATAAACATCTTTCCCGACATCATCTAAATCATTGTGCTTCCCACCAGCCCTTATACATTTTTGGGTATTCACAACCCGCACATATTGTGCCATGTCAGAATTAGGATCAACTGATCCCAAAAAAATTGGTTTAAATTGATTCATACCTGCATTAGCAAATAGCAAAGTGGGGTCATCTAATGGTATAGTGGATGAAGAATGCACATATTTATGCCCTTTATTTATAAAAAAGTTGATAAAAGTTTTTCGAATATCATTTCCAGTCATTGTTGTGTCCATTTTTATAAATTTGTCTGAAAGAAGATTGACCACATTTAAAATAGTGATTTTAAGAAGCATTAGAATTATGAAAGTACTATTAAATATTTAATTAATAAAATAAAAAAAAAATTATCCAATAATAAGATTTAACAGGTTACTAAAATAATTTAGATTAAAGTGTTCTATAAATTAACCATACAAAAATAATGTAATCAAACTAGAATTAACCACATCACGAACATTTAGTTTATTGATAAATTTTAACTGGTCTGATTCATATATCCATGATGTATATGTGTTAAATCTAAAATATAAACAACTAATTTGTACAAAGTATGCCTTTATCTTTATCAATATTATAGTGAATGGGTTCTTGTACAAGTATATTACAAAAAAGTTTTCATTTCACATTTCATCATTATAATAATATACACTAGTATACACCATAATTACAACGATATTAATATTCAAATATATTTAATATTTAATTTTACAAAAAAATATATTTAAAATAAAACAGGAAATGTGATTTTTGTAAAAATAAGGAAATTATTATTAGCCTACTTATGATATAAAGTATTTAAAGTTTTAAATGAATTAAAAAGGAAACATGTCGGCCTAACCATTTAAATAACATATTTTTGTATATAACATTATTTAATGTAAGAACTTAAATTTATAACTTTATATTAACCATATGGAGACATCACAAGTGCGGTGTCTTAACAGACAGATTTAAAAATTTATGATTAAATCAACAAAATATGAATCATTTCTTTTAGAAAGTAGATAAGAAGACTAAATAATGTTATTTTACCTTCTACGATATAACTCGTTATTGATAATCGCACTGCGACTAATCCGCGACAAACGAATGACACGACGATGACTGTCAAAGTTGTAGAAGTGGGCGATACAAATCGTATCAGATATGAAAACTAGATATTAGTACAATATCCCAATATCGCTTACTGGCTCGTTCAATATCTATGTATTTTACAATATCTGATATTTCCGAAATCTGATGTACCGTGCTCGCTCGCTATACCGACACGAATCGCGATACGGCGATATCATACGCGTTTGCCACAATATCTGATTTTTAAACAGATTTCGAGAGACAAAGCGCGTGAGATACAAATACTCACTAGTTAGAGCGGGACGGCAAGCAATGCACGATATCAGATATCGAGCGACAAAGCGCGTGAGATATAAACACTTACTAGTTAGAGTGGGACGGCAAGCAATGCACGATATCAGATTTTTAAACAGATATTATGAATAAGTTAAGTAATTTTGAATCTTAACACCATGCAAATAAGATCCGTTTCATTTAAATACTAATCTTGGTATCAGCGATTACTACAACGATATTATTATATTTTTATTGTTTTGTTTAGCCTTGAGCCGTAACGGGCGACAAAGCGCGCAGTTAAGTAATTTTGAATCTTAACAGCATGGAAAAAAACTCTGTTGCATTTAAATACGAATTACGGTATTAAGGATGTCTTTGAAATTTTGTTCAGCCTTGAGCTGGATTGCATTGGTACCTATCACGTAATAGTAAGGGATGCCAACTTACTACTTAAGAAATTTCTGCCTAAATTAAGGAAGAAAAATATACAATGGAAATTTTTTAAGAGGTAAATTTTTTGTGAATATTTTTATTAGCTAAATTTTATTCATATTTTTGGAAAAAAATAAAAGTACACAAAAAGAAAAATATAATTTAATGGTGCTGTGCTGCTTTGGTGGAAATCAGAACAAGGCTTATGTGCCTTGTGTGTATATTTTAAATTCTTCCGCCCTAAGCTATATTACTGAATGTATTATTTCTTACACAAATAATAAAAATATTGCCACTCGATTGCGTGTTCTAAAATATGTTAAAGTCAATTATTAAGCGGTATATAAAATTTTAAAATAAATCATTTTTATATCACTTCAATTTATATTTTTAATGAAATTTTTAATTTAATAATTTAAAAAAAACGCATTTTTAGTAAGACAGGGTTAATTATTAATGATCGTCGAAGAAGACTTTCGACGAATAAAGTCAGAGAGCTTACGTTCCTAAACGTGAATTTGAACCCGGAGGGATATAAATAATTATTAACCCTGACATAATTGTAAATATATAATGTTAAGTTTTAAATATAAGGAAAATTATGTACATAGAATGAATCAACTTTTAAATACGCCTGCACAATATTTATAATAAGTATGAAATATTGCAGCCAGTCCTAAGCCTGGAAAAAGTATGAAGGGAAGTTATTTCATTCATCTTATAACCACTCCCTTAAAGTATACAATTTTTTTTTTTTTTTTAGAATTCAATTAATCAACGTGGATAGGAAACCGTAAAATATCTAGATATTAAAATACATAGTTTCGAAATCTGATATTTGAAATCGATATCGGATTCAGATACGGTACTCAGAAAAAGCGATACGACCCATCCCTACAAAGTTGTCTGATGACGTTTAAAGTAAGCATGCGCAAAAAAATCGATATTTTTCCATACAATTATCGATATATATGTTCGATATTTTTTATCGCGACTTATCGATATTTATTTCAGACTATCGAATTCGTGTCAATTTCGATATATATTTTTAACGCTGCTTTGGTTTCTAATAGGTGTTGAATAAAACACAGCGTTGAGGTTGAAGAAAGCTGATGTAAACTTGCCTTATATAGATTATCTATGGTTAAAACTTACCAATTTGTCGATGGTTTGTATACCTGTCTCTCTCATTCACCAGCGTGCATCCTCTTCTAATTAAATAGGATGCCTGTCACGAAGCTGTCAACGTCATAGAGTCCAGCTCACCAGCAACTAGAGATGGGTCGTATCGCTTTTTCTGAGAACCGTATCTGAATCAGATTTCGATTTCAAATATCAGATTTCGAAACTATGTATTTTAATATCTAGATATTTTACGTTCGCATAGCCACCTTAA